ACCTCCCTCAATCCGTGCGGGCGTCTTAACCAGCTCGACACTGAGGCACTGTCGAGCTGGAAGACGCCCGCACGGATTGAGGGAGGTCCCAGGTTCGAAACCTGGCTGGGGTAATATTTTTCGCAATAAGTATTTTAAATAAGGGGGGAAGGGGGTTATCATATTAGATGCTAATGTATAGCATTATTGAAATAATTTATAAAGTGAATTCACTGACGATAACACTTCCACTTACGGGGATTAACCTGTGTTATAAGACTAGTATGTAACTGGCGCACAGGATAAGTTGGAAAGAATACGGTATATGAATTCACTTAATAATTTAATTTAACTGGCTACTTACACCTATGCCCGGTCCTAAACGGCCTCTTTAATTTCTAATTGATTTTATATCTTAAAGGACCTATGTTAAAAATTGTAGTACTTAATTTTAGTTGTCGAATTAACTTTTCTATACTACTAAAAAACATTTTTAACTTTTGCATCATAATTAATTTCTTGTTTTACATCAGAAAAACGAATTCATCGTTCTAAAAACTGTATTGAAGTAAAGAATGATTATATTGAAAAATAAAAACAATTATTTCGTTATCTATTCTTATATTATTAAGTTAGAAACTTTTGGATCTCACCACACAAATAGATGGTATCAGAAATGGAGACACACATATATGTATATGGTGCAATATGAATGCATATTTATCTCTATTATGTGTCTTTAGCGATACTGATGTATTCTAATTTTTAAGTAATATTTTTCACTCGTTATTTTATATTTCATATATTAGAATTTAGAAAATAATTATATTCTAAAAATATACATAATAGATGCTTCATATTTTATTGGCAATTTAAGTAATTTATAAATTTGTAATTTTTAATTTTTATAACTTTTAACATTTTATATATTATTCAAATATAATATATGTAAAGTTATATAGTGATAGCTACAGAGAATTTGCTAACGCTTTGTACAAAATGGTGTAATTGTTGTTTTCTAAGAAGCCGTCATGGTCCGAAGCATGTTTAGATATATCATGGAGGTTTTCATCACCTGAAACGTTTCGTAAATGTGTTAAGCTAAAAAAACTGTAATACACCTTTGTATACTCACATCACCGAAAGTTGCGATAGAAAGATGAACTAGTTTCCCTGCAGTTAATTTAATCACGCTACTCGATCGAGAAATAATTAAGATCATACCACGTGCCGTTTTATGAGGCAAATGATACCAGTTACTCATATAGGCTACTTCGCCTACTTGTTTACACTGTCAAATTATTTGTTCCATGGTAATAATTCATACATTTTTAAATTCATGCTCACGAATAATACACGGTAAAATTTACAGTACGTAACTTTACGGCTTATCTTTTACCTGTTCCGTGACTACTTCGCCAATGTAACAGAATATAAAAATGTTGAAAGTCATGGATATATATATAAGCATCATTGCTATACACGTTTGTTTCTCTATTACATTCCATCCCTGAAAATTTTCGCGGATGTGTTATATTTTACAATATATTATTGTTATTAAAAATACTATAATTTAAAAAAATGATATTAGATGAATGCAATTGATCTGCGATTAATTATTATTTGCCCGTCTTTCGCAATTTAGATTAAAATAAAAAGTCGTACGATGCTGATGTGCCTTAATTACATATTCACCTTTTTAACTTTTTAGCATACCGTAATGACGTAATATCCGAGCATACATAAGTTAAACGTACATCCTAGCAATTCCACAAAACATATCTGATTCAAAAGTGCTTCCATCCGCGCTACAAAACTGTAAATAATATAAATTACACATTTGGTATATTATTACACATATTTATTATTCTTCTTTGAACTCATTGATATTATTGAGAGAAGAAGAGAGAGAGTGCGCGCGTGCGTATGGGAGTGATATAAAAATCCGATACTTGAAAATGTAAAGAATTTTATTTTTGATACATGAAGCAGGAATAATATCCTATTTATGTACTACCTTAATACTCTCAGATGATGCTCCACAATGATCGCCAATTGATGTTGTGCCGCGCCTTGCTGCTTTCGATCGTCCAGCTGGTCCAGCCACTTCATCAGCACATTTAACTGGCCGCACGCGTGCATCGCAAACACCGCCGCGAGACTGCAAGCGCCGACCGTGACGGAATTGACGACAATGCTCGAAATGAGCTGCAGTATTAGCGCGATCTCGCCTTCCGGGCTCTGCTTGATGTCTATGAACTTGCTGAACGAGGGACACGGTAACACGTGCACCAACACGCTTATGTTGCCGATTTTCTCGTACGTTGGCGTGATGCCTTGCAGCACGCTGTGCGAGAATACGCCGCCGTGCATGAAGATTGCGCACATTCCGGCGACGAAACGGCCGACTTTGGCGTATCTCAGCATCACTTGCCGGTCCTCGAATTTCGTCACCATCTGCCAGTCAGTCTTCATGTGCTGCACGCAATGATGTATTTCGCGGCTGCGAAAGAGGAGGGAAAAATAATTCATGCCGCCCATGCACCAGTGGCTTAATGGACCCACAGCATGTATTTTTTTTTGCCCGTCCGTCTCCTCGAACAGGATGTTTAGGATACAGGGTATGACCGTGAAGCCTATCAGGGAGTAGCAAATGATAATCAGTATTGTCGAGACCACCTTCTCCTTGACTGTCGTCGTGACTGAACTTGGCCAAGCGCCCACAGGCGTTAGGAACCAACGATTCAACTGTATACTGTAATCGCTCGCATCCCGCTGCGGTTTGACAGGTTCACTATTATCCATGATTGCTCGCGGGGCGCGCAGATGCTACTGAATCGACTCTTAGATGCGCGTACAGTTGACAGGAAGTGGCGCCTGCGCCAGTGAGTAACTTGGTAGCGTAATAGGTAATAATGGGATATTTGTGCGTCTCGCCAGTCGATCGATACTCACGGAGTACGCTGCACTATTGAAGGGGCGTTTCGCAGAGGAATTGACTGCGAACACGCACTTGTAAAAGTATTAATTTATTGCTATTTAAAGCACACATGAAAGAGTGTGATCCTCTCATATATAATTCAGTTGGATATGTAAAGTTTAGTTACTGTTTCATTGTATTACGGAAATACTGGTAGAGAAACTCTTTTCTTGTGGAACAGTCTTAAAAAAGCAAGTATTTTGCATCTCGCGTAAGAAACATTTATCTTTTTAATGTTTAGCATCATTTTTTGTTGGACAAAACGCGATACTATCACGCATGTCTTTAAATAATATTAACGTCTTAGGACATATATTTACAGTTTATTTATTAAATATATTTCTTCTATTTCTCTATTATCTCGCATTTGATCTATACAAAATATATTTACAATATATGTTTGCTAACGTAGCTCACGTGGCGGGTGTCATCGTTCTTAAAATATTTAAGTATACCACAGAAGTCTTAATTACCTGAAACAACAAGGTCTTCCTTCCTATTTACGATATGATTAATCACATTGCGAAAATTGAAGCTTTAAAGCATTCGCTCACAAAATTATAAACGAAGAGAAATTGGAGGAAAATTTTATAATAATTCGTAAAAAAAAGTATTAAATGTTTATTAGCACTGTTATTATATGTATAAATGCCACATACGTTTTACTTACATCACCAAAAGTTGCGATAGACAATTGAAATAATTTTCCAGCGGTAATCTTGATAACATTACTCGATCGTGCTATTATCAAAATGAGACCAAGAGCAGTTTTGTGTGGCAATTCATACCAATTAGTCATATATGCCTTTTCGCCGACATTTTTGCACTAATAAATAAGTGAATATATTCTAAAGCCTTTCATATAAGCATTTTTTAACGTGAGGAGAAATTAAGGAACGTGACAAGATATTATACAAAACTCAAATGATTTATAATCAACGATTAATTTGCTCAACACAGGATAATTAGATTGCAATACTTTTAAATAGTAAATAGCATGTTTTAAAATATTAATTACATTTGGAGAAATTACCTGTTCCGTGAGAATCTCGCCGATGAAACAAAATATAAAAATATTGAAAGCCATAGATACGTATACAATAATATACGATGTTATTCTTGCTGCATCAAAATCACTCCAATTCTGAAAAAATCAGAAATTACATTTGACATATTTCATAGATAAGGAAATTACAAAGAGATTACTGATAACACATATTCACCTGTTCAGGTCTTTAGCATACCGTAATAGAGTAATACGCAAGTAAACACATATTCAAGGTGCATCCCACCAATTCCACGAGACAGATATTTTGCATGATGTTCTCCATGCGCGATATGAAACTGAAAAAATTTACAGGAAGATCCAGTTATTAATTTTTTTACGTACAATATAAAGAGAACATTTGTTTGAATTTGTTGAATGTCTATGCACATTTTTCATACAAAGATAGAAGTATTTCACTCTACGCCAATAGAAATACTTAATTCGTGACTAAATTGTGTCTTGTACATAGGAATGCGCAAACGTTGAAGTTCGATATTGAAATCAGGTACCTCAGCACTCTTAAATGATGCTCCACAATCGTGGCAAGCTTCTGTGCGGCAAAGTCGTTTTCTTTGTTCTCATTTTCCCCGAGATCGTTCAACCACGAGAACAGCATGCTAAGTTGGCCGTAAGCGTGCATCGCGAACACCGCCGCGAGGCTGCAAGCGCCCACTGTGACAGAGTTCACTATAAAACACGACAGCAATTCCACAGCCAGCATGATCTCGTTCGCGGGGCTGAATCTCGTGTCGATAAACTTGCTGTATATCGGACAGGTCATCGGATGTACCAATGCAGTTTCGTTGCCGATGATGACGGGCATGGATGTCATCGCTTTGGCCACGGTGAAGAGAAACGTGCCGCTTTGCATGAACACCGCGCAGAATCCGGCGACGAAGCGACCGATCTTGGCGTACCGCAGCATCACGTCCTGATCGTCGGTCTTACGAACCAGCCGCCAGTCCGTCTCCATGTGCAGCACGCATTCGCGGATGTCGTCGCTGCGCGTAAGTAGCAGCCAATAATTAATTGTGCCCATGATCCAGTGGCTCAGCGGACCCATCGCGCTCAACTTCATCTGAACGTCCTTCTCTTCCAACGACACGTACAACATGCACGGTATCATGACGACCGCTATGAGGGACAAGCAACCGAGCACTTGCGCTTGCAGAGAGACTCTCTCCACCGTCGACGTATTCGCGCGTGGCCAAGCTGCGATCGGCATCAGAAACCAACGAGTAAGCTGAAGGCTGTAATCGTTATTACGTCTGTATGTGAATTTTATGCTCGTCAGTACACGTTCGGAATACATCATGATCACTTCGCGGAGGCGCACAGTACACTGACTTGAGGCAACGGTGCACCGGCTAGAGCTATGTTCAAATGAGCGCGTGCGCGAATCTTTAGAGTGGTTTAATGAACGGGCAGGGTGATGTATGCTTCCTGACAGAGACGCATGCACATCTGATCGATAATTGCTACCTGCGGAAATGTAGCATTGATCGTTTGGGCGGAGAGAGTGCACGGAAATCGTCATGGAAAGATAAAGAATGGTACTGCTTCTGCCAAATTTTTTTTTTGCTATTGTGTATAAATGTGTGTAGTGTGTAAGATATTTGGAGAAAAGCGTTGGATCTCATTCAGGTATTTCTGTCATATTCATGACTTGATACATTTGATTTTAGATTAAACATTAATCTTTAATTTTGGGAAAATTGTTTTGGGCATCTAACTTTAATATACTCTTAAATAACGTAATTATAAAAATTGCATGGTGGTATAATTTCTATTTATTAAATATTTTTACTATAATATACTATCAGTTTTATACAAAATATATTTCTCACGTTTTCTAATTAATATAATTCACGCACAGGGTGTCTCATTGTTCGCAACATGTTCAAATATACCACGGAAGTTTTAATTACCTGAAACAGCAACGTCTTCCTTCCTATTTACGATATAAATTAAAAGTCCAAAAAATTTCAAGAGATTAGTCAAAGTAAATTCAATATATAATAATAAATAATCAACTTAAACGGAAAAATGCAAGCAGTATAGGAACACTAATAATAATTTTTATGAATAATTAAAAATATGTAGAACATATATTAAATTTTTATTAATTTTCATTAATATTGTTATATATAAAATGTAACATGTATATTACTTACATCCCCAAAAGTTGCGATAGACAACTGAAATAATTGTCCAGCAGTCATCTTGATAACGTTACTCGATCGTGCTATCACCAAAATGAGTCCAAGGGCAGTTTTGTGCGGTAGTTCGTACCAATCAATCATGTACGCTTTCTCGCCGACATTTTTGCACTGATAAATTCAAACTTAATTTTTTATTGTGTCCAGAAAAACGTAAAAAACATATGTATAAAGAAATATTACAAGATGCGAAAATTAAATACAAAATATTAATTTTCTCGGATGCATCTTTGAATATCATTTATCGCGAACTCAGTTTCCAGCTATTACCTGTTCTGTGAGAATCTCACCGATATAACAAAATATAAAGATATTGAAAGCCATGGACAGGTATATAATGACATATGACGTTGTCTTTGCCGTATCAAACGAGTCCAAATTCTGCAAAACGAAAGTTTAAGAGTTTCGATTAGATAACGAAGAATTGATCCTTTTCTGCTGATCGCTACATTGAAATCTGATATTATATATAATAATTAGCAAAATTGTAGAATGCAATTACATCACATATTCACCTTTTACATTTTTAGCGTACCGTAATAAAATAATATGCAAGTAAACACATATTCATCGTACATCCCAGCAATTCCACCAGACAGATATGTCGCATAACGGTTTCCATACGCGATATAAAACTGAAACGCATATACAGGGTGTTACGTAATACCCGCATCAACGCTTATTGTGGGATAGAGTGGACTAGACTAAGTCGAAAAGTCCTGTACCACTTTGCAGGTTTTGCAATAGTTAACGAGTTATTAATTATTAAAAATCGCTGCCTTAGGCCGCGGCCTAACAACTCTCTGCGCGCCTAGTAACGATCGATCGATCTCGCTGCACGTTTGAATTGGGCAGTGGGCCGGCCTAAGACAGCGATTTTTAATAATTAATAACTCGTTAACTGTTGCAAAACCTGCAAAGTGGTACAGGACTTTTCGACTTAGTCTAGTCCACTCTATCCCACAACAAGCGTTGATGCGGGTATTACATAACACCCTGTATGTGATACATATTTTTTCGTACATTCCACAAAAGGAGAGCTTATGTGGCACTGCTAAATGTGAGTGTATATTATTCATGTGAACTTTCTTTTAATGAAAATGCAATCTTAGACATTTAACGAAATACCTCAGCACCCTCAAGTGATGCTCCACGATAACAGCCAGCCTTTGCTCGGCGCCTTCGTTTCCCTTATCTTCGTCTACAACGAGTTCGTTTAACCATGCAAATAGCATGTTTAGTTGACCATACGCGTGCATCGCGAAAACAGCATCGAGGCTGCAAGCGCCTACCGTAACAGAGTTTACTATAAAGCACGACAGCCACTCCACAACCACCATAATTTCGTTGGCGGGGCTGAATCTGACGTCGATGAATTTGGTGTACATCGGGCAAGTCATCGGGTGCACCAACACGGTTTCGTTGCCGACGATGACTGCAGTGGTTGACAGCGATTTCCCTACGGCGAAGAGAAATGTGCCGCTCTGCATGAACACCGCACAGAACCCGGAGACGAAGCGGCCGATTCTTGCCTGTCGCATCATTACTTGTCGGTCCTCGAGCTTCCGAGCGATTCGCCAGTCTGACTCCATGTGCAGCACGCACTCGCGGATGTCGTCGCCGCGCGTGAGGAGTAACCAGTAATTGATCATACCCATGATCCAGTGGCTCAGCGGACCCATTGCGCTCAATTTCATCTCCATATCTTTCTCTTCCAGCGATACATATAACAGACACGGCACCATGATGATCGCTATTATGGACGTGCATACTAAAATGTGCACGCGCGAGGAGAGCCTCTCCACCCTCGTCGCCGCGCTCATTTGCGGCCAAGCGCCAATTGGCAGCAGAAACCAACGAGTCAGTTGAAGACTGTAATTGTTATCACTTCTGTCGGGGAGCTCGATGCCCCTTGTCACATGGTAGGAATACGTCATGATCGCTTCGCGGAGGCGCACGATGCACTGACTGTGGTGAACGGTGCACTGGCTGGAGCTATGTTCGAACGGGCGCCTGCGCGAATCTTTAGTGCGGTTTGGTGAACGGACAGGGTGATGTACTTGGCGAGAGAGACGCGTGCACATCTGATCGATAATTGACGCTCGCAAAAGAGCCGCGTTGACTCTTTGCGCGGAAAACGCGCTTCGAAGGGATTGAAATGTTTCGTACACATTAAAATACCGTCAAGAAATGAAATGTAGAAAATTATACTTTGAGAAGAGAATGCGAAGAATTTAAAGTTGCTCCAAATTGCGAGTTGCGATTTAATTCGCATTTCAGAAGAATCGTGTGATTTTGATTGCATACTACAAATGTGGCTTTTTAATACGAAAAAAATTATATTATACGAGTATTTCTTGACACGCAAATATTGTTGTGTGAGTGCTTTTATTTTAAAGATGCTGTACAAGTACAAACAAATGTTGAAATTCTTCTAGACCATGTACAGATTTACGTTGTAACAGTTCGTAAGATATTCAAGTAAACGAGAGACGTTTTGATAACCTGAAATGATAACGATGTACGAAAAATTCTGAAAAGAAATCCATTGATACTCACGTCACTAAAAGTTACGATAGAAAGTTGAACTAATTTTCCTGCAGTTATTTTGATTACGGCACTCGATCTTGCTATAACCAGAATCAAACCAAGAGCTGTCTTACGAGGTAAGCGATACCAGTCGGTCATGTATGCTGTTTCGCCAACCTTTTTACACTAATAAACATTGCACTGTTAAACATGTAAATGTTAACTTGCTAATTTAGCTGCGCTAATGGACATTGACGGCTTCTTTACCTGTTGCGTTAAAATTTCACCTATGTAGCAAAATATAAAAATATTAAAGCTCATGGATATGTACACTATGATGTACGCCATTATGCCCCTTCTATCAATTTTATTCCACCACTGAAAGAATCACGATGCGTGGAAAATAAGTCCCTTACGTTATAAATTCTTCCGATGTTACTAAAGTCTTGTTAAATTAATTTCAACTACATATTCACCTTTGAAGATGATTAGCGTACCGTAATGGAGTAATATCCAAGCATACATAAGTTAAATGTACACCCGAGTAATTCCACCAGACATATTTGATGCATAACGTCTTCGATGCTTGCTATAAACCTAAAATTAGAATTTAACGTGAACGGTAAAATCTTTGATATGCCATGAAAAAAAATTGTTATTGAATATTTATACCAAAAATACTCAAGGATTAGATCGACCAAGGCTGGCAGTTTTATTTAAATTTTACCACGACGTTTCGGCCAGTAATACTGGTCCTTATCAAGTGGATCCTATTGCTTGTGACAACGAAGCATATGGAAAATATAAAATTAGGCTAATCGTCATCGCACATAGAAATGTACATCTTTCCACGTGTCGTGTCACCAAGAGACACTGGTAAAATTTAAATAAAACTGCCAGCCTTGGTCGATCTAATCCTTGAGTATTTTTGGTTTTAATTACTGGCGATATAACAATTCCAAATTTGGTTGAATATTTATAGATACGTATTATATAATAAGATAAAAGCAAACGTTATAATTAAAAGTTTCATTCAAGTATTTTGTTAGTCTTTAAAATGAAATGGATTACAAATAAGATACAAAATAATTATTTAAATTTGCACGAAGTATTGTATATGTTAAATTGAATAGGCGGTTTGATTGTCACAAAAAAAAACACATTTCATATTATACATGAATATTTTTAACTATATTCATTTTTACAATGTATATATTTTTAAATTATGTATACATCTTATTGCCTGATATTTAAATCTTGTACTACCTTAAAACACGTAGATGATGCTCCACGATATCGGCCAGTTTCCGCTGGGCAGATTCGTTTTCTTTCGTATCTCCATCTTCGACGAGCCCGTTTAGACGTAAGATCAAAATGTCGAGCTGGCCGCACGCGTGCATAGCGAAAACTGCGGCCAAGCTGCAAGCACCGACGATGGTGGAGTTTACTATGAAACCCGATATCAGCTGCATTGCAAAAACGATCTCATTCGCCGGGCTGAATCTGGTATCTATCAACTTGCTGTAAGAAGGAAAAGGTAATTGTAGCATCGAGACGGTCTGATTATCTCCGATCGACACCACCACTGTTGTCAAACTGGACATAATGCTGTAAGAGAACACGCCGCTGTGCATGAATATCGCGCAGAAACCCGCCACGAATCGGCCGAGCCTCGCGTTTCTTGCCATGATTTCGCGATCCCGCGATTGCCTTATGATCCGCCAGTCCGTTTCCATATGCCGCATGCATCGATGTATGTCAGCGCTGTGCAGCAGTAAGGAACAATAGTTGAGTCCGCCCATGAGCCAGTGGCTCAGGGGACCGATTGCTCTTAGTCTCAGCTCGATGTCCTTCTCCTCAAAACATATGTTCAGCGCGCATGGTATCACGGAGAAGGCTACTAGGAAGTAGCAGATGAATATTAAAACTCGAGACACAGCCTTCTCACTGCTCGAAGTCGCGGAGGTTCGTGGCCACGCGCCTATCGGTTTTAGAAACCACCGATTCAGCTGCACACTGTGATCGTGGAGATCTTTAGCCACCGACCGACACATGGTGACTACCGCGACGGCACGACGTCTACTAATCGACTATTAGAGACAGGCTTTCTAAGCGCTGTGGCGTCTGCGCGAGGGAAAAAGATGGTCTACCGCGAAGGAGATCCGATCGATTAACCGGTGTCATCGGACTCATATTGTCTGGATTAACATCGTTGTGAATATGTCTATACATCCTGAGCCCGTGAGTGATCTGTATCAATCAGTTGTCATGCGTGATGTTACAACGCATATTTTTATTGAACTATTGCAGAAGAAAATACGTCGTTACGGAGAAGTGGAACTTTACGCTGACCGTTAATGCAATTTGTTGCATTGTTCGTTCCTGGCGCCGCTTTCTGCATGCGCGATGCGTGCATTGTAAGGAAAACTACAAAGAAAAGTAAAGGACAAAATAGCAATTTTTATATTTTGTGAATTTTTAGATGCATGTGAGTACATCTATGTGTATATCTATGTATCGTATGTTCTTTATATTGTACTTTAATTCTTTGTACACTATGATTTCGACAATTTTTGCAATGATTAGTCTTATTAATTAGAAAAGTGACATTACTGACAACTTCAGAAAAAAATTTCCTCTTGCGTGTGTATTTAGTTGACGCCTATTTTTCACGTAGTATGTTACATTACAGTACGAAGTATATTCAGATATGCCGCAGAAGTTTTAATCACCTAGAATAAAGAAACAATAGATTAACAGACTAAAAATTAATAGACTAAATAAAATTAATTCTCTAACAAAGCTTTTTGTATATAAATAATTTTTTTTTGCGCAGAAGCTTTCAGTTCAATTTTTTTTATAAACCGAAAGATTTATAATACGCGCGTTATTCAAAAGTGCAGTGGAGAATACAGAAAATAATGAGCTTCATGTTTGGTTGGAAATGTTCTATGTCGCCGAAATGTATACTTACATCACCGAAAGTCATTAAAGAGAGGTGAATCAATTTTCCAGCAGTAATTTTGATCACAATGCCGGACCTCGATATTATCAACACTATACCAAGGGCGGTTTTATGAGGTAAACGGTACCAATTAATGAAGTAAGCCATTTCGCCAACCTTTTTACACTAGAGTTAATGTCATAGATATAACGAAAACACTTTTGCGGATTAATTGAATATTTTAAATATTATTAATTATAACATAAATATAAACAACAACCAAAACAAGCAGTTTCGTGGTTCGCTTGCACGCATTACCTGCTCCGTGATTATTTCACCGATGTAACAAAATATAAAGATATTAAAAGATAGGGATATGAACACAAGACCGTATGTTGTTATAGCCTTCGTGTTTCTTGCATTCCATTCCTGAAATTGCGAAACGGTGTGCCACAAAAAGAAAAGAAAAATATTCTTTAAGAAAGGAAAGTGTTACGTAAAAACAAAGTATGCATTTGTTTTTCCAAAGGAAAAAATGTAAAAATTAATTCACACTTTTGTCGTACCTTGATAGAACAGAAGCCGAGCAAGCACAAATTCATTGTGCATCCAACTAATTCCACCAGACATATTTGATTCATGATTTTTTCGAAGCGCGATATGAAACTGAAAATACCATAATTATCTCAGTTTTCAAGCTCTGTTTATATTTGGTTATATATCGTAATTCTTGCACATTTATAAACACTGGATCAGCGGTATCTTACTTTAGAACACGTAGGTGATGCTCGACTATGTTTGCCAGTTTGCTCTCAGCGGTTGGCTTCCCCTTTTTCTCATCAACCAGTTCGTTCAGCCACGTGTAGAGCACGGCGAATTGGCCGCACACGTGCATTGCGAAAACTGCAGCGAGGCTGCACGCACCGACGATGATGGAATTAGCTATGAAACCAGACAGAAACTGTATCATCAGCACGATCTCGTTCGCTGGATCACGGCTGGTATCCAGTAGCTTGCTGTAGAACGGACAAGGCAGCCGTCGCGCCGAGACGGTCTCGTTGCCGACCATGACGATCATCGGCGTTAAACTGTTCACTACACTGTACGAGAACACACCGCAGTGCATGAAAACGGCGCAGAACCCGGCCACGGATCTGCCGAATTTGGCGTATCTGAGCATCACTCCGCGATCCACGTTTCTGCTCACCGCGCACCAATCGCTCTCCATGTGCTCGATGCAGCGACGTATGTCTTTGCTGCGCCACAGAAGGGAGGTATAATTTATTCCGCTCATAATCCAGTGGCTTACCGGACCCACCGAATTTATCTTGGTATCGAGATCCTGCTCCTCAAAGTAGAAGTACATCATGCAAGGCACAACCGTGAAAGCTATGAGAGCGTAGCATGTTATCTGAATGATTCTCGACAGGAGTCTCTCGGTGATCGTCGTAGTGCGCGACTCTGGCCAGGCACCGATTGGTTTCAGAAACCAGCGGTTCAGCTGAAGACTATAATCGTGTTCGTTACGGCGATTCAGAGCCGACGTTTGCTTGTCAGACTCGGATGCGATCGTCATGATCGTTCTTTCAAAGCGCGCAAGTTACTGAACCCTTTCGTTATCCCGTTTTTTGTGGAAGCGGAAAAGTCAATGTGGCGATTGCGCAGGTCTTTATTCAGAGTTGCGGTCTGCATGCAAGAGGCGGGACATTCTGCTAATCGATAATCGCTACTTGTTGCACCGCCAGTTGCAAGTAAAGACATGTAGATGACATGCGAACTGTGACGTGTGCAGTACATTTTGTTTCGCAAGTGGTCGTAGAGAATCGTGAACTTAATTTGTATAACGTATGTAATTTATAAAATTAATTTATCCTGTTGCACGGAGAGAAAATCACTTTTTTTTATATTAAATAAAGTAAAAACTGATGAAGAAGACATGCGAGAAGATCGACAAGTTATTACAAAAATGCATATTATGCGCAGTTTTTACATGTATAAAATACAGTAATAATTTTTTTGCAAAATATTTATTATGCTACAGATATTAAGACTCACACATGCTATCGTACAATATTTACATAGTTAGAGTTCTAAGCATATTCAAGTATGCCACAGAAGTTTTAATTACCTAAATAAATTAAAAATCCTTAAAATTTGCATATAACTTGTGACATGGTGTACAAGCATCATTTCTTCCATTCGATACTTACATCGCCGAAAGTTGAGATTGACATATGAAATATCTTTCCTGCAGTGATTTTGATAACTATGCTCGATCGTAAAATTATTAAAATCAGACCGAGCATAGTTTTACGCGGCAACTGATACCAATTTGTCATATACGCTGCTTCCCCAACTTTTTTACACTGTCGTGAGATTAAGTTTCTTGAATCAAGATGCCGTCCACTATTACATATCAAATGAGAGTGAAAGTCTACAAAATGTGACGATACGCCAAACTCGATTATTTTACCTGCTCCGTAACGAGATCACCGATGTAGCAAAATATGAAAATATTAAACGTCATCGACGTCAATACAATAAGATACGTTATTAAAGTGTTCGTACTTTCTTCGTGCCATTCCTGAAAAGTAGAACATGCCAGAATTGATATAAATGATCTGAAAGTAAAATATAAAGAAGCGAAAAGAATATGTTCATCTGTTTTAAATTACATATTCACCTTTTCAAGATTTTAAGCGTACCGTAATGGTGTAATATCCTAGCATACATAAGTTGAATGTACATCCGGCTAATTCCACAAGGCACACTTGACGCATAATTACCTCCATGCGTGAAAGAAACCTGAAATTGACTCAACAGTAATTTCTATCCGATGCATAGATCAAATAATTATTATTATAGAGAACTTTTTCAGGCAAAATATTGCACTTCTTAGAATACATTTAAAATTATTTTAATATAATATGAGAGTAACATTATTAATATTATAATTAATGTTATAATAATATTAATAACAGTAAAATAATAGTTAATAAGAAATTAATTTTATTATAAATGAATATAATTCACTGATTATTTACAGATTCTATTATTTTATTATCTACTACCTTATAAGTAGTGTTTATAAATGATGAGAAGTACATGGGTAACAATGATAAATTATATAGCAATCTTGCCTTAATGCTCGCAAATGACGCTCCACGAGATTCGCCAGTTTTCTCTGTATGACGTCGCGTTGTTTCTCCTCGACAAGTTCCTCGAGTCGCGACATCACTACACCGAGCTGACCGCATGCGTGCATCGCGAATACCGCGGCCAGGCCGATCGCGCCGACTGTGGTGTTGTTCACCACAAGACCCGAGAGGCACTGAAGCGTGAACACGATCTCGTACACCGGGGTAAACCTAGTGTCCACGATCTTATTGAAAGAGGGACACGGCAAGCGACCTATCGTGACCGTCTCGTTGCCGACTACCACGAGTAATGGTGATGTTCCCCTCGCCACGTTGTAGGAACATATGCCACCCTGCATGATGAGTGCACAAACGCCCGCTATGGCACGTCCCACTCTCGCGTTCCTCAGCATCGTTTCTTGATCGCGTCCTCTCTTCGCCATTCGCCAATCGGCCTCCATATGTTCGATGGATTTACGTATCTGCCGCTTTTGATATAACAGCGAGCAATAATTCATACCACCCATGAGCCAGTGACTCGTGGGCCCTACGGCCTTCAGTTTGAAACGGACATCCTTCTCTTCGAAAAGAATGTACAGTATAGAGGGTATCACGGTGAGTGCTATCAAGGAGTGACACGTCAATCTCAGAATTTTTGACAAAGTCTTCTCAACTGCCGAGCTCGTGGGTAATTCCGGCCAAACACCTATCGGTTTCAAGATCCAGCGATTTATTTGAAGACTATAATCGTTATTTCGTCTGTAAACGTCTATCTTGGACTCGTGGGAGGAACGCATTGCTCTTAACCCGCGGCGGGCACGTCAAATACTAATCTTTACTGACTGTACGTCTCGACGGTAAGACCACTACTAGCTGCTAGTTATGGTAGCGCTTGCGCGGACATGTGGCTTATTCCTGAGAGAAAATACGTTGCTTTGTCGGCTGGCTCTGCATAATCGATATTTACAGTACTGCAACTTGTTGCATAGAAACTCAGCGTAAAGTACGGTACACGAGCAATGAAGTTGTAAAATGATTGAGCAAGTGCCGTCAGTCACGTGAAAACACGATGAATTTTTCATTTGTGAAATATAGTTCTTTATGTTGCAAGATACGTCTTTCGTTCTGCATACGGGCCGGACGTATGCTTTACTTGAGTTTGTGCTCTAAATCGTTCTATTAAGACCTCCATTCTATTTTATTCGACAAGTTCTTGAGGTGAAATACGAGTGAACATAAATAATTATAAGTACATTTAAAACAAACGCATTATATCTTCTGTGTGAAATAATTTCAGCGTTTTTAATTAATTTCTATTTTCAATATATATTGTTTTTAAATATGTAACTATGTAATAGAAGATTTACATACGTAGACTGACAAGTATATTTAGACAAACTAGATGTAGAAGACGTGATAGATTGTTAGATAAGTATTAATTTAATGCTCCTTATTTAGTGAATCTGCATTCGCATCCTCTTCTCTTTATTTCCACGCGCATCACTAAAGTACGGAAGTATAGCTCGGGTAGTATTGAAAGGCACGAAGGAAGTCGAGGACGGTGCGCTTGCTCGCTTAACTTCCAAGGGAAAAGCGATCAAACGATCAGTCATATAAGGAAGTTGAAGGGTGCATTTTATAGTCGTATTGACTGTCATATGACGATAACAGGGAATTCACTTCTTCCTCTCCCTTGTACGATATATTGGTCACTATTCCGTGAATTATGTGCGTAAGATTTGCATTCTTTCCCACAGATATCTTCCGCGAAAGCAATCGGTAAGGGCTGCGATATCATTCTCCTTTTTAAGAATTCTCCCTTGGAGTATTATAAAATATTACATATGTACAAAATCATTTATAACATACATATATGCTTGCGTGTTGATGTGTGAATTAGATTTATATATAAAACAATTTCATATACGAGAAATTTTATATATTTTATAATATCTATATAGAGAAAATACAATATACTCGTATTTTATCATCATACAATTTACACAGTTAAAGTTCGCAGCATGTTCAAGTATGCAACAGATGTTTTAATTACCTAAAACGTTTAATAATTAATTGGAATTTTAATAAGTTGCTACAAGTATTTAAGATAAATTTGTACTTTTTACATATTGTAATGGAAAATACGTTTTAAATTTATTTTATAGAAGTTATTTTTATAATTTTCGTACTTACAACACCGAAAGTTTGGATAGACATATGAAATATTTTTCCAGCCGTAATTTTGATAACAATTCTTGATCGCAAGATTATTAAAATGAGACCAAGAACAGTTTTATGCGGCAATTGATACCAATCTGTCATATAAGCTACTTCACCCACTTTTTTGCACTATCACGAAATTGAATCCATCAATTCAAGCATAAATAACATTTTAATCAGTAACAAACTGATGAGAATAGCTTTTAAGATAAAAGACGTTTACTTTACCTGATCCGTCACGAGTTCGCCAATGAAGCAAAATATGAAGATATTAAACATCATCGACGTCAGTACCATGATATATGTTATTATAGTGTTTAGACTCTCTTCCTGCCATTCCTGGAAGGATACATAAAGTGATAGCGTTTAAAATCAAGACAGAAAGTAACGATAGGCGTTTCATATATTCACCTTTCTCAAATTTTTAGCATACCGTAATGGTGTAATATCCTAGCATACATAAGTTGAATGTACACCCGACTAATTCCACAAAACATATCTGACGCATAATTCCTTCCAATTGCGAAAGAAACCTGTAATCGACACATCCAGCAATAGCCGCGATAGATACTCAATATTTATATCCGAATATCTTACAGCCCGCGATAGTTGCAATTCTGCAAATATGTCATATTTAGGACAAAGCGTTACAAAACAATCTTTCCAACGTGTTGTAGTTTCGTGGCATTTTTAAAACAAACAAAAATGACTGGAAAAGTTTTACACGAGATCCTCTAAAGGCTAGCAAAAATTCATAAAATATACAACTATGTCACCCATGGATATTAAAAATTCTTTGTGTGATCTTTTCAAATTCGCCCTACCTCAACGCTCGCAGATGATGCTCCACGATGTTCGCCAGTTTCAGCTGGAGATCTTGCTTTTCTGCGACGAGTTCCTCGAGACGTAGCATCACTACGTTGAGTTGGCCAGTAGCATGCATCGCGAAGACAGCGGCGAGACCGCATGCACCGATCGTGATATTGTTCACCACGATGGTCGAGAGGCACTGCAACGCGAGCACGACCTCGTATACCGGGCTAAGTCTGGTATCCACAATTTTGTTGAAAGACGGACACGGTAAGCGACCTGTCTCGATCGTTTCATTGCCGATTATCACGGTTATCCGTGACATTCCCCTCGCTATATTGTAACAAATAACACCACCCTGCATGATGAGCGCGCAAATACCCGCTATAACGCGTCCCACTCTCGCGTTTCTCAGCATCAGTTCCCGATCGTGTTTTCTCGTTGCCATCCGCCAATCGGTCTCCATATGCTCTATAGACGTGCGTATCCGTTCGTTGTGGTGCAGAAGAGAACAATAATTGATTCCGCCCATGAGAAGATGGCTCGTAGGTCCTATAGCCTTGAGCTTCAAGCGGATATCCTTCTCTTCGAAAAATATATATAATACAGAAGGTATTACGGTAAAAGCTATTAAAGAATGACACGTTAATCGCAGGATATTTATTATGATATTCTGGATCATCGAATTTGTCTTTAACTCCGGCCAAGCGCCTATCGATCTCAGGAACCAACGATTTAACTGCAAACTATAATCATTATCTCGCTTGTAGACGTCCACGATGGTCTCTTTAGAAGCTCGCTTCATAGTTGATTTATGGAAGGCGCGCCAAGCACTGATCAGTACTACTAGCTGCGTTTCTCAACGAAGCAGTGGTTGTGCCAGCGCCTGCGCGGACGAGAGAGAAGAAATTATTATACCGTCCGGCTGAGACAGAATGCAATCGATACCTACAGTTACTGGTTGCACGAAATCGCCGTGTGTTGTACAACATACTCGTACAACATAGCTCGACCGCCAAAGTGATCAAGTGTGCAATTATTATTACTTTTTATTGTTGTATATCCTACGCTGTTACGTAAATGCACAATACTAAATTCACGTGGAGAACGAGATAATATGCAGTTGATAATTTCCTTTTTTTCATTTTTAAATGATGTTCGTAAAATTATTTCTCAGTAATTAAAATTTTCTGGTTTATACATGTATTCTCTTTCACCAGTAAATGAATGTCTCGTTTGAAGGTAAATGCGCATTACTTCCGATTGCATTGCGATGGATTTTATGTCCCGTAATTAATATGTGTAGAGTCAAGAAATACTTCAGAGGGTAACATACGAAAGATATATTGAACTTTCTTTTTCTGCAAACATTTTAATAAATACTATTCTAATGTATCAAAACCATTTCTCTCTTTCTTTTTGATACATACGAAATAACCAATTGATTTTCAATTAACGATTGCGTTAATAATTTTCACACTTTGAAAGAGACCTATATATTTAACGTACGCAGCATGTTAAAGTAGGCAACTGATGTTTTGATCACCTATAAGTTACACGAGTGTCTCGTAAGTGATACCACTCGAAAAATAGATACGATAGACATTGACATTGCATTACTCACGTCGCCGAAAGTACCGAGGGACAATTCGAAGAAATTCCCGGCGGTAAGTTTGATCGATGCATTGGACATAGCGATCATCAATACAAGGGCGAGACTCTTCTTTCCGGATAGACGATACCAGTTGATCATGTACGACACCTCGGCGATCTTTTTGTACTGTTTGCAAAATTGTTTTTCTTATTTTTTAATATATTAAAAAGGCCAGTGCTCCAAGAGCAGCTTTTTGAAAAAATATGACTTTGGAGCACGTTGGTCTGACCGTAGCTCATGAGCTGATTATAATTTGAAGCATTAAGAATATGATGCAGAGTATTCAAAAACGGAAAATAACAAAGAAATTGAGTATATGTCGTATTTAATGATGATTTATATGGCTTAGATTTTTCTCAAAATAAATTTTGAATTTTATAAATTTTATTATTATTGGAAGTATAATATTCCTGGTGTTGTAAAGATACAATCGTAAAGGGAAATATACTTGGAAGGATTGCTATTAAAATCTAGCAAAGGAATGCTATGACTATCAGGACCTTTTACCTTTTCGATAACCAGTTCGCCGATGTAACACAGCATAAAAATACTAAACGTAAAAGATAGAAGCAGAACGAAATACGTTAAATAACTTGTAATCTCCCTACTCTCCCATTCCTGTAACGTAAAGTTTCGAGAACATACATATTATACACGTTAAAAATATCACAAGTCGATTTATAATATTGTTTTGAAATAGCGATGCGCTTTACGCAGTAAAGTAAATGTACTCTTTGTGCATATTATTGTACATACATACCACGATACTGTAATATCCAAGAAGACATATGTTTAATGTACACTGTACAATTTCTATAATAGATATTTCACACAGTATCTTGTCCGTTAGTGATATAAAACTGAAAGATGACGAACACGTTAAGAAAAGTATTTTAAAAGAAAAGTACGATTCCGTTAAATGTTCGTGAACAAGTAAAGCGCCATATAAATAAATAAATATATATATATATTGAATGCACGAGATATTGACCAAGAAAGGGATTCACCGTAAAATTTGAACATGTTGTTCTACGATCATCACCAATCTCTCATTCATGTTATTATATAAATCTTCCCGTCCATCCACCAAGTGTTCGATCCATTGTATTAGGACCCCCATGCGGCCGCAGGCATGCAGCGCGAGTACGATGGATAAGCTGTATCCACTGGCAGTGATGAAGTGCGCGACAAAACCCGCCAAGCATTGCACCCAGAAGAAAATCTCATTGATAGGGCTGCGTCGCACGTCGACAATCACTCTGGCGACTGGAAATATTAGTGGCCGATAGGTCAGGTTTCCGTCATCCTCTGTAATCTTTCCGGCACTGAACGGCAGGACGAGACAATAGAAAACTGCACCGCCGTAGATGAAGAACGCGCAGATCGCCACGAGGCGTCGGCCGAATTTTGCGCTCTTAATCATGACGACTCGATCATCGTAATGTAGAGTGTTCATCCAGTCTCTCTTGATATGCTCCATAGCATTGCGAATGTCTTTCTCGTGGAAGAGCAGCCAGAAGTACTTTACGATGACCACTGTACAGAAACTCAGTGAGCCGCAAAGTTTCAAGATAAGGTACGCATCATCCATTTCAAGCACTATATAGATGACAGTAGGTATAACGAGAAAGCTAACTAAACTCGCACAAATCACGTTTAACAATGCGTACGCGAATCTCTTTATCGATGAGATTGCGGTGGATTTCGGCCACGCACCAATCAGCTCCATCATCCAACGATTCAGCTGAATGCTCAGCTGTATATCTTTCTCGTGATCGAAGACGGTTGCCACTGGATTCTCCTTCTCTATGACGGTTCCGTTCATTGTTGAAGTGATGAGAGCTCAATCGTGACTGATAGACTTGTCCGAGAGCTCGAGTGGGGAGAGTCAAATGCGATTGCGCTATTCTGCGTGATTTCCCTTCTAGGAAAGGGGCGATCAAGTAGGATATGAAGGGTAAACTTTCTGGTTGCAATTTCCGACTTCACTGAGGGAGTTCAAAGTTTCCTTACGTGATACTGCATATGTCTATGTATTATGGATTGGAACGGATTGCTCTTCGTGGATGTATTTTCCGCGATTTATCATGGTAGGTCGTAACCTATGGTTTCTTTCTTCTCTACGTCAAGTATACGATATTATACGCGAATAACAAGTCTGATTTCGCATAGCCGTATATTTCGAAACACATGCCTCATATGTTAACGAATATTATTATACGTGTTTAAAAGGGAAGCGCTTTTTATCTTACAATACGTTATCCGAATTAAAGAAATTATATTTTAATGAAGTAAGTTGTTTGTAATCGCGTATTAAAAGTTTTTAATTTTATTCTTAATGTTTTATAAAAATTTATTTGAATATATTTAATGTTGCTTTATATAGAAAATCTGTTTTTTATTCTGACATGATATTAGGCAGTACTAAAAATTCGAGCATGACTGTACAATTGTGTATTTTGATGAACGTCTCATCATTTATTAAATACGCTTTCACAACGGTTCGACCTTTGGTTTAGGTTCTTATCAAGTAAGATCTAAGAGCAAATGTTTTACATACAGATTACGTGAGGAGTATACAAGAATTGTACACTATCGCAAAATAATTGTCGGCCTACCTTGTGACGGAGTTTTGTCAAATAAAATTAAAACTACACATTAGCGGAATAGAGTTCAGTATTAAGAGTATAATTTCACTAACGTCCGGAGTCGAGGGATGCAAGACCAAGGCTGATTAGTCATTTTAGTATTCAGAGGTAACAGTTACAAACAGTTAAACGTTGTGGAAGCGTATTTAAAAATGTGGCCAGCTGAGATCGATTAAAACTTGAAATTTTATTTATTTTTTAACATTACATTCATTTTCTCTATTTCTATATGGGATAATTCGAATAACTAATTGACATTTATTTACAATCAATTGATTGCATTAACAATTTCTACTCTTCGAACAAATTTCATGTAGTTAATGTTCGCAGCATGTTTACGTAAGCGACAGATGTCTTAATTACCTGTCAATGGATGAACAATGTGTAATTCATTCTACTCACAAATAGATATAGTAGACATTGACACTGTGTTACTCACGTCGCCGAAAGTACTGAGAGACAACTCGAAGAAATTTCCAGCGGTAAGTTTGATCGACGTATTGGAGACAGCGATCATCAACACGAGAGCGAGGCCCTTTCTTTCTGGCAGACGATGCCAATCGATCATGTACGATACCTCGCCGATCTTTTTGCACTGTTTACGAGATCATTCTTTTATTTTTGCGATACATAATTACACTTACATTGTTATAAGAGCTATTTTCTAAAATAAATTTTATAAATTTTATAAATTTCATTAATATTAGAATTATACTCCTGCTATTATAGAAATATAGAGTGTACTTTATCGTAAAGTTTGGTATTAAATTTATCCCAAGTGCAGGCAACTCAACTGTGAGAACTTACCTTTTCGGCAACAAGTTCGCCGATGTAACAAAATATAAAAACATTGAACGTAAGAGATATAAGCAGAACAAAATACGTTATATAACTTGTAGTCTCTTTACTCTCCCATTCCTGTAACGTAAAGACTCCTATAATCGAGGACCCATTTTAAATCGTACACACTGTCCTCCAACATTGCTTTGAAATAGCGATGCGTTTTGCATGGTACATACTTTTTATACGATATGCATACCGTGAGTGTATAATATCCAAGAAAACATATGTTTATCGTACATCCTACAATTTCCACGACAGATATTTCACGCAATACCTTGTCCGTTAGCGATATAAAACTGGAAAGTAACGGGTGTGTTATGGAATAAAGAAATATTTCGCAGGATAGACACGTCTTACATAAACAAGTAAAAATAAATTGAAGCGCTCTGTAAATGTATGAAAAGAAAATGCACGTCAATTCATTTGTAATGATACCATTTCCTGAAAATTTTGAAAGATATTGACGATCCTCGTCGGAGAATGGCTTACCGCAAGATTCGAACGTGCTGCTGCACGATCATTGTCAATCTCTCATCCACGTTATCGCAGAGATCTTCCCGACCGTCCACTAAATGTTCGATCCATTGTATTAAGACTTCCAGGCGGCCGTAGGCATGCATCGCGAACACGGCGGCCAAGCTGCATGCACCGGCAGTGATGGAGTGTGCTATGAAACCCGATATGCACTGCACCCAAAAGAGAATCTCACTGATAGGACTATATCTCGTGTCAACAATGATCCTGGCGACTGGATACACCAGCGGCCTGTACGTCAGGTTCCCATCGTCCTCCGTGACTTTGCCTTTACTGAAGGGCAAAGCGAGATAGTAAAATATGGCACCGCCGTACATGAAGAACGCGCAGATCGCCACGAGGCGTCGACTGAATTTTGCGCTCTTAATCATGACGACTCGATCATCGTAATATAGAGTGTTCATCCAGTCTTTCTTGATATGCTCCATAGCATTGCGAATGTCTTTCTCGTGGAAGAGCAGCCAGAAGTACTTTACGATGACCACTGTACAGAAACTCAGTGAGCCGGAACGTTTCACGATAAGGTACGCATCATCCAGTTCAAGCACTATATAGATGACAGCAGGTATAACGAGAAAGCTAACTAAACTCGCACAAATCACGTTTAACAATGCGTACGCGAATCTCTTTATCGATGAGATTGCGGTGGATTTCGGCCACGCACCAATCAGCTCCATCATCCAACGATTCAGCTGAATGCTCAGCTGTATATCTTTCTCGTGATCGAAGACGGTTGCGACTGGATTCTTTTTCTCTATGACGGTTCCGTTCATTGTTGAAGTGATGAGAGCTCAATCGTGACTGATAGACTTGTCCGAGAGCTCGAGTGGGGAGAGTCAAATGCGATTGCGCTATTCTGCGTGACTTCCCTTCTAGGAAAGGGGCGATCAAGTAGGATATGAAGGGTAAACTTTCTGGTTGCAATTTCCGACTTCACTGAGGGAGTTCAAAGTTTCCTTACGTGATACTGCATATGTCTATGAATTATGGATTGGAACGGATTGCTCTTCGTGGATGTATTTTCCGCGATTTATCATGGTGGGTCGTAACCTATGGTTTCTTTCTTCTCTACGTGAAGTACACGATATTATACGCGAATAACAAGTCTGATTTCGCATAGACGTATATTTCGTAACACATGCCTCATATGGTAACGAATATTATTATACGTGTTCAAAAGGGAAGCGCTTAATTAATCATATTTTAATGAATTATATATGGGATTGAAAAAACTGAAGAACAATATAATATATAATTAAAAAAAAGTAAAGTAAAGTAAAGTGTGCAAATTAGAAATTTGCACATGGCTTCCATTGTTATGGCTTCCTCATAGAGGAAGCTTTAAGAGCGAAATAAGAATAATTTGAATACTTTCAAGAAACATCGTAGTAAAGTTAGATTTCTCTCTTAAAGCTTCCTTTATGAGGAAGCCGTAGCAATGGAAGCAATGTGCAAATTTCTAATTTGTCTACTTTAATAATGAGTAAGAAATGTGCAAATTTCCAATTTGCACGCTTCAATGATGAGGAAGCAATATGCAAATTTCTAATTTGCACACTTTCAAGAAACATCGAAAAAAATTAGATTTCGCTCCTAAACCTTCCTTTATGAGGAAGCCATGCAAATTTCTAATTTGCACACTTTACTTTACTTTTTTTTAATTATATATTATATTTTTTTCATTGTTTGAGAGTTTTAGGTACCTTCTTCATTTACATTCAAATACGTAAAAATTTTTAAAAAATCTTGTACCTTTCCGTTAAGTGCATTTCAGCTTTGATATACATAGAAAGAAAAATGTAGCTGCTGTGGATAAAAACTATACGTGGCAACTAAATTTTTATCTTACAATACGTTATCCGAATTAAAGAAATTATATTTTAATGAAGTAAATTGTTTGTAATCGCGTATTAAAAGTTTTTAATTTTATTCTTAATGTTTTATAAAAATCTATTTGAATATATTTAATGTTGCTTTATATAGAAAATCTGTTTTTTATTCTGACATGATGTTAGGCAATACTAAAAATTCGAGCATGACTGTACAATTGTGTATTTTGATGAACGTCTCATCATTTATTAAATACGCTTTCACAACGGTTCGACCTTTGGTTTAGATCCTTATCAAGTAAGATCTAAGAGTAAATGTTTTACATACAGATTACGTGAGGAGTATACAAGAATTGTACACTATCGCAGAATAATTGTCGGCCTACCTTGTGACGGAGTTTTGTCAAATAAAATTAAAACCACATATTAGCGGAATAGAGTTCAGTATTAAGAGTATAATTTCACTAACGTCCGGAGTCGAGGGATGCAAGACCAAGGCTGATTAGTCATTTTAGTATTCAGAGGTAACAGTCACAAACAGTTAAAAACGTGGTGAAAGCGTATTTAAAAATGTGGCCAGCTGAGGTCGATTAAAACTTGAAATTTTATTTATTTTTTAACATTACTTTCATTTTCTCTATTTCTATATCGGATAATTCGAATAACTAATTGACATTTATTTGCAATCAATTGATTGCATTAACAATTTCTACACTTCGAACAAATTTCATGTAGTTAATGTTCGCAGCATGTTTAAGTAAGCGACAGATGTCTTAACTACCTGTCAATGGATGAACAATGTGTAATTCATTCTACTCACAAATAGATATAGTAGACATTGACACTGTGTTACTCACGTCGCCGAAAGTACTGAGAGATAACTCGAAGAAACTTCCAGCGGTAAGTTTGATCGACGTATTGGAGACAGCGATCATCAACACGAGAGCGAGGCCCTTTCTTTCTGGCAGACGATGCCAATCGATCATGTAGGATACCTCGCCGACCTTCTTGCACTGTTTACAGGATTTCTTTTCTCATTTCTTTTATTTGAAACATGTCTACGCTGCTACGAGCTACTTTCTACAATAAATACTGAATTTTATAAATTTTATTATTAAAATTAATTATAATATTGCTGCTACTGTAATAACGTGTTATAAATTTTTGCGTGAATTCACTGTATACACATTGTGCGTGTGCTGTGTATTTCTAAGGTTTGTCACTAGACTTATCGAAATTACAGAAAAGTGCTTTACCTTTTCTGTAACAAGCTCGCCAATGTAACAGAATATAAAGATATTGAACGTAAGAGATATAAGCAGAACGATAAATGTTATATAGCGTGCAGGCTCTCTAGTCTCCCATTCCTGCAACGGAAAGGTTCTTATATTCCAGAACTCATTGTATGTATTATAACAGGACAACAATCTCTATTATTGCTTCGAAATTGCGACGCACTTTGCGAGGTGCGTACTTTCTGTACGACTTATGCATACCGTGATAGAAAAATATCCAAGAAGACACATGTTTAACGTACATCCTACAATTTCCACGAGAGATATTTCGCGCAGTACCTTGTCCGTTAGTGATATAAAACTGGAAGGTAACGGGCACGTTATGGCGTAAAAAATATTTCACAGGAAAAGTATGAGTTTTCGTTAAGTGTTCCTAAACAATTAAAAATAAATTGAAGCACTGTACAGATGTACATATGTTGTGAAGCATCAAAGATGCTAATCGGAAAGTGACACTCACCGTAAGATTCGAACGTGCTGTTGCACAATCATCGCCAATCTCTCATCCACGTTATCACACAAATCTTCCCGGCCGTCCACTAGATGCTCGATCCATTGTATCAAGACCTCCAGACGACCGTAAGCGTGCATCGCGAACACGGCGGCCAAGCTGCATGCACCAGCGGAGATGGAGTGCGCGATGAAACCTGATATGCATTGCAACCAAAAGAGAATCTCACTGACGGGACTGTGTCGCGCGTCGACAATCACCCTGGCGATCGGATACACCAGTGGCCTGTACGTCAGGTTTCCATCGTCCTCTGTAATCTTGCCGACACTGAACGGCAGAGCGAGATAATAGAAAACGGCACCGCCGTACATGAAGAACGCGCAGATCGCCACGAGGCGTCGGCCGAATTTTGCGTTCCTGATCATGATAACTCGATCCCCGTCGTGTCGAGTATTCGTCCAGTCTCTCTCGATATGCTTTATACCAATGCGGATGTCGTTCTCACGAATGATCAGCGAGGAATATTTCATGATGGCCATTATGCAAAAACTCAGCGCCCCGGAGAGTTTCAGAATACGATACATATCATTCATTTCAAGCACCATGTAAATGGCAGAGGGTATAAAGAGGAAACTGACCAGACCGGTACAGATTACATTTACCAGAAGATACACGAACTTTCCTATCCACGAGAGATCGGCTGATTTTGGCCAGACACCTATCGGCTTTAATATCCAGCGATTAAGCTGGACACTCAACTGCATGTCTTGTTTGTGATCGTGAATACTCGTGACAGTGTTCGTTATTTCCATACTAGTTCCGTCTATCATTGCAGCGACGAGAGCCCGATGACTACTGATAGGAATACGCGAGAGTTTGAGCGAGGAAAAATCTCGCGTCTGCGCTGTTCTGCGCGATTTTCCTTCTAGGAAAAGGGTGATCAAGCAGGATATGAAGGGTAAGAAAGCTTTATAGTCGTGATTTCCAACTTCCGTAAAAGGGTTCAAGGTTTCCTCATGTGGTAACTGCACGTGTCCGTTCATGAAATATGAAAGAAGCGGTTTATATTCTTCGTGGAAATACCTTCCGCGATTTATCTGTACGAATCGCATGTGTTTCTGTCGTTCATGTAGTTCTTGCGTGAGATACTAAACCATGTTACACACGTGGAAGAATACGATTTTCTGTGCATATATATTGTGCAGTGTTTACAAACGAGGCATATAAAAATTTTATTTTAATATGTTTTTAAATGCAAAGAATACTTTGTATTTTATGGTATATATTCCATAAAAAATCTAGTGTTATCCGATGACTATTATTATAATTCATATCGTATTTCCTTAAGTTGTAAATGTTTGTAGCATTATTAAATAGGTGACAAAGATGTTTCGATAATCTGTCTGGTTTAAGAAAAGTATAATTTCATATTTCAGTTATCGTAATATCTGTGGTTAACTGAACGATATCTTTTGGATCAAAATTAACTCTTGTATTTCATGCTTGTTGTAAAAAAATGCATTTTCGCAGTTCAAGTAATTATTAATATAAAATATAAAATTCTAGTTCCCTTTTTTTAGTGTGGATATTGTACTTACATTACTCGAGTTGTTGATAGATCAATGAAATATCCAACAATAAGTCTTGTAGTTGAGATGAAGGTAAGACATTTTCTTCCGGAAATTGATCTACGTGCTCTCATGTACTTTCATGATCTGTGATCACAAGATTTCTGCTGTAAATGATAATCACAAAGTTTTACATTGTCTTGTGCTATTATGCATCTATGTGTGCGTCGGAAAATTTTTTATAATATAATGTTATGAAAAATAACGGTTATCAGCTATTCTATTAAAAGTTTGCGTATTTAATAAAATGATTATTTTATACAAATATGATTATTTTGAACGTATGCAAAATGAAAAATATCAGATGTGTTAAGCTGTTTATAGATTGTTTAAAGTCCCATTTGAAAAGTATACAATATTTAAAACAGACAAGCAAACAATAATAAATGAGAATCACGTATCTCTGATATATAGCAGGTATGAATTATTATACTTATTAAATAGTTGTAAATATACCATCATATAATAATTCAAGAAAACGTATATTCGACGTGTATCTTGCAGCTCAAAGAATAAATCTAAAGAATAAATCGTAATTTTTCTGAATTTAATATTCAGTAAACGGATATTTATTTAATCTCAAAATACACCGCAATCAAAAGCCGATTTATTAGAAAATATTTTTAATGATTAGAAATATGTAAAGCACTTACAGTATCATGTTGAAGAACAGCAAAAAGCGGTCTTGAAACATCTCATCCATTTCCGGGATTTTTTAGTTTCAGTTAATCAATCTCAATATGTGTACCTATATGGTACAGCTAATGTTGTCCTCCAGTTGAAATTCGATTAATTCGTCCATTCGATAACGACTTACATATTAGCAAGGGAAAAACTGATTCTCCCTAGTTTATTTGTTTGCAAAGCGATCGTGCGATTGTAACTGATAGATGAAAGTATAGACGAAAGTATGAAATCCCTTTGCATTATTCATGCACTCATGTTTTTGTCACCGCGATGGTTCTGTCGCAGCACAATTAAAAGTTTGGTACGAAAGATTGCGTGCACGCAATTTTTTGTCGATAGGAGATAAGTACAGGGTAGAATCGATTTACATGAGATGGCCTTTAGCAAAAGTACAAGCGGTCTATCTTGTGTCAGGTCATAGGTCATAATCAGGTTACATTTAACTAACTATATGGTTCAAATCAGTGATTAATCTAATATCTTGCAGTAACTGATCATGAAAATTAGAAATTTTAAGTCAAATACGTTAAAAGTTTAATGTTTAGACTTGTGTAACTTCCTTTGAAATATCTTAATGAAAGGAAAAGATTAAGACTGAAATAAGAAGTATTAGTTGTTCATCTTATTCATTCGTTTCAAAGATAACGTTAATTACAGATAATTAATTCGAGTGCTGTATTATTATGATAGTCACTTCATCCAAATCATGTGATAAATTTTCGGAGCAGATTAAAGTACGCCATCGATGTTTTAACGATCTATGAAATAACGAAACAGATATGCAATTTAATACTGTCAAGCCAAAATGAAATAAGCTTTCACACTTACATTGCTAAATGTAGGTAGGGACATTTCTATCATTTTTCCCGCCGAGATTTTTGCCGGAATATTGGAAACCGCCATTATCAGGATTAAAGTTCGTGCTCTTTTGTGCGGAAGACGATGCCAATTTGTCGTGGACGTCATTGATCCAACTTTGATACTCTGTCATAATTCATTAAGTACATCTTTTGTGAATGCCCGTGAAAACGTTGCCTATTTTTCACAGCTAATATTTTCATATGTATATTAACTACCTGATCTGTCAACAATTGACCGACGTAGCAATTAGTGAAAATGGAAAAGGTGAAAGATGTAAGTATTACAGACATAGTTAACATGGCTGTAGAATCGCTACTTTCCCATTCCTGTAAAGTTAACACTATTGCAATACACAAAACTGGCGAAACACAGTAATATTTGATAATATCTCAATTTAAATTTATACACGAGAATTAGCTGAAGTTAAATCGTTATGCATTATCGAATTATTATGATAAAAACTTCACGGAAATTGTTCTGCTTCATTACCATAATAACGTAGTACCCTGTAAGACATAAAAGTATAGTACAGCCCACTATTTCCACTAACCATACATATCGCATAGTTTCCTCTACTTGTTTTAGGAAACTGTAAACAAATTATGTATTTCTTTAATGTATAGTAATATTGATACACTTTTGTTCGCGCATTATATTGTATATATATATATATATATATTAGAATATATTTAATAAAATATTAATGCAAAATAATAATTTACTATTTGTTTTATGATAATAATTATTTAGTTATTATTTCAGATTTGTAATTTTGAATATTCTGTCGTAATTTCTCTAACAGGTCTAATTTGAAGGAATTTTTCGTAGTTACAATAATAACATGCTAATTTTATTATCAATTCCGTTTCGTAATTCTATGCACTTGACAAAGTTAATAAGACATTTCATTTCCATAAAAATCTTTCCCACTTAACTTTTCTTTATAGACTCACTTTTTCACTTTTATTTGATGCTCTATGATGTCAGCCAGCAGTCTCGCGACAGGTCGATCCTCAGGCCTCGGCATATCGTTAAGGTACTGGAGCTTGCCGATTAATACACTCAGTTGTCCGCAAACGTGCATGACAAAAAATGCGGCCAATCCGGCTGCGCCACACGTTACCGAGTAGGTGATCAATCCTGAGAAGAATTGCAGAGTGAAGACGATCTCGTATGCTGGCGAAGCCTGTTCATTGAACTTGACGAAGTAGCTCGGGCATGCCAGTGCTCTCACCGTGGTGTTCATCGGCGTGAGCATACGACCCTTTGAAAGCGGCACGAGAGTGCGGTAAGACAGTCCACCGACGTACATAAAGACAGTAGAACAGATCGCGAACTTTCGGCCTATCCTCGCCTTGGACAACATCGCTTTCCGATCATCCCAATTGACCGTATCCATCCAATCTTTCCGTGCCTGCTTTAAGCAAGATTGAATCTCCCTTGCGTGGTACACGAGCATGCTGTACTTCATGCAACCCATCCAACAATTCAGAATCGGTCCAAGTAATCTCACTCTACGTTTGAAGTCGCGTTCCTTCAAGAACATCAGCAGAAGACCCGGCACAATGACGAACGCGAATAGAAAGTAGCAAATGACATTTTGTAAGCGGACCGCGATTTTTTCCACATTGGAAGCATAACGGGAAATTGGCCACGCGCCGATCATCCGCAGGATAATGCGAGTCACTTGCACCGCGTAATTGAAATCGTTTTCATATGCATTTATCTTCAACGAATCTCCCATAATTAGTTTCACTTGATGCCTTTTCTTCTATTTTTAAATTGATATTTTATACGCGATTAAAGTTTTTTGGCCGCGATTTTTACGTTCGTCTCGTTTTTCCCCGGGTATTAAGAATTTCTGTTAATTCCGTCAACAGTGTTTCCGCATTTCGGGTTTACGGTTGACAGATGGTCAGGCGGGACCAGAAGCTCGAGCATGACTGGACATATGTATGTGATAATAGGTGGTCTCTTTTTTGCGGTAAGAGCAGTGTGCCCCGCGCTTGCGTGCACAAAACGTCTGCGCATAATGACAGGATTACACGAGAGGGATAGACGAATTTTACGTGCTAAATTGTCGGATAAACGCAATGCTACAAAAGAATTTTAAGTGACGCATAGCACATGTACGACTTTGTAAAATTTAAAATTATAGGTAAGCCAGAAAAGGTAAATTCGGGTAATTTGCGGCATGTAAGCAAGTATAGCATGCAAGCAAAATATTACAATGTATTTATGTACATACATTATCTAACTATTGCTGCAACTGAGACACAAGTTTGTTTAAGTACGAGTTACAAGCGCGACTTAATAATCATACAAAAACTCACAAAATATATAAAACTTTAATATTTCAGATTGCATCTCGCATGAGTCTATAACGCGTAACGTGTGCAGGCCCAGGACATATAGTATTTTAGTAAAATATATGAAAGTTACTTATATTCTCTTTTTCAGCAAATTCTATTTATTAAAAGTACATTTATTTCTCCCTTTTTATTCTTGATACGTATTGGATAATTAATTAGCATTTATTTGTAATCAGTGGTCATACTAATAATTTTTGGACAAATTTTATGTAGTTAATGTACGCAGCATGTTCAAGTAGGCAACTGATGTCCTAACCACCTATTAATTGGATGAAGAGATATATAAATCATGCTATTCGTAAAAAGATAGGCATTGACATTGTGTTACTCACGTCTCCAAAGGTACTGAGAGATAACTCAAAGAGGTTCCCGGCGGTAAGTTTGATCGACGTATTGGACATAGCAATCATTAATATGAGGTTGAGACCCTTTCTTCCTGATAAACGATGCCAGTCGATCATGTATGATACCTCGCCGATCTCCTTGCACTGCTTACAAGATTATTTCTTTATACGAATGAATGTAACTTTGTTTACACCGTTATAAAGTTTTATTTAGAAATTCTGAATTTCATAAATTTGATTCTTCTTAGCATTACATTTCCGATATTATAAAAACATACTGTGAAAATGCACTTGTGAGGTTTGACGTGAAATTTCTATATCAAAGGTGCAGAAAAATACTTTGAATTAGGATTTTAGGACTTCACCTTCTCGCCAACGAGCTCGCCGATATAACAAAGTATAAAAATATTGAACGTAAGGGATATATATAAAACAATGTATGTTACATAACTTGTCATTTCTTTGCTCTCCCACTCCTGGAACGTAAAGATTCATATAGTCGAGATCACATTGTACTTGTAAACCGCGAGCGGCAATCTCCGATATCGTTTTACAATAGCAATGCTCTCTGCGTGGTACGTACTTTTCGTACAATATGCATACCATGATAAGATAATATCCAAGCAAACACATGCTTAGTGTACAGCCTACAATTTCCACGACAGATATTTCACGCAGTATTTTGTCCGTTAACGATATAAAACTGAAAAATAACGAAGACGTTGTAACGTAGAAAATTTTTGCAGGAAAAATATGACTTTGTTAAGTGTCTCTATTTAAGTAAAAATATATTGGAGCGCCCTACAGAGATACATGTATATACTCTCTAAGTAGTCACTAATTCACAATTAAAAATGTACCACTGAAAATCGCAGTGGCATACTTAAGGCCTTCACACATAAAATTCCGTAAGGACGTAAAACGTAAGCGTAAGAAAATCAACAGGTTGGATTTGCTACTGCTTGCGTCATTGCCTTACGTTCTCGACTGTGATTGGTCGATTTTCTTATGCTTACGTTTTACGTCCTTACGGAATTTTATGTGTGAAGGCCTTTAAATCTGCGAATCAGTGTTTTCAATGAAAATCTACTGTGATTGACTTTTAGAGAGTATATGGTATACTGATAAGTACCGACGCGACGATGTGCGTCCGAAAGACTTACTGTAAAACTCGAACGTGTTGCTGCACGATCATCTTCAATCTTTCATCTATGTTGTTGCAGAAATCTTCCCGTCCGTCCACCAAGTGTTCGATCCATTGCATCAGGACTTCCAAGCGGCCGTAAGCGTGCATCGCGAAAACAGCGGCTAAGCTACATGCACCGGTAGTAATGGAATGCACAATGAAACCCGACAGGCACTGTGTCCAGAAGAAAATCTCACTGATGGGACTGTGTCTCGCGTCAACTATCACCCTGGCGACTGGGTACATTAGTGGCCGATACGTCAAGTTTCCACCGTCCTCCGTGATCTTGCCGTTATTGAACGGTAGAGCGAGATAATAGAACGTGGCACCGCCATACATGAAGAACGCGCAGATCGTCACGAGACGCCGACCGAATTTCGCGTTCCTGATCATGATGATCCGATCATCGTAATGCTGAGTGTTCGTCCAGTCGCTCGCGATATGCTCGATACCGCTGCGAATGTCGTCCTCGCGGAAGATCAGTGATGAGTATTTAACGACGGCCATTAGGCAGAAATTCAGCGGTCCGGTAAGTTTCAAGATATTGTACGCATCGTCCATTTCAAGCACCAAGTAGATAGCAGAGGGTACGAAGAGGAAGCCGATTAGACTGGTGCAAATGACGTTGATCAGCGCATACGCGTACCTCTCTATACTTGAAATTTGGTTTGATTTCGGCCAGGCACCGAGCGGCTTTAGTATCCAACGATTCAGCTGAATGCTCAACTGCAGATCCTTCTTGAGATCACAAAGAGTTGCGACTGGATTTACTTTCTCTGTGACGTGGAGTTCATGCATGGTCGATGATTAGTGATTCGTGTAAGAGCTCGAGCGCGGAAAGTCAAATGCGGCTGCGCTATTCTGTGCGACTTTTTTTCTACCAAAGGGGGGCGATCGAGCGATCGGCAGGAAATAGAAGGTGAACTTTATAGACGCAATTCTCAATTTCCGTAAGGGGAATCAAGGTTCCCTGTCCATGTGGTACTGTACCTGCCATGAATTATGAACGGAAAGATATACGTTCTTCGCGGGGATATTTCCCGCGATTTATCTCGGAACGGAGTGCAAATCTTTCTTCTGTAAAGTATTAAATCTGATAATGTGCAATATATGATATTATATGTGAATGTGTGAATATGATTTTGCATGCGTAATATGTATGTAGAAAATTATATAATTCTTACACACGAATGTATAAAAATAGATATTACAATATGTTAAAAAAAACGCTTTTTTTAAAGAAAATATTTAGTAAATTTTACTCAATTTTTTACTAATTAAAGTCGTCTTTATTTCTTTCTTCTAGACATATATCAGATAATTAATTGGCATTTATTTTAGATTGTAATCAAGTGTTGATATTAATTTTTACATTTCGGTCAAGTTTTATGTAGTCAATGTACGCAGCATGTTCAAGTAGGCGACAGATGTTTTAACCACCTATTAGTTGAACGAACGATATAAGTTATACTGCTCAATAAATATGATAGACACTGAAATTGCGTTACTCACGTCGCCGAAAGTGCTGAGGGACAATTCGAAGAGATTTCCGGCGGTAAGTTTAACTGACGCATTGGACATAGCGATCATCAATACAAGAGCGAGACTCTTCTTTCCGGATAGACGATACCAATCGATCATGTACGATACCTCGCCGATCTTTTTGCACTGTTTACGAGATCATTCTTTTATTTTTGCGATACATAATTACACTTACATTGTTATTAGAGCTATTTTCTAAAATAAATTTTATAAATTTTATAAATTTCATTAATATTAGAATTATACTCCTGCTATTATAGAAATATGAAGAGTGTACTTTATCGTAAAGTTTGGTATTAAATTTATCCCAAGTGCAGGCAACTCAACTGTGAGAACTTTACCTTTTCGGCAACAAGTTCGCCGATGTAACAAAATATGAAAATATTGAACGTAAGAGATATAAGCAGAACAATATACGTTATATAACTTGTAGTCTCTTTACTCTCCCATTCCTGTAACGTAAAGACTCCTATAATCGAGGACCCATTTTAAATCGCACACATTGTCCTCCAATATTGCTTTGAAATAGCGATGCGTTTTGCATGGTACATACTTTTTATACGATATGCATACCGTGAGTGTATAATATCCAAGAAAACACATGTTTAACGTACATCCTACAATTTCCACGACAGATATTTCACGCAATACCTTGTCCGTTAGCGATATAAAACTGGAAGGTAACGGGTGTGTTATGGAATAAAGAAATATTTCGCAGGATAGACACGTCTTACATAAACAAGTAAAAATGAATTGAAGCGCTCTGTAAATGTATGAAAAGAAAACGCACGTCAATTCATCTGTAATGATACCATTTTCTGAGAATTTTGAAAGGTATTGACGATCCTCGTCGGAGAATGGCTTACCGCAAGATTCGAACGTGCTGCTGCACGATCATTGTCAATCTCTCATCCACGTTATCGCAGAGATCTTCCCGACCGTCCACCAAGTGTTTGATCCATTGTATTAAGACTTCCAGGCGGCCGTAGGCATGCATCGCGAACACGGCGGCCAAGCTGCATGCACCGGCAGTGATGGAGTGTGCTATGAAACCCGATATGCACTGTACCCAAAAGAAAATCTCACTGATAGGACTATACCTCGCGTCAACAATGATCCTGGCGACTGGATACACCAGCGGCCTGTACGTCAGGTTCCCATCGCCCTCCGTGACTTTGCCTTTACTGAAGGGCAAGGCGAGATAGTAAAATACGGCACCGCCGTACATGAAGAACGCGCAGATCGCCACGAGGCGTCGACCGAATTTTGCGTTCCTGACCATGATGACCCGATCGCTATAATGCCGAGTATTCATCCAGTCGCTCTCAATATGCTGGATACCACTGCGAATATCGCTCTCGCGGAAGATCAGCGAGGAGTACTTGACAACGGCCATTAGGCAAAAACTCAGCGGCCCGGAAAGTTTCAAGATGTGGTACGTGTTGTCCATTTCAAGTACCATGTACATGACAGAGGGTACGAAGAGGAAGCCGATCAGACTGGTGCACATTACGTTCACCAGCCCGTACGCGTATCTCTCCATATATGAAATCGCAGTTAATTTCGGCCAGACACCGATCGGCTGCAGTATCCAACGATTCAGCTGGACGCTCAGCTGCATGTCTTTCTCATGATTGTAAACCGTTGCGATAGGATTCGTTTTTTTCGATATGGTTTCTAGCATTATTGAAGTAGCGAGAGTTCTGTGATTACTGACAGGAATGCGTTAGATACTGACTAAGCGAAGAAAGTCGGACTCTCAGACTTGCGTCTGCGCCCCAAGGTCTGCGCTATTCTGCGCGACTTCCTTTCTAGGAAAGGGGCGATCAAGCGATCGGCAGAACACGAAGGGTAAACTTTGCAGACGCAGTTCTTGATTTCCGCGAGGGGAATTAAGGTTTCCTTATGTGGCACTGCACCTGTCTGTTCATGAATTATGAACGGAAAGATTTACATTCTTCGCGGAGTTATTTTTCGCGGCTTATCGGAACGGGTCGCGAATGTTTCTTTGTTGCGTAAAGTATTATACGATATTACATGAGGAATACAATTTTGCATTCGTATATATACATGTAGATTACATAATATTTATACGAGTATAGGAATGAAGATATTACAATATATTTGTAAATGAAAGCGAAAGAGAAAAGCTTTGTTTCATCTTACGACGTTTTCTAAATTGGATAAAAATACTTTATAATGGAGTAAAATTGTTTTCTAGTACCATTTGAACGAAAGATATTTTTATAAAGATACACTGAGAAGTATTTTGACTCGTTTCTTTGTATTGAAGAGAGCATCAGTGGTTCAATGTATGAAGTAATAAAAATGCATGTCCAGTAATACTGTCCAGATACTATCTGAGAAGACATATGTATATTCTTCAAATAGTACCAGGTAATAAATGAAACAATTGTACTTAGACTTTTTTATTCGGGGCGCATTTATTAAGATTTGTTGAATAAACGTACTTGTATAAAGTTTACTGCTGTTTCGTGAAAGATTTAATGTCATTCGATGAATACTACTATAATTCGTACTTTCTCAAGTAGTAAATGTTCGTAGCATGTTCAAATAAGCGACAGATGATTTGATAACCTATTGTTTTCAAGACAATTACGTTGTTACAATATCTAATTATTGCAGAGGTGTCTATTTCGATTATAAAACTCGTCATATTTTTATTAAAATTTCTTGCTACATGTTAATTTTTTTAAATTAAACTCTTGAGTTTCCAAGAATATTAATAGAAAATGTAAAATTGTCATTTTTTTTTAAATATGTGCATTTACTTACGTCACCGAAGCTGCCGATGGATAGTTCTATTATATTTCCAGCAGTGAGCCTGGTGGTCGCGTTGGACATACATAATATTAAGATAACGGCAAGACTCGTCTTTTTCGGAAGTCGGTGCCACTCGATCATGTACGAGCTCTCACGTACTTTCACAGTCTGTCATAAAACTTCTGCTGTAGATTATTGTCACGAAAAATGTTTTAAATTACCGGACGCTATTATATATCGTTGTTCGTAGCTCTTGCACATTGTATAATGATGTTTCGATAAATAACTGGCGTACCTGTTCCGTTAAAAGTTCGCCTATGTAACAAAATATGAATATGTTGAATGTTAATGAAATGAGGAGTATCAAATATGTTAAGCCGCTGACAGGTTGCTGAAAATCCCATTCCTACGATATGCAAAATGTATGATTGCCAAACAAATAACGTCAGAATGGAACGATAATTCTTTGGTATATATTTGTAACGGTATAAAACCTACGAATTTATTATATTAAATAGATATGTACCACCATCAAATGATATCCGAGAAAACATATATTCAAAGTACACCCCACAACTTCGATCAGAGATATCTCGTGCAACAATTCCTCGGTTAACGAAATGAAGCTAAAAAAATGCGTAGAATAAGAGGTAGTATTTTTTTTATAAGATTCATATTTTACGGCGTAATATCTTTTTATCTACTTTAAAGTCAATTAGCGAATATATTTCTTGAATTTTTGACATAGCAACTTTGGATAAATGACGATGCAATGTTGTAACATGTTCGAAGTCATACTTACTTCAAGATGCGCACATGTAATTGTATTATCATCGCCAGTCTCTCGTCCGCGGTATCGTTGACGCCTTCTCGGCCGTCAACTAGATGATCTAGCCAGGACATGAGCACCTGCAGCTGTCCGCAAGCATGCATCACGAGAAGGGCTGCCAAGCCGCACGCCGCCACCGTGATGTTGTGGGCGACAAAGCCGCCACACATCTGAATGACATAAATGATCTCGTTGATGGGACTACGACGGGAATCGAGGATCGCGCTGGGCACTGGAAACGGCAGCCTACGATAGGTGAGGTTGCCGTCTTCTTCGACAATTTTCGCGCGACTAAGTGGTATCGCTATGAAGTACAACAAGACGCCGCCATACATGAAGAAACCGCAGGCGATCACCAGCCGACGGCCGAAGTTTGCGTTCTCCAGCATGATTCTCCTTTCCTCCGTATATTTTACATTCCTCCAGTCATTCTCGATGTAATCAACGCATCTGCGTATGTCGTCCTCGCGCAGAAGCAAGGCACAATACTTCATAACGGCCATCAAGAAGAAGGACAGAGCGCTACCGAGCTTTAATTGGTTGTAGAAGTCCTTGATCTCCAGGACGATGAAAGTGCTGCTGGGGATTAGGAGGAAAGCCAGCAGCATGTAGCAGATTACGTTCAGCACTCTGTACCACAGCGTTACGATCCCGGAATGTTTCAGCGGCCACGTGCCGATCACCCCCATGATCCAGGCATTCATCTGCAAACTGGCTCGAAGATCATCTTTGTAATTCTGATTATATGGCTCAGGATCGTTGCGGGTATCAGGATAATGGGGCAGTTTCTCCATTATCGCAGTACGGACGATTGATACGTACTGACAGTCGCGAAGCTTCGAGCTTGTTCTCGACGTGATTTGCGCTTGCGCCACTTTGTAGTCTCCGTAGAAGAAAAAGGGATTTTACGTGGGAATTTTCTAAGCGAGCAGCGGAAAACTTTGCGCAATTATCTGAAAAGGGTACGTGGTGCTTCGAGAATCGTTTCCTGAAAGGTGCGTCTTATAATAGATGTCAGGTCGGCAGACCTCTAAGAGGGAGACGACGTAAAGTTATATTTGGACTGGATTCCGTTTTAAAAAATCGTGAAGAAGGAAGAAACGTTAAGTTGCGTAAGTTGACGAATGTGCGGTTCAGTCTTTGCGGTGTGTCTGACGGGAAGAGAAATATATTTGTCATGGAAAAAGAACTGTACTTTGAAGTAGTTCGCGATACGGACTGTGAACAATGGCGTTAAAATATTATTCTCCGTACAATTTTATATTTATATGTAAGGTATATATTTCATGAATAATTTCTTTTATCAATAATTGAAGCTTGAATTATATTTTTTATAAGTGTAAAAATGTCAGAGTTTCTGATAACAGTCTCTGACATTTGGGATGGTAAAAATCTCTGAAGATTAAAGACGGAATTTCTGCATGAATGCTATTTAAAGTTTCGAAATTTACAAACACTTGTACTGCATAAGGTAATAAGTTTTCTCCTATATAATATAACATTTATGCGGTCATAGAGTGACTGTCCGCAACAAGTTTAAATACGCCATCGCGGTTCTAATAACCTGGAAATTGAATAAAATTTATTTGCACAATGTATATATAACATGTTATATATGTGTATGTTATAAACGTATATATAAATTTGTATGCATTTTTATAAAGGAATTCATTATCCAAATAATAATACTAAATTAATACAATATTGTATTAATGAGAAATAATTCTTAAAAGTTACTTTTTTAATTAAATATATAATTTTTCTCATGGAAGCTTTTCTTGATTTTCATCATTGTACTGTGCCTGAAATAGACAAAATTGCTTACGGCGCCAAAGCTGCTGAATGAAAGATCGATTACTTTACCCGCCGTGAGCCTCGTAGGATATCTAGCCATGGCAATTACTAAGACAAGACAACGAGCTTCTTTACTAGGTAAGCAATACCAATCGATCGTGCAGCAAGTTGTGTTTACTTTACTCCCCTGTCATGTAAAGTGCAACAAGTGCATGTACATTAGCATTTTACTATCACAATTCAACAATTTCCTTCATATACATTATTTAAATTACTATCTATTCTACAGTATTTTATTTCTACGTACCTTTCTGAACATTTTTGTTATCTGTGTATCTTACCTGACTACTTAAAACTTCCCCAATGTAACATAATATGAAAATGTTGAAAGTGAAAGATACGAGCATTATGGCATATGTCGCAGAGGATAGTGCATCGTTTCGTTCCCATCCCTAAAATGTTTTATTTTATTTGAATAAAATCTGCACGCAGATTGCATGAAAATGTTAATAAATGCAGTTCGTCACTGTTGTATGCGTACCGTTATCACGTAATACCCCAAGAGACACAGTATTAAAGTACTTCCAATAATTTCAATAAAACACATTTCTCCTACAACTTCTTGTATCTGATGTAAAAATCTAAAATTTGAAATCATTTGTTATTGTAATGTCCAGTACTGTATATTAAAACATCTCAAATTAACATATTTTTACTGATAAAATTTTTAATCGTGTAAGACTAATCCAAAGAGTAAATTTATTCAGAGTTTTTTCAAATTTAATCCTCAATAAGTAGACACTTAATCGAAAGCACCACAAGCGAAATGAATATTTCAATGTAAAATTTTTATGTATCAAGACAAATTGTAAACTTTGCAAAAAGAACTTCTCGATGGGGATTAGGATTAACGGGAAATGCGTAACAGTTTCAGCTACTTACTTACGTATCCTCACGTGATGTACGACAATCGCCGCCAGCCTTCCAGCAACGGCGCGATCTTTCGACAATTGATCTTCGTTCGCCAAGTTCTCCAACCAAGCAGCCAACAACTTGAGTTGTCCGCAAGCGTGCATGGTGAACAATGCGGTGATCCCGCAGACGCTGGTTGTTACGGTATATATGAGAATGCCGCTCACCAAATGCATCGAAAACACGATCTCGTAAGCAGGACTCCGCTGCGGATCGAAAAAGATAAAGTAGTTGCCCTGCACCAGCGGTCTGATAGTCACATTTCCGATTACGATCTTGCCGCGGACTATTGGCTGAATCAGACGGTAAGTGAAACCACAGACGAATAGGAATAATGTGGTGCAAATAAGGATGAAACGCCCGGCTCTGGCGTTGTCCAACATGATTCTGCGATCGTTCGCGTCCTGTACATTTCGCCAGTCCTCTTGCAAGTGTCTCATACATTCCTTGATACGATCCTCCCGTAACATCAGCGCGCAGTACGTGGCAGATACCATACTGTAGAAGCAAAGTGCGCCAGTCATCCTGAGTCGGCTCTTGAACGTGTCCATGATTAGAAACATATGCAGCATCCACGGTATCAGATTGAAGCATAACAGGAAGCAGCATACGATTCTAAGGAATCCCCTTAGAAATCTCGTTTGTTTCCGGGACTTCTCCAGGTTCGGCCATACACCAATCAGTCCCAGGATCAGTTTGTGCACCTGCACGGTGTATCTAATGTCGTTCTCATAATTGGAATTCCGTAAATCCGTGCGTTCAATCATGGCATGCGTATGGACGAGCCGGGGGAAAACCCGATTTTCCCTTTCACTTGTTTGCGAAGCGGTCGCACGATCGCAACTGACAGATAAAAGTACGACGAAACCTGTCAGTTTGCATTATGCACGCTCTCGCGTCTGCGTGAATCACCTCTGTCACAGCGGCGTTTCTGTCGCAGCACAGTTCAAAGTTCGGTACAAAGGGTTGCGTGCGCGCAATTTTTTGCCGATGCGAGATAATTACAGAATAGGATCGATTTACACGAGACGGCCTTTAGTAAAAGTACGAGCGACTACCTTGTGTTAGGTCATTGTTCATCGTGAGTTATATTGAACAGTAATACGCGAATTGTTAATTGAGTTAATAGTGAGTTTCTTGCGGTAACTATTAAAAAATTTAATCTCAAGTAAAATGCCAAGAAGTTGCTGTTTAGCTTTCCCTGATTGTTTAGGAAACATTTTAATATTCATGAAAAGGAAAGGGAAAGATGAAGATTAAAATAAATTGGTTGCTTATCTCATTCATTCAGCCCAATGATATGCAGTCAAATAGTATTAATTACAGATTAATAATCTACTATATTGTTGATCATTATTTTACAATTATGTGAATTTTCGAAGCAGATTAAAGTATGCCATCGATGTTTTAACGATCTATGAAATAACGAAACAGATTAATAATTCGCAACTGGTCATGAAAATTAGACAAGCTTTTATACTTACGTTGCTGAATGTAGGTAGGGACATTTCTACAATCCTTCCTGCCGAGATTTTCTCCGGAATATTGGAAACTACCATTATCAGGACTAAAGTGCGGGCCCTTTTGTATTGAAAGTGATGCCAATTCATCGTGGACGTCGTTATCCCAACTTTGATGCTCTGTTATAATTAATTAAGTGTACATTTTGTGATTTACGTTCATAAAGACGTTGATGCCTAATTTTCATAGCAAGTAGATAATGTCAACGCTTGCTACCTGATCTGTCAACCGTTGACCAACGTAGCAATTAGTAAAAATAGAAAAGGTGAAAGATGTAAGCATTACAGACATAGTTAACATAGCTGTTGAATTACTATTCTCCCATTCCTACAAGATTAACACAATTGCAAGACACAAAATAATTTGCGATAAATATCGTCACAGCTCTAATTTCTATGCGAGAATTAACTATCAAATTATTACGTGTGAACAAACGCTGTGCGGAAATTGTTCGCCGTTATTACCATAATAATGTAGTATCCCGAAAGACACAAGAGCATAGCAGAGCCCATTATCTCCACTAACCATACATATCGCATAGTTTTCTCTACTTGTTTCAGGAAACTGTAAACGAGCGATTTCTATTCAGTAATTGTAATATTTATGCAGTTTTGGACTTACAGCATTATATTGTATTAGAGTATGTCTAATGAAATGTCAAATAAAATAATAATCATAACAATTATGACAACTATATACTACGATACACTAATTAAACAAGTTTTTTGCAACATGAACAAATATTCATTTTTTGTTAATTTGTATAAGCTAATTATGATCATTTTTGGATTTCCAAACTCTGGTTTTCCCTTTTTTAATTCTTACTTGCTTCTTCCATTCTTACAAATAAGTGGCCTTTGCATTCTTTTTAATTAGTATAGTACACATATTTTTACTTTCATGGAAGAGAAGAGTGGCTTCAAATTACTTTCAATGCTTTATGTTAATATATGCGGACTTTATCCTGTCTTTCTTTGTACTCCTATATTAAATTAAATTATTTTTTCATCTCAGAGTTGAGAATTAAAATATAAAAAGTATGACCAGTGAGACCATAGGATACGTAAGAATCTTGATTTTCAAATTGAAATACATACATGACACGTTAATACAAAATAAAAATGTAACGTGTTATAAACTTTTCATTGCCATATTTTATATTCTTTTTAGTTTTATTTTTCGATATTCTGTTATATTTTTTCCCAAAGGCATATGAATAAATTAATCAATTCCATTTCGTAATCATTACTTAATAAAACTACTAAGACGTTATATTTATATAAAAATCTTCTCCTTATTGCTTATTCTTATAAACTCACTTTTTCACTTTTATCTGATGCTCCACGATATCAGCCAGCAATATCGCGATTTCACGATCATTGGGCATATCATTGAGCCGTTGCAGCTTGCCGATTAAAACGCCCAGTTGTCCGCAAACGTGCATGATGAAAAACGCGGCTAATCCGGCTGCGCCGACCCTTACCGAATACGTGATTAATCCTGCGAAGAACTGCAGAGTGAAGACGATTTCGTATGCGGGCGAGACCTCTCCATCGAACTTGATGAAGTAGCTCGGACAGGCCAACGCTCTCACCGTGATGTTCATCGGCGTGAGCATACGACCCTTTGAGAGCGGCACGAGAGTGCGGTAAGACAATCCACCGACGTACATAAAGACAGCGGAATAAATCGCAAACTTCCGGCCTAATTTTGCTTTGGACAGCATCACTTTCCGATCGTCCCAATCGCCCACATCACTCCAATCCTGCCACGCTTGATTCAGACAAGATTGGATCTCTCTCGCGTGGTACAGGAGCAAGCTGTACTTCAAGCAACCCATCCAACAATTTAGGATCGGCGCGAGCAATCTGACTCTACGTTTGAACTCATGTTCCTTCAGGAATACCCGCAGGAGACCCGGCACGATGATGAACGCGAATAGAAAGTAGCAAATGATGTTTTTTAAGCGGGTCGCGATTCTTTCCACAATGGAAGCGTAATTGGGAATCGGCCACGCGCCGATCATCCGTAGGATAACGCGAGTCACTTGCACGGCGTAATTGAAATCGCTTTCGTGTCTGCTCGTCTTCGATGAGCCTTCCATCAGCTCTATTAAATGTTTCTTTCTTCTTTTATTAGTTCAAATTTAATACGCGGTTGAATTCTGTGTCACGAATTGGATTGTATCGTTCTTTTCTGGGCGCTGAGAAATTCCGTTAGTTCCGTCAATAGCGTTTCCACATTTCGGGTTTACTGCTGACAGATGGTCAGACGAGGCCAGATACTCAAGCATGACTGGGCGGATGTATATGGTGATGGGTGGTCTCGTTTTTTTTTTGCGGTAAGTATAGAGTGCCTAGCGCGCTTGCGTGCGTAAAACGTCTGCGCATGATGGAGTTACACAAAAGAGGTTGATGAATTTTACGTGTCAAATTGACGGACAAATACAATGTTGGCGGGCAAGGGAAAGAATCGCCGTGCGGCGCGTGGCATTATGCGATATTGTAAAGTTTAAATTTACGAACCAGAAAGGGATCGAGTGCAATTCGTGCCGCACGTTGTTTCTGCTGCGTTAGCGGAATGGCATGTAAGTAAAATGTCAGCACATTCATTACTCTCACAGTTAAAAAACCCGTTGCAGAGATACGAAAATTTGTTTAATTCTAAGTTACACGTGTGACAAATAATGGCGCGAGTGTAAAAGTGTATGAAAATTATTTGCTCTGCTTTCAACATAGGCGTATAATGATAAAAGAATTCAGACGTTGTCATGCTTGCGTTTAGTTACCGTACTAATGGTGCCTATACATATATATATATTTAATTAAAATCCGTACAAATTTTAATGTTCCGGATTTTCTACAGATGAAAATTATCTCCTTCGTCTAACGAATCGCAGCTTTAAATGCTGATTGTACGCAATATATTCAGATACGCGACCGATGTTCGCACAATCTTAAAAATACATAATTGCATGTTCAATGACGATTCATCATTTCGAGCGACTACAAGATCATTGTCTTGAACGAGGTGGAAATATGTGAAGCTCACTCATGGCGCCAAGACTATTGAGTGATAGATCTATCAATTTTCCCGCGGTAATTTTAATAAGAATACTAGACATCGCGATTATCAGAACGAGATCGCGAGCAGTCTTGTACGGAATTCGATACCAGTCGAGAGTACAGAAAGTAATGTACACCTTTATGCTCCACAATACAATAATGTGATAAGTAAATAATTCTTACCATTCAAGTAACAATTTAATCGATCAATACCTGATCCGTGAGAAGTTCGCCGATGAAGCACAGTATGAAGATATTAAAGATGAATGTTGGAAGAAGTATAGTGTACGTTAGCATGGACATCACATTGTTATTTTTCCACTCCTGTAAAAACGAACATCAAAAATATCTTGTGTTAATTAGCTCCTTTTAATACGTATTCGTAATTGTTTAAACTTATCAATTATTTCGCGTACCATTATTATATAATATCCAAGAAGACACGCGATGAACGTGCAACCGACTAACTCCACCAAACATATGTATTGCAAAATGTCTTCTATCTTGTTTAAAAAGCTAAACGACGTTAATAACCCGATCCTCGAGTTGCCCAACATAATCCTGCGGTCTTCTGTCAGACTCGTCTTGCTCCAGTCTGCCTCGATATGCTTGATGCAATCCTTGATTCGGTCGCTTCGAAAAATCAACATCGTGTGCTTTAGCATCGCCATCAGGCGGTTGCACATGGGACCGATCATCATGATGCGACGACGCGCATTCGACTCCTTGAGGAACATCTTTAGTATGCACGGCACAAAGATGAAGTAGAGCAGGACCTGGAATTCTAAGCATCTTCGTCTGGACGATTCTGACAGTGGACGAGTTGCCGGACAACGGCCACACACCGATCAAATTTAGGATGCCACGCGTAACGTGCAAGGTGCGTCTGATGTCGCGATGGAGGATATTCACGTGCATGAGGCTCCACTTGAGCTTGACATCGCTGACGAAGAACTAATCGGATGTACCGTCCTGAAGCGGAAAACGCGAATGGCGGTGCGCTTGCGTCTGCGATGACAACGGAAGAGGTGAGGGATTGATGGCAGATACAGCGATTGTTATCTGCAATCTTCTTTTCCTCTTGTAAATCACGGGGAAAGTTGCGAAAGTTGTTGGGGATGTTCGTGTTCGAGGAAGGGAGCACCGCGACGGGAAGTCTAGCGACTTTAAAAAGCATGAGAAAATAACGAGAAAAAAAATAGCGAGCTCGACAGAGGAAAACCGCACATGCCGTATCGATCTTTTGATAGCACGCCGATCACTTTGTGTTCAATGAAGTATTTTGCTGCGAAAGAGAAGCAAGAGATACGTGAAACAAACAAGGAATATAAATGGTTGTGGCAATATGAAAATTCATGCTAATGCCAATTTCTTTTCCTAGTTTTAGTAACGAGTTGTATAATAGAACAACCAGCTCTAAAATGGACAAATAAAGGTAAAGATTTTGTGGTAGCTTGTATAAAGCTTTCACTCATGTTCAAGTGTTTTCTGCGTAAACAAGAAATCAGAGATAAAACTCGTACGTATACAATATGATATAATGCATCGTTTTTACAAGAGAAATTTATTTGAATTGAGGAAATTTATATTTTGCAAAACATCTTCTGTTTTCCAGGGTAAAAGTTAAGAGAACTTTTGCGTTACATATAATTTTTTATTCTTATATTAATATTCCTACTGAATGACGCTACATCGCCATGTTAACGAGAAAATAGCAGCCAGATATTTCTGTACAATCGAATTATTATTCCATCATTCTCCGAATAAAATTAAGATACGTCACAGCTGTCTTAACGACCTAAAATATAATATACACTTTTGTTAATTATTCTTTATCAGTAAACCCGTTACTTACATCACCGAAAGTTCTGATGGAAAGGTCGAAGAACTTCCCGGCTTTAAGTTTTGTTGGGATAAGCGACATGGCTATGACTAATATCATTGCTCGTGCTTTCGCATTCGGAAGACGGTACCAGGCGAACGTACATACTGTTAACGCTAATTTTTCTCCCTGGTTTCATCATCAAGTTATTTGCAAGTGTAAAATCAACATCGGTAAGAAAAATACCTGATATATTTTTGGTCCTGCTACTTAAACGCGTTACAAGTATGTCACCAATAATAAATTTATGATACGATACCTCTACAGAAAGTTGTTCGCCGATAAAGCAAAAGATATAAATGTTAAACCCAATCGATGTAAGTAGAATAAGATAGGAGCACATTGATACAACATTTTGATCTTCCCACTCCTATAAGATGGACAATTCTATTTATCAAGTCCGCGTATATGTGAAAAGGCATTTCAAAGGTAATAAACTATCATTGATTTAAACGTAAGATTAAACATAAAATTGTGCGAGCTGTTATTACTGCGTAATTATTTAGGCGCACCGTGATAACATCGTGTCCTAGAAGACACACAATTATCGTGCATCCCATTACTTCTAGCAAGCTCGTCTGCTCCAAAGTACTCTGCACCAATCGTAAGAAACTATAAAGGGACGCGCACAAATTCTCGTTAGAAAATCTTTACCTGTCGTATTAAAAGAAGAATTTTATGATAAAGCAAAAAAGACACAGAGCACATGTCACGACGTGACGTATCAACTTCATACAAAATTCAATCGATTTCGCAGATGCTCATCTTGGTATAAATCATATTATATAAATGATAAGAATAAACATAGAAATATATGAGTGATACGAGCAAGACTTACTTCCACATCTTGATCTGATGTTCGACGGTCAAGGTCAGCTTCCTGTCCAGCTTTTTCTCTTCCGTTTCGTTTACCAGATTGTCTATTAGTGCCATCAATATTTCCAGCTGTCCGCATATATGCATAACGAAGAGAGCGGCGAGGCTGCAAATGGCTACCGTGATGGTGTACTTAATGAATCCGGAGAAGAACTGTATAAAAAATATGATTTCGTACGCGGGACTGATCTGCCCGTTAAACACAACAAAATAACTCGGGCACGCCAAGTGTCTGATCGTGATATTCTGATCGGTTACGGACTTCCCCTTGCTTAACGGCACGATCGTGCGAAAATACAAGCCGGAGGTATACATGAATATGCCGCACAGAATGAGCAAACGTCTCGCAGTCCTGGCCTTGTCGATCATGGAATTACGAGCGCTCACGCTCGTGACATTTCGCCAATCGTCCTTGACTTGCATCAGACAATGTCTCACTTGGTTCTTGCTGAGCACCAGGCAGCTGTACTTGAGAACCGCCACTATCGTGAACATTATGGACGATATAAGCTTCAATCTAACGCGGGCTCGTTTTTCTACAAACACTGTGTACAGGATTGTCGGGATTAGCTCGCAACAGAGGAGAAAATAACAGCCCAGTATCAGCGAGAACCTCTTGAGATTTGCGAGAAACGAGGTCTCTGCCTCTGGCCAAATGCCCAATAGACGACAAAAGACGCGATTTAGTTGTACAGTGTATTTTATGTCGTTTTCGTAATTTTCATTTGGATACATCTCTAATGTGATTATCGTATACTTTTACGAGCACCACTTCGTGACGTTATGGCTGTGTTATATGAGACGTCGTATGACGCGCACAACAACGATCAGATGCGTGCTTTTTCATCACTGACCGCGGCGAGCTGCCTTCCACTCGGAAGATAACTCGGTACGCAAATGCGCTTGCGTTCCGAACAATTGATCAGTCATGTCAAACGAATAAGTAATGACGTTCGGAATTCTTGAGTAAGTTCGAAATAGATGAAGTTTGAAAGAGTGAAATGATCACAAATCTAGAAGGGATTGCTTCCCATGAAATGTATTTTTACCCGTCAACCTTCCTTAACGTAGCAACCAGGAAAAAGTTATAGTATCTGACTTCGTTTCTTCCTGTTTCGTAGACTTATTGTCTCAGTCATAATATTATATATTTGACAAGAAAAATTTCTTCTACGTTATGCTACATTATTAGGATAATGAATTGATAAACAGTATGTACGACACATATTAATATTGTATCTCAAAATATGATTTTACTGATGCACATATATATGTAGCTTTAAAATCTCGATAATTAAAATCCAACTTACGAATTGTATTTAAATTACATTACTGCTTTGTATTTTGATGCATATTAAGATACGCAGCTGTTTTTACACTCTAAAACATATTCCTATTCACTTAATATTTCAATCCGCGTCGTGAATCACGTCGTGAATCACGACATAAGTTGATTGCGAGGTAAACTCACAACGAAAGCGCCTCTGCGTTTGCACGCGTTAAGAATTCAAACGTTGCGTGGAGAACAGAGACTACAATGATAGAGTTGGCGAGGAAAGTTGCTTGTCGAAGGGATGACTGTTTTCGAAGGAAAGTATTCTTATCCATTCGTCGGTCTTTATAACAACTAGGAAAACGATCATGTTTATTATCTTTATGTCTTCCTACGTTGTAACTTGTGATTGCAGTATAGTGTCGATCAGGAAGCAGAAAATAAATTGCTTTTAGTTGTCCTATGTTGAATATTTCGATTTGTATATATTAACTAATATCAATTAATAAGTTTTTAATCTTGCGACAAAAGTAACATATGTGTCATTTATTCTTAGTAAAAGCACGTGTTAACGAAGCCATTAAATAGCATGAATTGTTTAATAAAATATAATTAAATATGTATATATTTAAATGACATTTTGCATTACATTTGTATTGCATTGAGACTTTAAATTCGACTCAAGTATTTGATGTAATTGATTCGCATAATATGATATAATGAGTGTATCAAATATAGCTTACGTTATAATTCAACTATTAGATTTTAAATATTCATTCGACTACATTTCGGAACATATTAAAATATGCTCCAGCTGTTTTCATGACCTAAAACATGTTCAATTGTTTTCTACCCTGATGTGTTTTCAATAAATTATAATTAGGGATTGCAAATAGCAAGCATACGCTCAGTGAAATTACTGTATGTGAAAAATATGATACTTATTTTATAAGAAAAAGATTCTAAAAATTGATTACTGCTTATAAATATAAGACTTAGATTTTTATTTTATGCATTGCTATTATAATTAACTCGATAAAAACATGGCTTTTAAGAGGTACTTTATGAAAAGTTTCAATATACTTTGAAAGTCTTTGGAAGATGCAATTAACTTAAAATTAATAGACTCACATCACCAAATGTCTTGAGTGAGAGGTCGACGAACTTCCCAGCGGAGATCTTGGTGGGCGCGTTAGACATAATTATCAGCAATACAACGTTGCGCATGTTTCTGTCCGGAAGACGATACCATTCGAGTTCACAGGATGCAATGGCTACCTTTTCCGCCTATCGTTGAATTTATTTAACGTGGCCATCAAATTTCTTTCTATTAAACTTTCATTTGCTATTTCAGGGATATATTGCAACATATTCCCTGTTTCTTTCACGTTATATTCATAAAGGTATTTTTGAAATTTATTTTAGCACTCAATAGCGACACTTATGAGATTTCCGTAAAATTGAACAACTTTAGTTGCAAATAATTGGAAAATAAATTGCTTTATAATCGTGGAACGTTGTTATTGCTAGTTTCATTATTACTTCTAAAATAGAATACGTTAATATTCGTGAAACATACCTGGCTAGTAAGCTGTTCACCGGTATAGCAAAATAGAAACATGTGGATTGTTATATTTGCAATGCTTATTAAATAAGTGCATACGGTAGTTATATTCCTATTTTGCCAGTCCTATAAATATGAATGATTTTGATAATTATAATTATTACTGATTAGTTGTAAAGTCTGAAATGCCTACTTGTTAACGAACTGTGCATCATATGAAATTTCAATTCAAATAAAAATTCTAAATCATACACATATAATTATCAAATATTTCTTCTCCTCTGTTTTTTGTCTTAATATGTCAAAATATTAAATTTATTCAATCTATTAAAATTAGTTAAACTTACGTACCACTAACATAAAATATACTAAAAGGCAGATCGTTATCGAGTTCACCAGGATTTCCATCAAATATATTTCCTGCAAGGTATGTTGCACCAATCGTAAAAAACTGAAATGTAATTGCAATGATCACAATTGACGTTACTTGGGTTAATAAATAAAAAGACAAATGACAATAATGGACGAATAGAAAGTTAATAATTTTTATCGAGCAGCACTGTTAACAAGGACCGCTACTGGCAAATACATGTTGGTTGGTATGAATGCTAAAATTATGAGCGCAAATAACGTTTGCAAGTTGCAGACTTACTTGCGCACTCTTATTTGATGTTCGACTATCTCAGCTAGCTTCTTATTAACTTCGCGCTCCTCTCGCCACTGTTTCTGCACGAGAGCTCTCATCAAGCCGATGAGAATTTTCAGTTGGCCGCAAGCGTGCACCACGAAAATCGCCGTGAGGCCGCATGCACCTGTCACGACCGAAACTGTAACGAATCCTGTTAGACACTGGATTATAAAAAGCGTCTCGTAAACGGGGCTGACTTGCACGTCGAGGGAAAAGAAGTAACCCGGACAGGCGAAATGTCTCAGCGTGACATTCTGATCGGTGATGGTCTTCCCCTGGGACAACGGCAGGATTGTGCGGAAAGTAATGGCGCCGCTGTACATGAAGACTCCGCAGATCGTAACCAGACGCTTTCCCAACCTCGCGGATTTCAGCATAATATTCCGTGCATCCGCGCTGAGAATGTTCTTCCAATCCTCTTCAACGTGCTTCAAGCATTGCCTAAGCTGATCATAGCGAAATATGAAGATGCCGTATTGACTTGCGGACATAAAGTCGTAAAGGAGAAGAGGAACCATTTGCAGTCGTATACGCGTCGTTTTCTCCATCAACCAGTAAAGAATACCGGGTATAAGGTCACAAGAGAGAAGAGTGTAGGATATACAAATTAACAAGAGATGGTGAATCTTCGGGTACACAGATTTCTCTTTACTGATGGAGGGCCAGGTACCGAGCGCGAGTAAAATGTTGCGAGTTGGTTGGGTGATGTACAAAATATCGCTCTTATGATCCTTGTTTCGCGGCATCTCTAACGTGCACTTAATGCGAAACCTGAATGCGAACTGAATCGCCACCGGTCGTCGAAGGGCAAGGCTGACCGCGAAGTCAACTCATCGTTCGCGCATATGCTTGCGCATTTTAAGAATTTAAACGTCGCATGAGAAGAGAGAAAAAAAGTAGAAAAGTTTGTAAATGGAGCCCGTTCACCGGGGGCGAGATTGCTTTCCATGAAACGTATTCTTATCCGCTTACGTGCATTGACTTTTACAGCGACTAGGAAAATCATTATATTTAACTTTCTTTCTGAATTCTAACTTACGATCACACAGTGTTAACCGTAAAACTAGTTTCGATGATATTCTACAAGAGCTCGTCTGTTCGCTTAACTACTGCAGATCTACATGTCAATCGACGCAGCAAATTCGTTTTTATATAAGGCCAGTTACTTAAATAATTAAATTATCGAGTTATATATTTTGCAAAGTATCTTATTTCTCGTTTCAGAAGACACACTATTAGATATTTCATAAATAAATATATTATAATATTTATGAGAAACTTCGTTATTCTGCATATTTTCCGTGAGACTCACATTATCATCTAATCATACTTACTGCACGTTCTAATATTTCAATGATGAACAAGTTGTATTTCGATAATCATTATCGGTGCTTAATCGGCAACTGTGCGAAGTATGTTGAAATATACAACTGCTGATTTCATCACCTAAAATAATATACATTATTATTAAAGGATTCTGTCTCTTAACATCGGACAGTAATATTGTATACATTGTGAAATCAACCCTGTTTCAGGCGTCGCAATGTTTTAAATAAAAATATATATTTCGCTCACGTCACCAAATGTCTTCAAGGAGAGGACAATAAATTTTCCTGCCGTAATCTTGGACGGAATATGCGATACAATTATTATCAATACCATATCACGAGTTCTCTTCGCTGGAAGACGATACCATTCTAGCTTACTTGTTCTCCAAGCTACTTCGTCTGCCTATCGTAATAAATGTGTGCGGAATTGCGTTCACATAAGTAAGATTTCATTTCTACACATTTAGAAACGTGATGGGAACGAGCGTCGACGTAATTAAAGTCTAATGTGATACAATTAAATCAACATATACGATAAGCTTACAGTAGCTGTTATGTATTCGCCGATGTAGCAGAGAAGGAAAATATTAACCGTATCGGAAGCTAGGGCAACGAGAAAGGTACACACATTCGCGGTATTTCCATCTTGCCACTCCTGCGTGTTCAACATGCACTCTTCATTTAGATTCCCGCGATAAATTATCGATAAGTGTATCTTGTACGTATGCGCATTGCGGTAATATAATAGTCTGGAAACTTTTATTTACGGCGTGTGTGACGCGACTTGAATGATCTGCCTACCATCAAGATACAGTATCCCACGAAACACATCATTATGGTATTCCCTAATATTTCAAACAAACTACTCTTTTGCAGCGTGTCTTCCACCAGACACAGAAAACTGAAAGTAACAGTACATTGCTAAGGCAGAACAAGACAAAGCGCAAAATTAAGGTAAAAAAATCAAAAAGCGAACGCCTTACTTTCGTATCCTTATCTGACGTTCGACCACCGCCGCCAATTTCTCATCCGCATTTTTCTCCCGCTCGTCGACCAGCTCTTCCATTAATATCATCAAAATCTTCATCTGCGCACACGCGTGCATGACGAGCAGCGCAGCGAGTCCGTACGTCACGATCGTGACGGAATACATGATGAATCCGCCGAAGAACTGTAGCAAGAACACGATCTCGTAAGCAGGACTGCGCTGTTCATCGAACAGAACGAAATAACCCGCGTAGGCCAGCGGCCTGATCGTAATGTTATCGTGGGTAACAGCTTTTCCCCGGGATAACGGCACGATCGTGTGATAAGATAGACCGGCAGAGTACAGGAAGGCACAACAAATAGTGAACATGCTCCTGCCAGTCTTCGCCTTCTCTATCATGATGTCCCTCGCGTTCAATACCGCGATGAACTTCCAGTCATTTTTTATGTGCCTTAAGCAACTCCTGATCTCGTTCTCGTAGACAATCAAAGCACCATACTTGGCAAGTGCGGTGAACGAGTAGATCGTAGGAGCGATCATCCTCAATTTGGCACGCGGTTCTTCCTCGGTAATGAATATGCAGTACAACATACTGGGGATGCCCTCGAAGCACACGAGAGTGCAGCAAATGACTATCAGAAGGATTTTACAGATCGTTTCAACGACAGATAAGTTTCTGTCGAGCAGAGGCCAAATGCCAAGTATTCGTAGAAGAAAGTGGCTTTGCTTGGTGACGTACTTCACATCTTGCTCGTAATTTTTATTTGGATGCTTCTCTAAAAGGAGGTTCATTGTGAAACGATAGAAGGGAGTTTAACGACACGGTCTCTCCGAGAGATAAAAAGGTGAAAAGATATTGATAATATTTTACGGTGTTTCCTGTGCTCGTAAGCCACAAGTCCGATCGCAACTGATCGTTACGTAAGGTTGAGATCGACCATCTCACGCATGCGAAAACCGCTATGCGCACGTGCACCTTTTGAACATTAATATTTCACGTCGTGATGGGCTTGACAATGGTAAGAAGAAACTTTGAAATGATCGCTATAAGGCTGCAGTCTTCCTGTTTGGAACTTGAACTTGAATGCGAGGGTTGACTTTCTAAAAGATAAGAAGTTACACGGATGAGAATAAGATTCGGAATATCGCATACCGCGATCGTATTGCTCATGCATTGCTGGAAATTTTATTTTTTATGTATATAGCTGAAAATCAATGTAGACTATAACGAAATATTTTTTTTCCCCATATTCTGGCGTTTGTCAATGATAATGGTGCAAATTAATAACGTTAACATATTAAATTGTCTACTGCTTCGGCATTGAACGCGCGTAGTATTTGCACACGATATGATATTATTAAAAACTGTGCATATCTCACGTTCTGATTCCGACAGATATCCAGTTGGTTGTAATTCGAAGCATGTCAAAATATGCGCCGGATGTTTTAAAGATCTGAAATATGTCTTATGTATAATATTTCATATCATTAACAAATACTAAATGTTGCTATTTGTCGTAACATATTTTTAATTAAATAACAAAGTTATACAATTTTATGCATTGGAATAAAGTAATGAAAAGTGCAAACTATTTTTCAGGATTTAGACGATAATGTTTGTGTTTTAGAGTCAGAGATATCTAACAAACGTGTACTTACGTTTTTAATGAATCTTGTAACTTTTATCTGGACATTTTTATCGTTTTACATGCACATTTATTAAATGAATAAAATATAAATTAGCAAGTCAGGAATTATACAACAAGACCGGAATATAACTACAAACATTTGCAAATGCATTTAATGTAATTTTATTTGGAATGGAGATACTTGAAGAAGAAAAATACTTTTTTTACCACTATTTCTATTCTATAATTACAGATTTTTATGATTATTGTTTCATCTACGTCTTATGATTATTCTAAAATTTTAGCCCATCGATCGCAGAAGATTTAAATATGTCACGGCCATCTTAATGACCTAAAATAAATCCATAGCCATATATTAGTTACTCTTCCTTTCCACAGGGATTTCTGTATCATAGCCGTATTAATAGATAAACTTAGAAGAATACCTATGCCACTTACATTGCTGAACGTTCTGACGGATAAATCAATGAAATTTCCCGCTTTAAGTTTTAATGGAGTTTCAGAAATTGCTATAAGTAAAATTAATCCTCGTGCTTTTTTATACGGAAGATGATGCCATTCCAATGTGCATGCGGTTAACGCTACTTTCTCTCCCTAATTTTAATTAATTAATTAATTAATTATAAGGGTCAGTTGTGCGAGCGAATAACGTTCCACTAATGTCCCGCTTCGTTATTTGTTAAATATTTTATGGATGTCTCCCCGACGGTGAATAATGGCCTGACAACATACCTGCTCGATGACTTGCTCGCCCATGTAACAATAGATAAATAAGTCGAAACAGAGCATTACTTGTATAACGCCATATGAGAATAGTCGTACAGCACTATGAGCGTCCCACGCCTGTAAATTGAACAATCTTATTAACGTTTGTTATGAAATACAACATTACAATGCAGAGTATCTCTTGCTACGTCACGCTTATCTAAACTTATGTTTTCCCTTAATACTCATTACGTTAATACCAGTAGCATATAATATCCTGCGAAGCATATCATCACGGTAGATCCCAGAACTTCTACTAAACTTGGATACTGAGTGGCAGTCTGCACCATTTGTAAGAAACTAAAATGTGTGGCAAGGAAACTATGAAAATTATTTTTTAACAAAAATTGTTAGTTGCTAATCCCACATTTCTTCGATAATTGATAACACGTTACCCATTTTATGTAGAACCTATCGCGTATTACGCTCTGATATAGTTTCTAGTGAAGTTAGAATTATATTAAAGAGTGGTCTTTATTGTTATGCGCAAGGAAAAACTCACTTTCTTATTTTGATTTGATGATTCACGACAGTGGCCAACTTCTTGTCCAAGTTCTCCGGACGGGTCTCGTTCACGAAATCATTCATTAACGTCACGAGTATGTTCGACTGCGCGCAAAAGTGCATCGCGCAAATGGTGACAAAACCGAAGGCTGCCAACGTAATTGTGTATTTTGTAAATCCCGCAAAGAATTGTAGCCCATACACGATTTCGTAAATGGGACTGCGCTGCACGTCAAGTATAACGAGATGGGCCACGCAGGGCAATGGTCTGATTGTGACATTTTGAGGAGTAACGATCTTTCCCATTGACAACGGTAGGATCATTCGGAAAGCCACGCCGGTCATGTACACGAATATAGCGCACATCACAATTAGACGTTTGCCAATTTTGACCTTGTTGATCATCGAGGTGCGATCCTTCGGATCGACGACGTTTCGCCAGTCTTCATCCATCATCAGTAGACAGCTGCGCACTTGGCTCCTGTACAGCAGCACGCTGCTGTATTTCAATACTGTTACTGTTGATAATATTATGCAGCTCGCGACTTTCAGTCTCGTACGAATGTCTGATAGTATCATGGCCATGTAGAGCACAGACGGGATAATCTCGCACAAGAGAAGAACGGAACACGCGAAGACAACTGCAACTGTCTCAATCAGATCCAGAAAAAAGGATTTCGAGCGTGCCAATGGCCATAAGCCTATTACGCGAAGGAAGAGGCGATTCATCGCGAAAGCGTACTGTATGTCGCGCTCGTAATATTTGTTGGCGAACATCTTGAGTGGCGAATTAATTCTACATCTTAAAAGAAGGATTGAAAGTGGAGTCTTTCGACTTTACAGCATAGCACTGTATAGCATGGAAACCCTTGTTTAATGCACGATACCGAGGCGAAATGTGTCTCTTCGTCACTGATGTCAATAGCGATCCTTCGCCGGGTACAAACATAATTTATAATTCTTGTGCGCCTGCGTGTCAAGGGGGACTGAAACGCCACGTCAAGCAGATGGTTCATGTATGTATACAGAAACTTTCGAAGAGAGTGCGTGCAAATCTATTTATGATTTTCCTTCGCAGAAAGTTCCTTCGTAGAAAAGAACGTTTTCCTACTAGAAGCCAGGAAAGGGTTAACGTTTCGTAAAGAAAACTTTATTACAATAGCACAGTATGAATAACCGGAGTTTTTGACTTGGCAGCGAGATTCGTAGAAAAGTAACTGAACTTGTCATGCGACTATATCCCAGATAATGTTATTTGTTGATTATATCACTATGATTATTTCCTTGGATAAAATTATACGTTGCATTTAGATAATAAGAGTTACAGTGCTCCATATAAAATAATTTCGATCACAGTTTGAATGTTTTATAGATTTTAATAGCTTGTAAAAAAGGTGGATTTCCAAGTGTGATAATGAGCAAGAAATTTCAGAGCAAAATACAATATTGCTTATTGTACAGCTCATTTACATCACAATAATACTGAAGTGTTGCATAAAATTTTAGTACAAGAAAAGTACAATCAATCATATAAGAATCGTTAATCATAATACATTTTCAATTAAATTTAAAAATTATGCAATTTTAATATGTTGGAATAAATAAGCATAAAGTACATAAAAAGTACAAACTATTTAAGTTATCAAGACGAAAGTCATCGTCTAAAGACACAGAAAGAGAGAGAGCGAGGGGGGGGGGGGGGATCCAATCAACATTAATTTACTTACGTGTTTGAATCCTGTGATATATTTTCTGTGGATATTTTTATCATTTTGCATCCACATTCTATAGCTGAATAAATAATAAATTAGTATAAAAATCAAGAATTATATAACGAGATTTGAATATGATTACAAACATTTGTAAATGTATTTAATATTCTCATTTGGAATGGTGGTATTTGAAAAGAAAAGTATATATATATATTTTTTTATATTACTACTTCTATTCTTATAACTACATATTTTTCTAGTATTATTTTATCAATGTTTACGATTAATTCTTAAAATTTAGCCAACTGATCGTAGAAGATTTAAATATGTCACGGCCATCTTAATGACCTAAAATAAATGCATACTTGTATATTAATTGCGCTTCCTTTCTGCAGGTATTTCTTTATTATCTTGTTATTAGATCAGCTTGAAAGAATATCCATGTCACTCACATTGCCGAATGTTTTGACAGAAAGATCAATGAAATTTCCTGCTTTAAGTTTTAACGGAGTTTCAGAAATGATTATAAGTAAAATAAATGCTCGTGCTTTTGCATCCGGAAGTTGATGCCATTCCAAAGAACATGCCGTTAATGCTACTTTCTCCCCCTAATTTTATTCACAAGCGTCAGTACGAGCGAAAAATATAACCGCTAATGTTCTGCTTCATTATTTGATAAATATTTTACGATTACTGGCCACCGACAGTAAATAACGTTTCAACAACATACCTGCCCGATGATTTTCTCGCCCATGTAACAATAGATAAATAAATTGAAACAGAACGTCACTAGTGCAATGATATATGAGAATAGTCGTACAATACTATGATTTTCCCATTCCTGTAAATTGAACAATTTTATTAATTTATTTATATAATGCGTCACAATAGAGATGTTATTATGTTACGTTAATCTAAACTAAAATATTTTACTTAAAACTCGGTACGTGTATAAATTATAATTATGATAAATATTTCTGCGCACCATGAGAGTGTAATATCCCGCGAGACATATCATGAAGGCAGATGCTAGGACTTCTATTAAACTTGGATACTGAGTGACACTCTGCATCAAGTGTAAGAAACTAAAACGCATGGCAAAGATCTAAATTGAAAACTGTTTTTCATACGAACGAAAATTACTAGTTGCTAATCCCATATTTCTTCGACAACTGATGACACGTTACCCATTTTGTGTAGAACTTATCGCGTATTAAGCTTTGACATAGTCTCTAGTGAAGTTAGAATTATATTAAGGAATGGACTTAATCGTCGAGCTCAAGAAGACACTTACTTTCTTATTTTGATTTGATGTTCCACAACAGTAGCCAACTTCTTGTTCAAGTTTTCCGGTTGTCTTTCATTCACAAAGTCATTCATTAACGTCACTAGTATGTCCGACTGCGCGCAAAAGTGCATCGCGCAAATGGTGACAAAACCGAAGGTTGCCAATTTAATGGTGTACTTTATAACTCCCCCGAGAAATTGCGTGAAATATACAATTTCATAAACGGGACTACGCTGCACGTCAAATATAACGAGATGGGCCACGGACGGCAACGGTCTGATAGTAACATTTTGAGCAGTAACGATCTTTCCCATTGACAACGGGACGATCATTCGGATAGCCACACTGGTCAGATACACGAATACGGCGCACATAACAATCAAACGCTTGCTAGTTCTAACTTTGTCGATCATTAAGATGCGATCCTTCGGACTGACAACGTTTCGCCAGTCTTCATCGATCAGCATTAGGCAGTGTCGCACTTGACTCTGGTAAAACAGTATGTAGCCATATTTCATCATTTCTACTATCGCAAGTAATGAGGTACCCATGACTCTCAGCCTCACCTGAAAGTCCGACATTATCATAAATATGTACAGCATAGACGGGATTATGTCGCCCAAGAGAAAAACCAAACACGCGAAGACCAGCGTGATTGTCTCGATCGTATCCAGAAGAAAGGAATTCGTACGCGGTAATGGCCATATGCCTATCATGCGAAAAAAGAAGCGATTTATCGCGAAAGCGTTCTCTATATCGCGCTCGTAATATTTGTTGGCAAACATTTCGAGTGGCAGATTAATTTCACATCTTGGAAGGTGGACTCAAAGTGGAGTCTTTCAACTTTACAATGTGATACAGCACGGAAACACTTCTGCAATATACGATATCGAAGCGAAATGTATCTCTTCACTACTGATCGTAATAGCGATTCTTCGCCGGGTACAAACATAATTCATAATTTACGTGCGCCTGCGTGTCAAGGGGATCGAGAAGCCACGTCAAGCATATGGTTAATGTATGTATACAGAGAGCTTTCGAAGAGATTGCGTGCAGATCTATTTATGATTTTTCTACGTAGAAGGTAACAAAAAGTTTTCCCACTGCAAGATAGGGTTAACCTTTCGTAAAGAGAAGTTGCAACAGTAGTATAAGTAAAACGGTGGTTTTGACTTGGCAGAATATCCGTTGAAAAGTAACTGTACTTGTCATGCGAGTATATCTCAAATAATATTATTTGTTGATTATATCGTTTCCTTAATTAAAATGTGCAGTGCATTTAACTACTAAGAGTTACAATGCTCCATGTAAAATAATTGTGTGATTACGTGACACGCTAATGCTTCGAAAACTTTTAATATAGCGTGTAAGATGTATTTCAAAGTGCCATAATGATTTTTAGACGAAATGCTAATTATTGCACAGCTCATTTATATCATGTAATATTCAAGTGTTACTTGATATTTTGGTACAAGAACATTTATGCAATTTATGATATTAGAAAGATATATAAGAATATATTTAAACCAAGATCTCTTTTGTATGCTTATCGTGTCTAATTTTTGTATATTTATGTATTTTCACGCTTATTACAATGTTATTATCGACAGCTTAGTTAGTTACGAAGAACGAACGTTGATATTTCGATCTACTTACGAGATACAGTCGCATGCAGAAATCAATGGGTTCTTAAAGCCGCATTGGTTTCGCACACTATATGTAATTGACAAATGTAAAACTATATTTACGACTATCTTTTAAATTTCTACTGAGTGCTCTTCGATATCTCGTAAATAAATGTAGATGCAATTTATATAAAAAAATAATTTCTACAACTTAATTATCAAACTGCATTTTATGAAATGTATAATCTTGCCGTATTGAGAAGCAAAAATTTCTTACACTTCTATATAGAGGAAATATATTTAGATCGAGAATATATATATTTAAGTATATATACGTATATCATACCATGCTTCTGTATTTGACACATCCATATCACGAGCATACACGATACCATTACGATGCGTTTATAGTCGTAGTTCCGGCAAGAAGGTAGAGATGTAGAGTAGAAACTGTTATATCAATCGGTTACATTTAACAGCATGTTGAAATATGTCACAGCTGTCTTCACGATCTGAAAATAAGTACATTACACAGTTATTTTCTTGTTATTTCATTATCGTTTCTTTGTGAAATAGTATGGTAGGTTGATATTTTGAAAATATTATGAAATAACCACATCTTTATAATAATAACTGGGTAATATTTAATTGTAATCCAATAAGTAGAAGCTCCATAAATTTAAAAAACAAAAAACGGACGATCAGACTATGCTTCAATTTTCACGTCTGGCTCGCATTGGCCCCACCGTCCCTTTTTGCTTTTTTACTTGCAGTGGCACAATTGTTGCATTCTTGAAAAAGTGAGCGGATCCTTTTATGTTCTTACATCACCGTAAGTTTTGAATGATAGATCCATGATCTTGCCAGCGGTGATCTTGGTGGGTATGTTTGACATGATTATTACCAGCACGATCCCACGCGCCTCCTTGTTCGGAAGACGATACCACTCGAGCACGCATGATGTTCTAGCTACTTTTTCTGCCTATCATTAATAGTAATGTTGTCAAGTATGTGTAGTAAAATTTTTGCCAATTTGGACATCGTTTTAAAAATACTATACAAACGTTTCCAACTTCTTCTCAAGTATTATCAACATGTACAAAGTAACAAATATGATGCATTATTATAAACTACCGTATCGCATCACATTATCATCGTGCGTAATCTTTACTAGGAATTGAACAAATATACCTGAACGGTAAGTTGTTCGCCAGTGTAACAAAACATGAACATATTTATCATCATGGATGTAAATGATGTAAAATAGGAGCACATGGCTATCGAATTGCTATTTTCCCATTCCTATAAATGTTACATTATTGTAGAAAATTTTTTTTTCCTTTCGGTTCATTACTAAAATTCTAGGATATATAAAATTACCATTATTATAAAATATCCTAGAAGGCAGACTATCAACGTGCACCCCATTAATTCTATTAGGCACGCTTGTTGCAGAGTGCTTTCTACCAAATGCAAAAAACTGAAATATCGACGGCACTGAATTAACATGTTCGAATTAGAAAGTAGAATTAACTTCACTCTGCATGTATATGATGTAAACTACCGATTAGCGAATAAATCTTACGTTGATGTACGCAGTTTTAATAAAAGTCCTAAATATTTACCTTCGAATTCTTATTTGATGTTCGACCACTTTTGCTAATTTTCGGTCCACTTCCTGTTTTCCTTGCCACTGCTCCTCGACGAGATTTCTCATGAGATTCACCAGGATCTTTAACTGGCCACAGGCATGCATCACGAAAACAGCTGCTAGGCCACATAAACCTGTTGTTATAGAATAAGTGACTACCCCGGATAAAAGTTGCATTGCGAAGACGATCTCGTAAGCGGGGCTGACTTGTATATCGAAGAGAAAAAAATAAGCTGGACAAGGCAGAGGTTTGATCGTGATGTTTTGCGCAGTGACGATTTTTCCCTTGGCGAACGGCAAGATGGATCGAAAGGAGAGCCCGCTGCCGTACATGAAGACCGCGCAAAGTGTGACCAGTCGTCTACCAATCTTTGCAGATTCAATCATCATGTCTCGCGCGTCTGCGTTGGAAACGATTCTCCAATCGTCTTCGATGTGTTTCAAGCAGCGCCTAATACTCTTCTCGCGGAATATCAGATTGGTGTATTTACTACTGGCCATAAAGCAGTAGAGCAGCATAGGGAACGTTTGAACTCTGACCCGTGTTCTTTTCTCAATCACCCAGAAAAGGCCGCCCGGAATCAGGACAAAATAAAGAAGAACGTAAGAGACCAAGACCGAAAGGTACTTCCAGACCCTTTCCCCGGCAGACCTTCTTCTGTTATATAACGGCCATGCCCCGAGTAAGCTCAGAACGTTTCGCGTCAAGTGTGTGATATAAATCATGTCATCTTTGTACTGTTCGTTGCGCAACATTCTTTCGTCGATCTTGTATGAAATCTGTACGGAAGCTGGATCGCGACTGATCGCTGCGGGTAAGAACTGTCAATAGAGTAAATTCGTTGTCCGCTTGCGCTTGCGCGCCTTAAAGATTCAAATGTTGCGTGAAGAAGAGGGTTCGAAAGCACAAGAGTTTCCAAGTCAAACTGTTCGCCGAGGGTCAGGATTACTTTCCGCGAACGGCTCTATTTGTCGACGTGTACATTTTTTTCAAGCAGCTAAGAATAGCCTGTTGGCTTCAACTTTTCTTCCTGTATTAGTACTCACGATTGCATCCGCTGGACGTTGACCGCTAGGAATAGTTTCGATTACAGTACGGAATACTTCTATTTGTTTCAAGAGCACTATATATGTATATAACAACAATTATTACGGTTCTGGTATGATGATTTCATCGTGTTTCTGACGTAACGCTTCTGAGAACGTTGGTTAATTGAAAATAAACGTACGTATATTCGTATATACGGGGTTGTAACATGTTCTACGACAACTGCTTGTGACAGGAAAGTAAACTTATTAAACTTGTAATTGCGCGAAAAGTTGAAAATAAAAGTGGTACGTCATTTCCATGAAATGTGTTCTGTCATTAAACAAATTTTCTGATTCTTCGGAAGTAAAATAATGTCTGTTACAACTTGCAACTGAAGAATCACATCAGGAGGACGGATAAAGAATACATCGAAACTTTCGAAGGAGTCACTGCAAACGTACTTGTGATTTTCTTATTGTTTTCGATCAAAGTGTTTACGGCGCTACGTCATTTCTCGGAACCAAAATTCCAACAATTTCCGCGAATGATAAACCTCAATAATCCGCGAAATTTTAAACGCAGTGATAATACACTGACTTAGAGAGTGCGTGCTAATGGAGACTTTAATGCGACGTAAGATGGATTTCTAAGTACAGTAATAATGTCGGAGTAAACTAGAATATTGCTTACATTTATTTCTATCGTGGATCATTTTTATTCATTTCTAGCTGCTTGATATTTTAACAAAAGAAATTATGCAATTATATAAATATATATTCCAATCAAAGATTATTTGCATTGTCTCGAATAAGAGTGACTATAGGCATGAAAATCTCCGTTTCTCTCTTTTTCTTCCTCCCTCGTTCCTTCTCCTTTTTCGCATCTTATCGTTGTCAACTCGATGTATTATATCTATTGTGTCTGATTTTTATATTTTTCGTATACTTGTATCACGTACATGTGGTACTGATTCTATACATAGCTGAGTTATAAAGAACGAATGTTAACTGATAGTTGATTGACTGTAATTTGAGTCACATCATGCGATACTTCGATCCGTTTGCGAAATATAAGCGCGCTCCAGAAATTAATGATCCAGAAGAAATGATAATCTTTTTAAGCAGCGTTGGTTTCGTATATGTGTGATCGATGAAATTGAAATTATATTTTTAGTAATTTCTTAATTAGTACCAGATACTCATTATCATCTCGTAGCAAAATGTAGATGTAGTTTATTTAAAAAGACAAAATAAAAATTACATGACTTAATTAGTTATCAAACTGTATTTTATGAAATGTGTAGTTTTACTGTACTGAGAAACAAAAATCTCTTACGCACACTGATATAGAGGAAATATATTTAAGTCGAGAATATATTCAATTATATATGCACATCATACCATGTTTCTGAATTTGACACACCTATATCACGAGCATACACGATACGATGTTTCCATTACGATGCATTTGTAGTCATAGTCCCGACGAAAAGGTAGAGATATCGAGCAGAAACATTCAACCAGCTACATTTAGAAGCATATTAAAATATGTCAGAGCTGTCTTTACGACCTGAAAAACGAGCGCGATATCCCGCAGTTAGTTACACGTTATTTTGTCGTTGTTTCCTAAAACTAGCGCGGGATAAATTGATTAATAGCGAATTCGGCAGCTTGCACCAGTGCGCACTGAGTGCACACTAAAGCTTGTTTACAGTCAATTTTTAAATTAAAGATATTATCGAATTCACTATAAGAAAGGTGTATCCATTATAATGACATATATTACTATGATAGTAACAATTAATAAGATATTTAACCCTAGTGTTACAATGCCGATTCCTAAAGAAATTAATGAATGTCTTTAAATATGCTCTCACATCGCCGTATGTCTTGAAAGATAGATCCATGATCTTCCCGGCGGTGATCTTGGTAGGCATGTTTGACATTATTATTACCAGCACGATCCCACGCGCTTTCTTGTCCGGAAGACGGTACCACTCGAGCTCGCAAGATGTACTGGCTACTCTCTCTGCCTATGATTAATATTATCCAGGATGTGCAGTTGAATTTTTGCAGATTTAAGCATTATTTAAAAAATATTATAGAAACATTTTCCAACATTTTCCAATTATCTTTTCAAATATTATCATACAGTATTAAAGTAACAAAATATGATTACAAATTTCACGTCCCATATAATCTTTATTGGGAAATGAGCAAGCATACCTGAACGGTAAGTTGTTCGCCAGTGTAACAAAACATGAACATATTTATCATCAGGGATGTAAGTGTTATAACGTAAGAGCACATAGCTATCGAATTGCTATTCTCCCATTCCTATAAACATGAAATTATCGATATATATAGTAGCAAACGTTTACTTTTGGCTTTGCTACTAAAACTTTCGGATGTATGAAATTACGAACCATTATTATAAAATACCCTAGAAGGCAAACAATCATCGTACACCCCATCAATTCTATTAGACACGCTTGTTGTAGAGTATTTTCTACCAATTGTAAAAAACTGAAATGTCGACGGCACCGAATCACCATATTAAGGAAATGAAAAATTGAAATTAACTACAGTCTGCACATATATATAATATTGACTATGAATTAACGAATAATTAATTATTACGGATGCAGAATTACTTTATGTATGTGATTGTAACGAAAACTAAAAGATTGAAACTCTTACCTTCGAATTCTTATTTGATGCTCGACCATTTTTGCCAGTTTCCTGTCAATTTCCTGTTTTTCCTGCCAGTGGTCCTCGACGAGATTTCTCATTAAATCTACCAAGATCTTCAGCTGGCCACAGGCATGCATCACGAAGACGGCCGCGAGGCCACATAAAGCTATCGTTATCGAATAAGTAACTATCCCGGATAAAAACTGCATGGCGAAGACCATCTCGTAAGCGGGGCTGGCTTGTACATCGAAGGAAAAGAAGTAAGCTGGACAAGGCAAAGGTTTGATCGTGACGTTTTGCGCAGTGACGATTTTTCCTTTGGCGAACGGCAGGATGGATCGAAAGGAGAGCCCGCTGCCGTACATGAAAACCGCGCAAAGTGTTACGAGTCGTCTACCGATCTTGGCAGATTCGATCATCGTGTTCCGCGCCTCCGCGCTGTTAATGATCCTCCAGTCCTCCTCGATATGTTTCAAGCAGCGTGTGATATTTTTCTCACGGAACACCAGGTTGCTGTATTTACCACTGGCCATGAAGCCGTAGAATATCAGGGGGATCGTTTGGACTCTGATGCGTGTTCTCTTTTCAATCAACCAGAAGAGGCCACCGGGAATCAGGACGCAGTAAAGAAGGGTATAAGAGATTGAGATCAAGAAGTACTTCCAGATTCTTTCCCCGGTAGAGCTTCTTCTGTTATACGATGGCCAGACCCCGAGTAGGCTCAGAACGTTTCGCGTCAAGTGTGTGATATAAATCATGTCATCTTTGTAATGTTCGTTGCGCAGCATTCTTTCGTCGATCTTGTATGAAATCTCTACGCAAACCGGATGGCGACTGATCGCTGCAAATAAGAACTATCAATAAAGTAAATTCGTCGTTCACTTGCGCTTGCGCGCCTTAAAGATTAAAGTGTTATGAAGAAGAGGGTTCGAAAGCACAAGAGTTTCCAAGTCAAACTGTTCGCCGAGGGTCAGGATTACTTTCTTCTACGAATAGCGCTTCTATTCGTCAACGTGTACATTTTTTTTTCAAATGACTAAGAATAGACTAAGACAAAGCCCGTTGGCTTCAACTTTCCTTCCTGTATTAAAACTCACGATTGCCTCCGCTGGACGTTGACCGGTAACGATATTTTCGATTACGTGGTGCAGAATACGTCTTTCGTTTAGAAATCACTATATATAACGTCGTGTTCTTTCTGATATGATGGTTTGTCGGATATTCCAGTATATCAGTGAATTAAATAAAGCTAAAATCACCTTTATCTCCCTGCGGTGTTTTATATGTTCCATGGTAGCTGCTTGTGGCAGGAAAGTAAACTTTCAGTTGCGTGAGAGACAGAAGATGAAAACTGCAAATCGTTTCCATGGAAGGTGTTTCGATATGCCGACATTGATCAAGTTTTCCGATTCTCTAGAAGATAATCACGTTTGATTCTGCTGTCTCCAACTTGTGTTCCTGAAAATTACAATATTGAAAGGTTAGTACAAGTTTTTATGTTTGTACATACACGTCAATACGTATTTCAACTTTCGTCTAGACTGCATTTTTTCTCACAACACGTTCTAGTAAAGAAATTATTGTTTGGGAATAATATGCCTTTGTCATTTTTATTTCAACATTAATATTCTCTTGAAGATTAACATTTATGCGTCTACGGATGACTATTCGAACTTGTAGCTAACTCCAGAGCAAAGAAATTTTTAATTCGTTATGGCTATTTTAACGACCCAAAGTATAAGGAATCTTCAAACAATTATATTTTATTCCAACATATTTTGTTACTTACGTTATCGAATGTCCTGAACAAAAAATCTATTTGAAGAGCTTTCCCTCTCCGAGCATCCACGGAGAATTCGACATGACCGTAATTAATATCAGACCATGCTTTCGTACCCGAAAAACAGTATCACTCCAATGCTACTGTCTTTTCTTAGTTTAATTAATAAGTTATTGTTATATAATTTAAGTAAAGTTTGTATTACTAATAAAAGTGATGAACATTGTTACCTGATAAAAGCTAATAATTATTCCGATAACATAATAGTGTTACCTTAGCCAAAAATTGTTCAGTGTTGAGACAAAAAAGAAAATGTTGAGACTAATCATTGAGTCCAATGAGATACAAACATAGAGCTCCTACATTATTATTTTCTCATTCTTACACATTCGGTGATAGCATTTATTTTTACGACATATGCTAACGAAGTGTGCATTCCCCATTATGTGTTAAACAACATTTTCTTCCTACACAATTTTCTTAAAAATTACTCAAATTATTACTATACATAATAATTTTTGGCACATCATAATAACAAAATATTCTATGAAACATACGATTGTAATGCATCCTATTAATAATTGTATATTGTATGGTGTTCTATATCAATTACACAAATTAAAATACAACGCGGAGGAAATGTTTTAAAAGTTTGTTTATAAAAGAAGAAAAATTATTATATATTATTATACAATATTATACGAAAATTGTATAATAAAAAATTTATGATATTTTTACACAAAAATGAAGATAATCAAATACGTTTGTATAAAAGAAATCTTATTTATCGAGCAATATACTAATTACAACAATATATCGTGAATATTATACACGTTTTCAATTAAAAAACATTAAAATATTGATAATTTATCGAGGATACTTACAAAGATAGTTTTACTTTTGCGTTTTGAAATTATGCTTTATAATTGTATGATTGTATCCTTTACTAACCTTTTTAAATTCGCGTTTATGTGCCAGATTGTTTATTAGGACCATCAGTATCTCCAACCATGCACAATGTGTATCGTGAAGAAGCCCACAAGGTTGTACATCGCCATCGTGATCATGTATTTGACGAATCTTACGAAGAACTGTATGGCAAACACGATCTTGTAAGTGGGACTGAGTTGTACGTCGAACGAAACAAAGTAACCCGGGCATGGTAGATGCTTGATTGTGATGTTCTGTTCGGTGATGATCGTTTGGAAGAACACCCAAGTGGAATACGTGAATATGGCGCATATTTTGGACAAACGGCTGCCAGTTCTGGTCTTGTCGACCATTACGTGAACGCACCATCCGGCATTTTCTTCAAGACAGTTTCTCACTCGTTTCCTGCTGAACAGTAATTGGTTCACCATGGCTAGTGCCAACGTGATATTCACGAGCCATACAGAGAATCGCCAAGACTAATTCGCAGATGAAGAGGATGTAAGAAGTAAGAACCACCGCGACTCTTTTGAAGGTCTCCCAAAAAGTAGTTTGTGCGCGCGTAGAGCCTGATATAGCGTACAGCAGTCGAAAAGCGAAATAGCTCAGCTCGAAAGCGTAGTCTACAGCGTTTGTAATTTTTGTTAACAAACATTTTTTTTCTATGTGAATCCGTATACGATTTGACGCACATGAAACGATGCGCGTTCACTCGCAACTGATCGCGGTTGATCCTCTATTTGATTCAAGGGAACTCGCGACGCGCGTGCGCTTGCGTATTTGCAACAGTCTCTCAAAGCCACGTAGAATAAATCGCGTGTGTAAAAACTTTGAGAGGGATGTTGCGTGAGACTATTTTTACTTTGCAACATTATACGGAGGAAGGATTTCCCGGAAATTGCGAAAGGGTTAACGTTCCGAGAAGAAAGTTTTCTCGCAATAGCGGCGGACTTTTGAACTTTACAATTTTTCATAAGAAATTTATGAAGAGATATTGCAGAAATGTAAAAAACAGATGCGTGAGACGTATTAACTTTTTTTTTTATATTCTGTGTACCAAATAATATTCACATATTTTATTCTACTGTATACCTTGATATGAGAACAAATATCTATCGGGAAAGTTGAGTTAACATTCATTAACGATATACTTACATCTTCAATATTTAACTTACACTATTTTTACACTACTTTCATAACTGCTATTACTTACTTCTATTTTATTATTAATTTCAATAATAAATTTTTCAATATGTTAAAATATTTATTATATTAATATATGTATCGCTCAAAGAAATTTGTTGCCAATCTCAATCTTATCATTTATTCGGTAAATTGTCGAAGCATATTAAGATAAATTACAGCCGTCTTAATTACCTGAAACAATTTTTTTATGTCTAAAACATTCCGATAATCAAACTTTAATAATGCGAATTTATAGTGCTCACATCACCGAACGTTCTAAAGGACAGTTCGATGAATTTTCCGGCGGTAAATCGTGGTGGAAGGTTCGAAACGGCTGTCACCAGTGTCATATCTCGTGCCACGTTTGTCGGAAGACGATACCAGTCGAGAGTGCGAATAGTTAAGCTCACCTCATCTGCCTGTCGTAGGACGTAGACAATCGTGAATATCACATGTGCAAGAGATAGCAAGTATGTATTTATTGTAAAATGATATTTATCTATTTTGAAGCATATCTAACAAATCATAAATCGTACAACAAATTAGAAAAGAGATAACATCTTATAACACATTAAACAATTACCTGCGTCGTTATATACTCTCCTATATAACATAAAATAAAAATGTTAATAAGAACAGATACGAGAGATACTAAGTACGAACTTAGAGCCGGTAAGTTTCTATCTTCCCATTCCTAGAGAGAATAAAATTAGTCGGTGCTCGTGACACGCATTGCCCTTAAACGCATGCATCTGCTCGCTTATTATTTTTCGTACCACTATTATAGAGTATCCGACAAGACATATGATCACGGAGCACCCCACGATTTCGACTAAACTACTGTAGCGTAAAGTATTCTCCACCAGTTGCAAGAAACTAAAATGTATTTATCAAATACTCGATTCAGTAGTTGCAAATGGAAAAACATTGATGTCTATTTGTTGTTTACAACATACAAAAGAATATAAAATATAGTCGAAATTTTTCTCAATTTATTTATCGTTTAATAATAACACCAAGTCATAATTACGAAGTTATAGATATGTATACAATAATTGCGTATAATATTTTCGAATATCACTTAATGTCCATGTACATACATACCGACAAATAAAGAACTACACGATACAACGAAATACTTACTTTTGTATTCGTATTTGACGTTCGATTACGATTGCTAGTTTTGCACTGACGTTTCGCTGTTCAAATTCGCTGTCATCGGTAAGGCCCTCCATCAGTCGCATCAGGATTTCCATCTGCGCGCACGCATGAATTGCGAAGACGGCGGCCAGACCGCAAATTGTCACGGTGATCGTGTACATGACGAAACCGCAAAGAATTTGCTGGAGAAACACGAGTTCGTAGGCAGGACTGTTTTGCGGATCGAAGAAAATGTAATAACCGGCACAGGATAAGGGCCTAATCGTTGTATTCTCATCGATAATGGTGCTTCCTCTCGACAACGGCACTACCGTATTATAAGACACTCCACCGCAATACATAAATGTGCAGCACAAGATGAATAATCGTCTGCCAATATTGGCTTTGCTCAGCATTACTTCTCGTGCATCACCGATAGCTACCGTTCTCCAATCTTCCTTAATGTGCCACAGGCAGTTCCTCACGTCGTACTTGTAGATGAGCAAATTACTGTACTTGGCAATCGCCATGAACGAGAACAGGACCGGCGGCATAAATTTCAGTTTCTCGCGCCATTCACCGTCTAGGACCACGTAATAAAGAATACCCGGTACGAAGTCGCATTGTACAAGCAAATAGCTGATGATCACAAGAGAAATATTCGCGATCTTCTCGATCGTATTTGGCTGTCTGTCGGTCGACGGCCAGATACCCAGCATGCGAAGTACAATGTGACTTTGCCCGAGCACATATTTCACATCTGTCTCGTAATGTTTATTGAGAATCATCCTGGCGGTATGATTTTTCTACGACTTAAAGCCAGAATGAAGTCTCTCCTGGTAATTTTGCCGTTAAGACAACTACTAATTCCACGTTAAAGAAAGTGGATGTACAAAGAGTCGGAGATAGCCGAAAATTTCAATTGATGGATAGAGTTTAAAATCGAAACATATATGTTTGGATTTACGTTTGCGTGCGGTGCGATTTTGCTGATGGCAGCTTGACTTGTGCAGGAAGGATGCGAACTCTCGGACGATTTGCGCCGGCGTGCTTTAAAAATTAAAAAGCCACAAGAGATACAACTGCAATCGAATCGAGGAGAAGTTGCACGATTGATTTTGCACGCGACGTGATTTCTCACGCACAGTGTAGTAGCCACGCGGTGGAAACTTTGACTTTAGAACTTGAACTACGATAGCGCTTCTTTTTCGAAGGAGTAAAAAATTGCCTTCGTCGAGCAACTAAGGGTAATATACTTTTATCCGATCTTCGTTGTCATCGTTTCCATTATACATATAAACAATACTCCGACTTGTAACACGATGCTATTCCGCAGTTTTCCTTATGTCTTGCAGATCTTATTTTTACAGTAACAATATTTGTCATACTCTGAGGAAAAATAATTTATTCCATCATAAGTGCTGTACTAACACGTGCGTTACTTGTCAAACTATTCATATAATTCTCTGCTTTATAAATATCTTAAGCATGGTAGCCCTTTCCGGAATGTCATCTCATCGCGCCGTGTCTTACGTTCTCATAACGTCTCGCGCGGAAAACTCACGGAGCAAATTGAAATACGCCATTGACGTTTTTAAAATCTACGGTACAATATTCTGTTTTTAATAGAGGTTCAATACAGAGATTAGAGATTTCAAGTATTTTCCAGATACATATATTTTATTCCAGTTCATTGGAATCTCTGCTGGCACACAATATTTTACCCTGATTAATTCCAATCTCTAAATAATGAATGCAATATGTATAAAACACACACGTAATTGTTACAAGCACGTTAATCAGTCTTAATTACTCTTCGCGTTTAGAACATGAAGCGATATTACTCACGTCGGAGAACGTGGTAAGTGTCATCGGCATCATCTTTCCGGCGGTGAGCGTCACAGGGTATCGAGACATCGCGATCGGCATAAGCAGTTCTATCGCCTTCTTGGGTGACATTCGGTACCATTCGATCGAGTAGCATGAGATTCCGACCTGCTGGCAGCGCTCCTTGAGTAAATCCCCGATGTAGCAGTATATGAACACGTTGAACACGATCGACACGAGCGCGAAGAGATACATAAAAATCTGTACGAATGACTCGTTATTATTCATGTCCTGAAATTCAGGAAAAGATTATCGTATCGCTGCTATCGTGAGGTATCAATGTTCGTTCAAGTTCGCTTGAAATCTCTATAGGAACCATCTATCGTACAGTTATGATGTAATAGCCAAGTAAACATATGTTACATGAAGCGTTCACGAATTCCATGAGGCATATCTCGGTAAATAAACTGCTTACGTCAGAAGCCAATCTGAAAATTCGTATCGAACAAAGTTTCACAGGGTCGCTGCAATCTATCCTAAGATTGCGCGATTGCTCAAGCGCAATTGTTGCAATAAAGATGTTTTTCGGATTACCTCAGCAGATGCAAATGTTTGGTTATCGCGGTGGCGATTCGCTTCTTGGTTGAACCACTATTGCGTTTACCGCCGTCCACGGTTTCCTCTAAAATCGACGTTAAGACGTCGCACTGGCCGCACAAATGCGTGACGAAATTGGCCATCAAGCTGCAAATGCCGCAGAACGTGCTGTAGGCAGTGCAACCGGTCAAAAGTTGTAAGAAGTACACGATCTCGTATGCAGGACTCGCCTATGCGACAAGTTTATTTATACTTGCAACGTTAGAACACACAATCGATGTATAAATGCATTGTTAGAGAAAAAGAACGTTGCCAAAAATTGTAAGCTTATCAAACATCTATAAATGGAAAGACGTCGATTTTAGAAATAACCGATCGTGAAGGCTGACTTAACTTGCAAATCGAAGTCGCACGTTTTACCTTGGAATCAAATACGAGAAACTCGCAGGGCGATGGATGCAGTCTGGTGGTGACGTTGTTTTCATTGACCAGGTTCGGCGTGACTATAGGTAGGGCGTAGTAAAGCGTGCCGCAGCTGTACATGAAGGCCACGGAAATGATGCCAAAAGTGCGGCCAACTCGAGCGTTTGCCAACATAATTTCGCGATCTTCGGCGATTATCGCACACCGCCAATCGTCGGCCACGCGATCGACGCAGGACCTAATTCGATCCTGATACCAGAGCAGCAGACCGTATCTCACGGAGATCGTTGTCGTGAAGAGCAGCGGACATAACGTGCGGATTATTAGGAAGACGCCCAATTTCTCCTTCCATATTTGAATGATCCACGGCACGAGGGTGAAAAAAAACATGAGGAACGTGCCCATTGCCATCGACACTGCGTGTAGGATGATCTTGAGCTTCGATGTTTCATTGTTAGCCAAAGGCCAAGCACCGATCGGTTTCAATAGGTAAACGCTTATCTGGACGGCGTAACGAAAGTCCGAGACGTACGACTCGTTCTGCTTTGTTACACCGACAGCAAGCGCGTTCTCCTGTTTCCGATCATTCATTTTCAACGATGTGTCACTGCCGCCGGCCTTATCTTCACTGTCTCTGTCGTGAAATCAGGATTACGCGATTTTCTACCACGAGGCATGCGCGGCTCGTTCGATGACCTCTCTCTCCTCCGCGGCCTTCGCCCCGACTTTGATGACTTGTAATTTGCATTTTCTAATGTGTTAAGTTTTACGGAAGGAAAACAGCAGGTGCGCTTGAAACAAATCGGAAAGGGGTGAGTAGGGACGATGTGATCCCCGCTCGTACGATGATGTGGTGAAAACTTTTCTTCGAGGATAATCGTAAAGTTACTGACGATACGTGTAATTCTGATATTTTCCTCGAAAAATTCTGCGACATGACGTGGAAGGTTTTTTCCAGAACTTTGTCTTGTGTCTTGCTTAACTCTCGTATGCCTCGCTCTTATATATCATAGTTTGCGTTGATCATGACCGAAAAAATCCCTCAAATAAATTTTGTAGAACCTGAAGAGATAAAGCAAAGCGCAGTTAAAAACAGAGCGAGGGGATACTAATAATCGAGAAACTTGAAAATGGAGGAGATGCGGTGCAAAAGTAAAAGCCAACTCTATTGTAAACTCATAGTTCGCAATTTTGTTGCATTGTTCTCTGCGAAGAGAAGAAACCGTTGTCGCGGATTTGCGTCGTGATATCAACTTATAAAAATGGATAGCATTGTTTTCTGCGAAAAGAGAAAACCGTTGTCGTGGATTTGCGTTGTGATATCAACTATAAATAATAGATAGCATTAAACGCTTTACTGCGTGTGGTAATTATCGTTATTAATAAATATATTATTAATATGATTGTAAAGGTCTATTTAAAAAAATGCACGTAAATAATGAGCATTAATTCTGCTTTAATAGTTGTCCTAGAAAGAGTCTTAAGGTGACTTTAATTAATTATTAATGAATCAGTAATGTAATTGATTCGTCGTTTGATCCTTAAATGTCGATTTAATGAGCATCGCTAGATAATAGGTTTACGAAAATTGAAATGCCTAATATAAAATACATAATTACGCCAAATAGTTGGTTGTCTTCCCGTTCCTCAGAGAAATTTGTGTGAAAAGATCTGAGTGGATTTTAAGAGTAAATCATTGATTGTGCGTTATATCAAAATACCTTGAGAACGCCATATTCAAGGAAACATATGCTAATAGTACATCCAACCATCTCTGATAGAAAGACGAAATCGAATGGATTTTCGATCATCTCAACATACCTGTAAAAGATATTGTCGTGGAATCAGAACAAATGTAATTATTATAAATCAAAGTAATCGCAAATAACGGCAATATGACAAAAAAACGCCATTCAATATTTAAAGTAAAATAAAACAGTAAAAATAAAATCCCGACTTGGCCTATCTTTTCTATACGAAATATATGTATTGGTGTTATTGACGACTCTTGTTGAAAAATTCACAATCTTCTCTCCGACCTGAGAGCTCGTACGTGGTGCGTGACCATCCAGCCGAATCGTTCATGAAAGTGATCAGTACCACCAATCAGTAATGTTTCCATGTGTCTACGAACATGCATCAGGCACGCAATGTATTGTATAAAACACATATAGTTGTCACAAGCACGTTAAACAGTCTTAATTATACTTCGGATTTAGAACATGAACATTGTTACTCATGTCGGAGAACGTGGTGTCATCATCATCATCTTTCCGGCGGTGAGCGTAGCGGGATATTAAGATATCGCGATCGGCATGAGCGGTTCAATCGTCTTCTTGGGTGGCTTTCGATCGTAGCACGTGATTCCCACCTGCTGGCAGCGCTCCTTGAGCAAATCCCCGATGGAGCAGTATATGAACACGTTGAAAACGATCGACGTGAGCGCGGAGAGATACATACAGGTCTGTACGTACGAATAACTCGTTATTATTCATGACCTGAGATTCGGAAAAGGATTAACAATTGCTGCAATCAACGTTCGTTTAAGGTTGCTTGAAATCTCTGGAGGAAGATTTCTAACGTATAACATCTAACGTACGATTACGACGTAATTACCAATTAGACATATGTTACATGAAGCGTTCACCAATTCCATGAGACATACCTCGGTAAATAAACTGTTTACGACAAAACCAAGCTAGAAATTTTCGTATTGGACGAAATTTCGGAGAGTCGCCGTAGTCTAAGATTGCACGATTGCTCAAGCATAATTGTTGCAACGGAGATGTTATTTGGATTATCTTAGCAGACGCAAATGTTGGATCACCGCGGTGGCGACTTGTGGTTGACCCGCTGTGTGATTCAAGGAAACTCGCAACTCGCGTGCGTTTGCGTATTTGAAACAATCTTTCAAATACCACGTTGAACAAATCGCAAATATTGCGTGTGTAGAAACTTTGAGAGGGATGTTGCGTAAGACTATTTTTATTTTTCAAAACATTATATGGAGGAAGGATTTCCCGGAAACTGCGAAAGGGTTAACGTTCTGAGAAGAAAGTTTTCTCACAATAAGGGTGGAGTTTTGAACGTTACAAGTTTTCTTAAGAAATGTATAAAGACATGTTGTCGAAATGTAAAAACCAAGATGCGTGTGACGTAATAAAAGGTTTTTTTGTATTTTGTATACAAAAAATAACATTTATCTATTTTATTCTATTGTATACGTCGATATGAGAAATATCTATCGGGAAATTTTAGTTAACACCCATTATATGTAGTTACAACTATATACTTACATCCTAAATATTTCATTTATACCACTTTTATACTACTTTTATAACTGCTATTATTGTATTTATTATATTTTACTATCAGCTTCGATAATAAATCTTGCAATATATTAAAATATTTATTATATTGATATATTTATCATCGAAAGGCATTTGTCGTCATTGTCAATTTTATCTATCATTTATTCGGTAAATTGTCGAAGCATATTAAGATAAATTACAGCCGTCTTAATTACCTGAAACAATTTTTTTAATTCTTAAAACATTCCGGTCACTAACCTTTATTAATGCGTATTTTTAGTGCTCACGTCACCGAACGTTCGGAAGGACAATTCGATGAAATTTCCAGCGGTAATTCGTGGTGGAGTGTTCGAAACGGCTGTCACTAGTATCATATTTCGCACCAGGTTTGTCGGAAGACGATACCAGTCGAGAGTGCGAATAGTTAAGCTCACCTCATCTGCCTGTCGTAGACAATCGTGAATATAGCATGTATAAGAGATACCACTTATGCATTTATTGTAAAATGATGTTATCTATTTTAAACCATATATAACTAATCGTAAGTCGTGCAGGAAATTATAAATCAAACAACATCTTATAAGATATTTAAAAATTACCTGCGTCGTTATATACTCTCCTATATAGCATAAAATAAAAATATTAAGATTAACAGATACGATAGATACTAAGAACGAACTGAGAGCCGGTAAGTTTCTATCTTCCCATTCCTAGAGAGAATAAAATTAGTTGGTGCTCGTGACACGCATTGCCCCCAAACGCACGCATTTGCTCGTTTATTTTCCGTACCGCTATTATAGCGTATCCTACAAGACATATGATCGTGCAGCACCCCACTATTTCGACTAAACTACTGTAGCGTAAAGTATTCTCCACCAGTTGCAAGAAACTGAAATGTATATATCAATCATTTCGTTCAGTAGTTGAAAATGAAAACAAATTGATATCTATTTATTATTTATTTATCGTTTAGTAATAAGAAAAGTCATAATTACGAAGCTATAGATACTTGTACAATGATTGTATATTTTCGAATGCCACTTAATATATAATATACCGACGAAAAAAAAAGAATTGCACGATAAAACACAGTACTTACTTTTGTATTCTTATTTGGTGTTCGATTACAGCTGCTAGTTTTACACCGACGTTTCTCTGCCCATAGTCGCTCTCGTCGACAAGGCCCTGCGTCAGTCGCATCAGGATTTCCATCTGCGCGCATGCATGAATCGCGAAGACGGCGGCGAGACCGCAAATTGTAACAGTGATCGTGCACATGAGGATACCGCAAAGAAATTGCTGGAGAAACACGAGTTCGTAGGCAGGATTGTTTTGCGGATCGAAGAAAACGTAATAACCTGGACAGGAAAAGGGTCTAATTGTGGTGTTCTCATCGATAACGATACTTCCTCTCGACAGCGGCACTACTGTGTTATAAGACACTCCACTGCAATACATGAATGTGCAGCACAAGATGAATAATCGTCTGCCAATACTGGCTTTCCTCAGCATTACTTCTCGCGCATCACCGACAGCTACCGTTCCCCAATCTTCCTTGATGTGCCGCAGACAGCTTCTGATGTCGTACTCGTAGATGAGCAAATTACTGTATTTAGCAGTTGCCATGAACGCGTACAGAACTACTGGTATCGTTTTTAGTTTCTCGCGCCATTCACCGTCAAGGAACACGTAATAAAGAATACCCGGTACTAGCTCGCAATAGAGAAGCAAGTAGCAGATGATCACAAGGAAGATATTTGCGTACTTCTCGATCGTATTTGGCTCTCTGTCGGTCAACGGCCAGATACCTAGCAGGCGAAGTACAATGTGACTTGGTCCGATTACATATTTCACGTCTGTTTCGTGATATTCATTGAGGATCATACTGGCGATGTGACTGTATGATCTTTCTACGATTTCGAGTCAGAATGAAGTCTCCCCTGGTAATTTCGCCGTTAAGACAACAATAATTCTACGACGGAAAAAGTAAAGAATAAAAACTCGGGGATAACCGAAAATTTCAATTGAGTGTTAGAGTTTAGACCCGAGACACATATGTTTGGATTTACGTTTGCGTGCGGTGCGATTTTGCTGATGGCAGCTTGACTTGTGCAGGAAGGATGCCAACTCTCGAGCGAATTGCGCCTGCGTGCTTAAAAAATTAAAAAGCCACAAGAGATACAACTGCAATCGAATCGAGGAGAAGTTGCACGATTGATTTTGCACGCGACGTGATTTCTCACGCACAGTGTAGTATCCACGCGGTGGAAACTTTGACTTCAGAACTCGAACTACGATAGCGCTTCTTTTTCGAAAGAGTAAAAAATTGCCTTCGTCGAGCAACTAAGGGTAATATACTTTTATCCTATCTTCGTTGTCATCGTTTCTATTATATAAACAATACTCCGACTTGTAACACGATGCTATTCCGCAGTTTCCTTATGTCTTGCAGATCTTATTTTTACAGTAACAATATTTGTCATACTCTGAGGAAAAATAATTTATTCCATCATAAGTGCTGTACTAACACGTGCGTTACTTGTCAAACTATTCATATAATTCTCCGCTTTATAAATATCTTAAGCATGGTAGCCCTTTCCGGAATGTCATCTCATCGCGCCGTGTCTTACGTTCTCATAACGTCTCGCGCGGAAAACTCACGGAGCAAATTGAAATACGCCATTGACGTTTTTAAAATCTACGGTACAATATTCTGTTTTTAATAGAGGTTCAATACAGAGATTAGAGATTTCAAGTATTTTCCAGATACATATATTTTATTCCAATTCATTGGAATCTCTGCTGGCACACAATATTTTACCCTGATTAATTCCAATCTCTATATAATGAATGCAATATGTATAAAACACACGTAATTATTACAAGCACGTTAATCAGTCTTAATTACTCTTCGCGTTTAGAACATGAAGCGATATTACTCACGTCGGAGAACGTGGTAAGTGTCATCGGCATCATCTTTCCGGCGGTGAGCGTCACAGGGTATCGAGACATCGCGATCGGCATAAGCAGTTCAATCGCCTTTTTGGGCGGCATTCGATACCAGTCGATCGCGTAGCATGCGATGTCCACCTGCTGGCAGCACTCCTTCAGCAAATCCCCGATGTAGCAGTATATGAATACGTTGAAAACGATCGACGCGAGCCCGAAAAAGTACATAGAAATCTGTATGAACGACCCGTTATCATTCATGTCCTGAAATTCGGGAGAAGATTATCGATCGCTGCTATCGCGAGGTATCAATGTTCGTTTAAGATTGCTTGAAATCTTTATAACGTACGGTTATGATGTAATAGCCAACTAGACATATGTTACATGAAGCGTTCACGAATTCCACGAGGCATATCTCGGTAAATAACCTGCTTACGTCAGAAGCCAATCTGGAAATTCGTGTCGAATAAAATTTTTAAGAGTCGCTGCAATCTATCCTAAGATTGCGCGATTGCTCAAGCGCAATTGTGGCAATAAAGATGTTATTCGGATTACCTTAGCAGACGCAAATGTTTGGTTATCGCGGTGGTGAGTCGCTCCTCGGTTGAACCGCTGTTGCGCTCACCGCCGTCCACGGTTTCCTCAAAAATTGCTGTTAAAATGTCGCACTGGCCGCAGACATGCGTGACGAAATTGGCCATCAAGCTGCAAATGCCGCAGAATGCACTGTACGCCGCGTAACCGGTCACAAGTTGTATGGAGTACACGATCTCGTATGCAGGACTAGCCTATGCGTTAAGGTGATTTATATTTGCAACGTGCAAACACACAATCAGAGTGTAAACGCATCGTTATAAAAGAAGAACGGTGCCAAAAATTGTAAACTTGTGAAAAAATTTATAAATGGAAACACATCGATTGTAGAAATAATCGGTCGTCAACGCTGACTCGATCTGCAAATTGGAGTTGGACGTTGTACCTTGGAATCAAACATGAGAAACTCGCAGGGCGATGGATGCAGTCTGACGGTAACGTTATTCTCATTGACCAAGTTCAGCGTGACTATAGGTAGGGCGTAGTAAAGCGTGCCACAGCCGTACATGAAAACCACGGAAATAATGCCAAAAGTGCGGCCAACTCGGGCGTTCGCCAACATAATGTCGCGATCCTCGGCGATTATCACACACCGCCAATCGTCGGCCACGTGATCGACGCAGGATCTAATTCGCTCCTGATGCCAGAGCAGCAGACCGTATCTCACGGAGATCGTTATCGTGAAGAGCAGCGGGCATAACGTGCGGATTATTAGGACGACGCCCAATTTCTCCTTCCATATTTGAATGATCCATGGCACGACAGTGAAAAAAAACATGAGGAACGTGCCCATTGCCATCGACACTGTGTGTAGGATGATCTTGAGCTTCGATGTTTCATTGTTAGCCAAAGGCCAAGCACCGATCGGTTTCAATAGGTAAACGCTTATCTGGACGGCGTAACGAAAGTCCGAGACGTACGACTCGTTCTGCTTTGTTACACCGACAGCAAGCGCGTTCTCCTGTTTCCGATCATTCATTTTCAACGATGTATCACTGCCGCCGGCCTTATCTTCACTGTCTCTGTCGTGAAATCAGGATTACGCGATTTTCTACCACGAGGCATGCGCGGCCCGTTCGATGACCTCTCTCCTCTGCGGCCTTCGCCGCGACTTTCATGACTCGTAATTTGCATTTTCTAATGTGTTAAGTTTTACGGAGGGAAAACAGCAGCTGCGCTGGAAACAAATCGGAAAGGGGTGCGTGAGGACGATGTGGTCCCCGCTCGGACGATGATGTGGTGAAAACTTTTCTTCGAGGATAATCGCAAAGTTACTGACGATACGCATAATTCTGATATTTTCCTCGAAAAATTCTGCGACGTGACGTGAAAGTTTTTACTGAACTTTGTGCCGTGCTTAACTCTCGTATACCTCGATCTTATATGTCATGGTTTTCGTTGATCATAACGGGAAAAATCCCTCAAATAAATTTTGTAGAGCCTGAAGGGGTAAAGAAAAGCGCTTGAAAAGCGAGTTGATAACAGAGCGAGGGGATACTTATATGCGAGAAACTTCAAAATGGAAGGGATGCTGTTCAAAAGTAAAATGCCAACTCTATTGTAAAATCATAGTTCGCATTTTCATTGCATTGTTCTCTACGAAAAGAAACAACCGTTGTCGCGGATCTGCGTCGTGATATCAACTTATAATAATAGATAGTATTGTTTTCTGCGAAAAGAGAAAACCGTTGTCGAGGATTTGCGTTGTGATATCAACTATAAATAATAGATAGCATTAAACGCTTTACTACGAGTGGTAATTATTATGGTTATTAATAAATATATTATTAATATAATTGTAAAGGTCTGTTTTTAAATAATGCACGCAAATAAGGAGCGTTAATGCTGCTTTAATGTTTGTCCTAAAAACAGTCTTAATGTCATTTTAATTAATTATTAATGAATTAGTAATGTAATTGATTCATCATTCGATCCGTAAATGTCGCCTTAATGAGCATCGCTAAATAATAGATACGAGCACATGAGAAATGATGAATATAATATTTTGTATTTGTGATTTAATGTAGGTAAGAAGTTAATATATTTTGAGCAAGAGAAAAAATTAATATTTCAGTGGATGGCATTTGGAATAACCACATTTTTATGTTGTAAGCATTCGAATAAAATTCAAATACGCCATTGATGTTTTGCACACCTGTGAACATTCGCGAACATTAATCAAACAATATGTTTAATTTCCAGATTAACAGAAGAAATTACACTTACTTCACAGAAACTTTGAAGAGAGATATCAAACATTTTAGCACCTGTCAAAGTTGATGGACGATTCGTTCTGACCATCACCATAATTAGGCTATTGACGTTTTTCGTTGGTACCGTGTACCAGTCGATGGAATACGACGCCTCTCCAATCTTCACACTCTTTAAGAAGAAAAGTTAGATATATATCTCAAGCTCAATACTTAATAATTAGTAATGATTTAATTTTCATTAATTAGTTGAACTAATTAATCAATTCGAGTTAAACTGGTTTAACTGAAATTAATTATTTGTTTTAAAGTGATGGTCATTATATTTACCTCCTCCTTAAGACGATCGCCGATAGTTGATAAGGTAAAAACGTTTACGAAGATTGAAGTGGCTAATATAAAATATATAATTACGCCAAATAGTTGGTTGTCTTCCCATTCCTTAAAGAAATTTGTGTGAAAAAATCTGATTCGATTTTAAGAATAAATCATTAATTGTACGATATATCAAAATACCTTGAGAACGCCATATTCAAGGAAACATATGATAACAGTACATCCAACCATCTCTGATAGAAAGACGAAATTGAATGAATTTTCGATCATCTCAACATACCTGTAATAGACATCGTCGTGGAATCAGAACAAATGTAATTATTATAAATCGAAGTAATCGCAAATAACGGCAATATGACAAAAAAAAACGCCATTCAATATTTAAAGTAAAATAAAACAGTAAAAATAAAATCCCGACTTGGTCTATCTTTTCTATACGAAATATATGTATTGGTGTTATTGACGACACGTTGAAAAATTCACAATTTTCTCTCCGACCTGAGAGCTCGCATGTGGTGCGTGACTATCCAGCCGAATCGTTCATGAAAGTGATCAGTACCACCAATCAGTAATGTTTCCATGTGTCTGCGGGCAATCTCGAACAAGCAGCAGGCATGCATCACGCAGCTGGAGATTAAACTGTAAACGCCGCAGTTTGTCGACAGGATCATGGTGCTGAATATAATCTGAACGACGAAGAGGATCTCGTAGAACGGTGAGTCTTCCACCACGAAGAATACATAGTCGCTGAGATAGGGCAGAGGCAAGTGCGTCGTGTTGTCTTCTTTGACGATCTTATCCGCTACCAGTGGCATAATTATGTGATAAGGCAACGCGCCACCGTACAACAAGCCCAAGTATATAATCGTGAATTGCCTGCCGAGCCTGGCGTTCTTCAGCATCACCAGTCGATCCTCCTCGCTCTCCACATCTCTGTATTGAATCTCCATCTCTTGTAGACAGCTCTTGATGTCGTTTTTGTTGATGATCATTGTCCAAAATTTTATGATACCCAACAGGCTGAACACCTGAGCGGCTATAACTTTCATGTATCTGGTCAGGTCCTCCGCGTCGAAGAAGGTATATATGACGTGCGGAACGAGTAGAAAGCACATTAAGCAAAATGTTACGCTTGTCTGGGAAAAGTATTTGATTTTATCCATCGTAGAGTCGCCCCCGTAAAGAGGCCAGACGCCGATGGGAGTCAATAGAATTTTGGCGACTCTTTCTACGTACTCCGTGTCCAATCTATAGTTGAAGTTTCGGAATACCGCGCGGTCGTCGGCCGGCGACATGCCCGCGATCATTGTTCCACAATTATTCGCTTCGCACGTTTGATTTCTGACTGACTGCGACAAAGTGATCGCCGTGGGATCGTTGATCGGGTGGTACGCAAGTTAACGTGAGCGCTTGCGTGCGAGGAGTTTGCTTCTTCGTGGCGACTTTCAGCAAGGGCTATTCTTCTGGGAATCAGCGCAACTTCCAGTGGAAAAAAAATATGTATGATTTCATTGACTACGCAGGCGCTGTCGGGAGTTGCGGAGACGAAGGCTTGCCTGAACTATCGAGGGCAAAAGCGTACGGTGTGTAGTAGAGTGAATATATTTCTGTGCTTCAGCAAGTACACGAAGGAAATCTAATTCGAAGTGTTGGCTGGGTGTGTTTACTGCAATAAGATCAGTTGTGAATTGCCAATAGCATTCTCTAACATTTTGACAATATAAATCGAGTTTTCTAGTTATAAAAAGATTCGGTAATACTAATTTATTAAATTTATAAAATGTAATAAATTCTCAGAACTATTCGACTCAAATAGTATTAAAAGTATCTTCATGATAATAAATAACGTTGCTTTTCTATGCAGTCCTGAATTCTGATAAAAATAAGTACGATATACAAATCTTAATAACTGATGTCACGAGATGCAAGACGATATTAATATCTGCAGTTACATCAATGTAAGCTTTATGGCGAATTCAACTGGCATTCTCTGCTTCAACATTTTTAACAGCGTCAGGTCATATCTCGGTAAGTTATTTTATTGAAACTTTTCTTGCGCAGGCAAATTGCGCCTGATAATTTGGGATGATTGTAGAACGTAGTATTACTTACGATTTATGTTTTATAAAACTTGAGGAAAGGAAGAAGTTTCGGGAAGGGAAAAATAATGATGCCGCAATAAGAGTTCTAGACAAAGAACGAATGTACATTACGCAATTGCGAAGTTAGACGCTAGATGTTATAACTCGTAGAGTAATTCAAATAATTTTTTTTCGGAGAAAAGACAGAATCATGGATGAGACATTGCACATAGAAATTGCCTGACGTGTACTGTTCAAATGATTATTAGTAATATGATTTATTGTTCGACAGAGAGGTGTTTCGCTGACATTAAATAAGAAGAATGCGCGAGATATATCTCACACAGTGACGGTAACAGCGTGGCATTTCTTATATATAAGCATTCGATAGTTTATGCGGTAATACTTAAAAACTTATGCAGTCATTGCTCGTATGAAATTAAAGTACGCCGCTGACGTTTTGCAAACCTGTAACGTGCATATTACATTTTATTAGCGGATATTTGTATTGAGTTTTAGATGAACGTTATATAGCAGGCAGTTACCTCGCAGAATCCTTGAAGGGAGAGATCGAATATTTTTGCGGCCGTCAAAGTTGATGGGCGGTTTGATCTGAGCATCACTAGAATTAAATTTCTCACAATTTTTGTCGGTAAATTGTACCAGTCGATAGAATACGACGATTCTCCTATCTTCTCGCTCTTCGTGAAAGGAACAAATAAATCGATCGATCGATTAATTCACTATATTACTTCCGTTATATTATCATTATTGCTTTCAGTATTTAAGTTCGATCGATTTTCACTTGTTTGTAATTGCGATGGATGTGTGTTGCAAGATATGTTATAAATTATAAATTGTCTAATATCAATTATTATAAATTGTGAAATGTACCTCTTCTTTAAGGCGATCGCCGATAGCTGATATAATATAAACGTTTACAAATATTGACGTCATTAGAACAAAATATGTACCCATAGGTAAAATCTTTCCGTCTTCCCATTCCTGAAATAAATTTGCATAAATGTAAGTTCGCAGAATTTCATCTCCATTTTCTTCTGATATTTCTGATTAGAGATACCTTGAGGACTCCGAATTCTAGAAAGCATATAATAATAGTACATCCAACCATCTCGCATAAAAAGACGATATTTAATGATTTCTCAATCATCTCTGAAAATCTGCAACGTATGCAGTGAACGCAAATAAAACTGATGTAAATTACATAAATGCCTTTTTTTATCCTTTAAAGATACGATGGGGAGATTGATGGCAAGACTAATATGAGGCACAAATTAAGACTTTCTCACTTGATTGCTTGCATGTGATGTTCGATTATTTTTCCAAGTCGCTCACGGACATTGTCGGTCCCGGCGTCGAGGACCGTTTCCATCTGCCTGCGTACGACCTCGAACAAACAGCAACTGTGCATCACGCAGGTGGCAATTAAGCTGTAAACGCCGCAGTTCGTGGAGAGGATGATGCTGCTGATCAGGATCTGCGAGACGAAGATAATCTCATAGAGCGGCGAGTCCTCCACCACGAAGAAAATGTAGTCGCTGAGGTACGGCAGGGGTATCTGCGTTGTATTATCCTCCTTGACGATTCTGTCAGCCAACAGCGGCATAATTATGTGATAAGGCAGCGCGCCGCCGTACGATAGCCCCAAGTACGTCACCGTGAAGAGTCTGCCGATCTTGGCGCACTTCGTCATCACCAACCGGTCCTCCTCGCACTCCACGTCCCTGTATTGGATTTCCATTTGCTGCAGGCAGTATCTAATCCCTTCCCTGTTGATGATCATCGTCCAGAATTTAATAATGGCGAGCAGGCTGAACACCTGGGCGGCTATGACCTTCATGTATCTGGTCAGGTCCTCCGCGTCGAAGAAGGTGTATATGACGTGCGGGACGAGCAGAAAGCACATCAGGCCGAATATCGCGCCTGTCTGGGCGTAATTCTTGATCTTGTCGGACGTGGAGTTGCCTCGGTATAGCGGCCAGATACCGACGGGTGTTAATAGGGTCTTGGCTACCTTCATCACGTACTCAGTATCGGCCTTATAATTATCATTTCGAAATAGCGTAAAGTCTCCCGTCGACATCGCTCTCGAAATTTTTGGTTTGCAATTTTTTCCTATGGACGTTGCGCTAAAATTTCCAACGACTGACGAGCGTGCTCTCCTGCGACGAGAGCCCCCCAGCACTTGCGTGCGTAATTCGTACCTCTTTGCGATGATTTTTTGCGGACAATCTGCGAGAATCGTTCAAAGTTTTAATGGCGAGGAAAACGCATGCAATTTCAGCGGCAACGCATGCGCTGTGCGGGCGGTAGCTTCGGCCTCTTCGAGTGGGAGCTTTATTCTTTCACGTCGTCCGAAGGAGCGGAGTTCTCGTCGGTGGATAGCCATCCAGAGCGTGAGTAGATTCGTGCGAATCAAACGGGCTTTGGCATATCGGTGGTTATTTGATAACAAATATATTATTGGATTTCAAATATCCGTTGTATCTCTTAAGTTTGAGGAAATGACGTAACATCGTGGACATTTTCTCAGTATATGCATTCGAACAGTGATTCGAGGAGCACTCCACGTATCTATCGATAAGATGCCACACTTTTTTTTATACCCTATACGAAGAGCGGCGAGGCGATTTGCGCAGATCGTTAAAGTAATAGTCGTGGTAGACTCGACGGTCGCGTCAGTGATCCCACCATGCCGAACGATCGGGGTAATGAGTGTTTAACATCGAGATTTATATGAACATCGAAATCCGCTTGTGCGACTTTTCCAGGCAGAATATGGAGGCTGCAGGAGAACACGATGACGATGCTCATGGCGGAGATCGTTGGCACGAGTATCCTCTTGTTCGTCGGTTGCATGGGATGTGTCGGTGCCATGGGGCCCGCGCCACCTCCGCTGCTGCAAACTGCACTCACCTTCGGTCTGACGGTGAATCTCGTAATTATGGTACGTGTTGTCGCATCATTCGTTATATCCTCAAAACGATATAAACCAATTGTTTCGTAAGTGCACTTTTTGCGCTGAACACATTTAATATTCACCAAACATGCATTCATCTGCGATATAAGTTCCACGTGAGCTTACAATATCGACGAAGTTAAATTCTGTTGGTTGGAATTTATGAGAAATATAGAGGAAAGTTCTGTATCATGAGATGGGATTCTACTACGAGATAGTAGGTTTTCAACGTCCACATTCAATCGCAAATCTTTTTTCGTAACAATTACGCGATCTAACAATGAATTTTCCACTAAACAGATTTCACTGCAAGGGCAATAAATTCATGGTGGAACCAACAGGTGATGTCTATTAATATAGCAGAAACTTAGCTATCTCATATCAGGAGCCTATCTCATAATAGAGGACTTTCCTCCATATATATTATACTTTTTTACAAGGTTTATCGTGTTTCGCGTACGAAATTTCACTCGCCGATATTTCTTAGATAATAGGACACGTAAGTGGCGCTCATCTTAATCCGGCTATCACCATCGGTGCAGTCATCATGGGCATGAAATCAATTTCAACCGGCGTGCTTTACATCTTGGCGCAACTTCTCGGCGCCACCGTGGGATATGGAACTCTAAAAGTGCTGCTTTTATTACGTTATTATTACAGTACACCGAATATGTTTCAACGAGAAACGATAATCTGTTATATTCCTGCAGTTGATAACGCCGGCGGAATTGTTCAACGACGGGAACCCGAACTCGACCGTCAGCGTTTGCATGACAGTTGTACACCCGGGGCTCAGCGCCGTGCAAGCATTATTAATTGAAGCGTTTTGCACGAGTTGCTTACTTTGTGCGGCTTGTGCCACGTGGGATCCACGATGCGCTCACACTACGGATTCGGTCGCTCTCAAATTCGGCCTCTCGGTCGCTACCCTTTCCTTCGCAGCGGTAACATTTAACAATACGAGTTTCTACATTATTAACAATATTATTATCATCGATGCATCAATTATTCTGCTTCTCTATATTTTTTACTATAAAAGGTGTATCCTGTGTATAATCTAATGAACTTCAATAAAATTTAGCATCACATAGATGTCAATTCATATAAAAGAAACGTGACAAAGTACATAAAAGTAACGAATAATCTTTTCACAGTGAAAAAAATTAGTAATTTATTATTTTCTATCTCTTCAGGGCCCTTATACAGGGTGCAGTATGAATCCCGCTCGAACATTTGGGCCTGCATTTTGGAATAGTGCTTGGCAGGATCATTGGGTAAGTTGGAAATAAAAATTGTATTTGATATATTTGTAATGTTATAATGTAGATAAAAGCAAGAAAATTTATATCCACGATTCTTAAGACTCTGATTTTGCAGATTGACAATATTGCACTTTATTATTTTAGTTGACTCAGATTATACGGGATATATAAAAGTACGATTAAATTAATCTGTTCTTAATCAATTATAAGAACTTTCATAAAACTACATACCTGATATGCGATAACACACGAATAAGCCACTCGATTGTGGCACACATAACAAAATTATCTTTAATGACATATCAGCTTATTTAAACGTCACGTATCGAGTATTTTTCTTAATTCAGTGACAATATCGAGATTAAATCAATGTAATATACCGTCGTCTTTAAAAGTGAAACTTTAGTATTTACGAACAAGAGTTAATACAAAAATAAAATAATTTTTTGCGTTTAAATCAATGTCTTTTCAAACGTCTGGCAAATTGTTTAATTTTTTTTTTTTAATTAGATTTATTGGGTTGGTCCTATTTTGGGAGCTTTACTTGGAACATATGCCTATCAAGTGCTGTTTACAGAAAACCGTCAAAGCAAGAAAGAATCTATTTGTGTAAGAGATAAACAGTCGGTCAACGTGTTACCACACTCGAATAATGCAATCATGTAATATAAATAGTAGGCTTTATAATTTGTTGTGCAATCCGTAAATGACGATGTAGTATAATATTCAAATTGTTAATACTTTTTACATGATAAACAATTATATAATTATATTTATTACGAGCCACGTTCACGTTCCTTAGTTTATCATCTATTGGTCATGTTTCCTTCAGAGTCATTTCCAGTTGTACAATACTAGATGGCAGGTGTAAGTCGACGATAATCTAAATATAATAATTCTTTTTCTCATTTATTTAACTTTAACATTGGATCCACTTAAAAGTTAAAATCGAACGTTTATGCTTTATTCTAATATAATGTAATTAGTCCCGGCTTTGTCTAATATTTCTGATGTTTGTAAAAGTGTAATTTATTTATTCGTATTATCCAATAAACAGAGATTACTATGATATAAATCTTTGCAGCAAAGAAGTCTATTGATTATATATTATAAATTATTTACTATAGTATATAATTGCTTAATATCGATTGCAGTACATTGAGTACGTACGAATCAGCTGTAGACAAAGAAGATCTGCGCCGCGTTAGCTGCGCAGTGTTTCTATTATATTTGTCAGCGAGAAAAGGAATGATATAGTTATCAATTTTTTTCAGTCTATTTTTCTAGTTTCTTCAAAATTACCTTCGTTATGTTTGAAGGTACAATTCTTTTTGCCTCAAAAATAGAACATTATCCGAGTGGGTAAAATCTAATGTAGTCGCAGTGCACCTTGTGGATACTTTTAAAATATTAAAGACTCTCGTGCTGAGTCCTGCATTATTTTTAACTCCTTCACTATTAGAATTTTATTTCTTCTCTCGACGCGAAGGTCTAAACGTTGAAGCTTAAAGCTTAAACATGTATTGCACATATACACTTATACGCTCTGACGTTTGACTACTGTGAAATAGATAAGAATGCAGCAATTGCATTTATATATTTTTGCTATCATTTAATTATATATTGCTATATAAATTCGCAGAAGATAATACCACGAACTAATGATATTGAAGGATTTGAATTTCCTTCGAAAATGTGTGTTATTTGTTATTACGTTGTTCCTGTTCGTACAAATGTATTCAGTATCGCAATACAAGCCAGCACATGAGTACACTTTTATCAACTGAAATAAAATATAAATTAAAATATAGTCTAGCGTGTGTTAATTTAATGCTATTTCAACGAAAGTAACGTATTTTTAAAACGTATTTTCGCGAATGATCCGCGACGATGATTCCCATGACAGTTCGCAACGGCAGGATTGCGTAATCTCGCTGTAATTTATTCGGTGGATACGTTGAATTTGCAATGGCCGGGCAAAAACATCGTAACCGGCGAAGGTTCATCAACCTTCACCTAGCGACACACTCTCGCCGGCTGGGACTTGGTCACGGATGCGATCGATAGCGGGGCGTTTCGTCGACGTTTCTCGAAACGCGCGTCCCAGGCTACACGCACACCTGCGTACGTCCCGGGGTTCGAAAACGCCCATGTCGCTCCAGTGGAAAAAGTATATCTAGCAGCATTGTGCTACAAGTGTCACGGGGCAGATCGTTGCGAACCGGCTCGCCGCTGGACCGGTTGGCCGGCCGCCGCGCGACCGGAATCCGGGATTTTGAGACCCGAGTCCGCCGGTGTATCCCGGCTGCAACATCATCCTCGACGTGACTGCCGAGTTCAAGGTCGCGCGGTACCGGCGAGGCAACTAAAATTAGTCCAGCGGCCAGGCAGGTTACCCGTGCGCTCGGGGAAGCACGACGCCGCGGACGACGGGAGTTCGTTATTTATGTAGCGAGCTGATGAGGGTAAACCGCGGTGCCGCGATGGCGAGAGGAAAGCTTTACAGCGGGGTCTCTCTCTCTCTCCCCGGGGGAGAGAATATTGCGACGTAGCGCCCTTTCTTTTCTCTCGGCGGATCGAACTTCTGCGCGGCGCTCGATTAGGGTGGGGCGATTTTCGCCCCTGTTGCGTAATAGTCGTTCAATCCTTGCTATCCTACGACGGAGTATGAACAAGTCGTTGGGTTTAATATAGATGACGGTGCGAAGGAGACTGTCTAACTTTACACAAGCTGTTCTTTATTCCGCCACGTAAGCTGTGTAGTCTGTTGGAAAAAAAAAATACTTGAGTTAATCTACGATTATAGCGCGAGGCTGCTTTAATTTACACGTGGACATTAATAGAGTCGCAACAATTATAATGCACTTTTTTTTTATAACTTGCGACGAAGCTGCATTAATCTTTATTAGGTAATTTCCATTTTTATCGCCGGTGACACAATCGCGAGGAGGAAAATAATGCATGTAACGTATAATCGATGCGTTTATTTTGCCGGATTCGACACGGCAAACATTTGCGCACTTTCTATACGTTATATCTATAACTCGCTTCGTGCATCTATCGATTAGCTGCTGCAGCTGAACCTCGAATGTTCTGGAACACGATGGAAGCGCCTAAGCTGCGATATTCGCGCTTATAACGATCTCGCTCGTTACTCCCCTAGGTATCCGATAAGGGAAACAATTGCGTACTAATTGCTGAAATGCAAGTTACTGGCATATTTAAAAAAACAAGTGTTTTAATATATTATATGCACTTAAGAGGGAACTTATTATACGACAAATTTGCAGAGCCACGTCACCACTTACGGACCACAACCGGAATATGAAACCGCATAAAAACTACACGCCGTATCGCCCGTTCTAAATTTAGCCACGAGCGAGGCGTTAAATAACAAATTGAAACTGGAATATTCGAATGACGACATGCTCGAGCTGTAAGTGCATTTCTTTTCGATCACTCGTCGATCGGCAAGTGCTCTCGATTTCCTAACCGTAGGTCGATTTGTTCCAGTGACCCGTCGGAGGATCAGAAGAAAAGACACGCCGGCGGGAAGATGCGCTAATTGAGAGTCCGCTCGTTAGCGATGCTCGCTTAACTGTACACCATCTTCGTTCTCCAAACAACTAGACGAGATCGGTAAGAAAGAGAGACGTCGTTGGGAAAGTTCCCACAGATCATCGCGCCGTGTTCCCGTTTAATGCAACATAGTTGGCAACCGTCTACCTTCGCATTTCATTACGCCGCTCTGAATGACACCTGAATATAACGAGGCATCCGCGCACGGCGCACATTGTGCGCACCTCTATCAAGTATACAAGTAGTTCCGCTCGCCCCTCCGTCGGGGCCTAATCCGCCAGCCGTTGTTAACGGCCGACAAAAAGACGATCTCGCGGGGAGAGAGATAAGTATCTGGCGCACGACCCTCATATATCACCGTGAATAAAATTGCATTAATTGCGTCTACTTAAAAAGGAGCGGCCTTTGTAGATACGTACGGGCCGGGCTAACGAGCGATATGAAAAGGAAATCGATAGAGCGGTACATGATACACCGAAAGAGGAACGAACGTAATATTATGCAACCCGGTTGTAACGCTATTATACCGCCATTGCCCGGCGCGGCGCGGCGCGACGCGACGCGACGCGCCGCGCCGGTCGCGCGAAGCCGTTGCGATCTCTAATGCGAGCGGCGAATTCTCTCATTTATCTTCTTCTCTTCTTTTTCTCCCTTCTTCGCGATTATGTGCCTCTAGATCGTCTCCGCGCGACCCACATCCAAAACACGACTCGGCGAGGCGCGTTAAGACCGAATCAGACTAGCAATTGTTGACTCGGATTGGATTGGCGATTAACGATTGTCCTTTAGCCAGTGAGAGCGAAGCAGCCAGCAATTTAATCAGCTCTCATTGGCTAGAAGACAATCGTTAATCGCCAATCCAATCCGAGTTGGCAATTGCTAGTCTGATCCGGCCTTAAAATCGAATCAGACTAGCAATTGTTGACTCGGCTTGAATTGGAATTGACGATTGTCCTTTAGCCAGTGAGAGCGAAGCAGCCAGCGATTTAATCGGCTATCATTGGCTGGAAGACAATCGTTAATCGCCAATCCAATCCGAGTTGGCAATTGCTAGTCTGATTCGGCCTTAAAATCGAATCAGACTAGCAATTGTTGACTCGGCTTGAATTGGAATTGGCGATTGTCCTTTAGCCAGTGAGAGCGAAGCAGCCAGCGATTTAATCGGCTATCATTGGCTGGAAGACAATCGTTAATCGCCAATCCAATCCGAGTTGGCAATTGCTAGTCCGATTCGGCCTTTACGTTACGTAATGTTTGCGTCTCCGATTGTCCGCCGGCGACAATCTCGCCGTTCGCGTCGGAATCGCACGTTCTCGCGTTATCGCCCCGGCGTCGCGGCGCGTGAGTCAATCCCGGGCTCTCGCGTGTTTGCAAACACGCGTCGCGCCGCCGGCCGGGTCTCCCGGCCGCGCCTCCGAAACTCGTAAAAATAGCTGTCGCTCGCCTCTCTCGAGAGCTGATAAAAAAAAATCTACGCCGGAGCGAGACCGCAAGGTCACTCCGAGTTGCCTGCGCAGTACGGAAATCCCACCACGAGCGCTTTCCGACCGGAGAAACTGCGTTTCAGCCATTTCGGCGTGGCGCACGCACGCAATTTCGCAACGTTGGGTCACGGCGCCGTCCCCCCCCCCCTCTCTCCCTCCCTCTCCTTCTCGCTCGCAAAATATTTTCGAAAACAGTCTGCTTAATCTGCTCATTAATGACAACAGGTCTCCGTCACCGGCGATAGCAGAAATTGCGGGCATGTTACAAACAGACGTGCGAATCGCGTCTACTCCGGGTCCGCGTAAATCAATCATCCTGCGAACGCGATTCCTTCCGGAGTAAAATAACTCGGGCGGACACGAGCCCAAGGTTGTCCCATAAATCGCATCCTACGAAGTAGGTCCTCCGCGGCGTAACTTCGTTACGCAATAGACTCCGTCGCTCTTCTTTTTTTTTCTATCCTGCGTTCTCCCGCAGGTTCGCCTTTCGAGATACGAGACAAATACGACGACGCGCACGCATACTGCCGCACGAAGCGGTGACTTGACGAGGCTACGGCCACGTTGTATGTACAAACGGTATTATATCACACACATATACATCGGTTGACCGTGCTAATGGCAGCGGGGGCGAGAGGGGAAACGGCGGCATTCTCTCTCCTGTGTAGGTTGGGAGGTATGGTGGCCCCCCTCGCCCCCTTGCCCCCCCAGTCCCGGCTGAGCTGAGCGAACGTGCCAGAAATCCCGTCGTCCCTGCCGGGTACCCGATCAATACTCGGTATTTGCTGATTTCTCAGCCATGGCGTGGAAAAAATACGTCGACCGACGTGCCGATCGACGGGACTCGTCGCGACGATGCCGATTATCGCGGTCCCAGGTGGGCCCGGGTAGCCGGCGGGGCCCAAAACCGTCGATCGCGCGAAATTGCGCATTATGTGACGAGGCGGAGTGAGGACGCGGTCGGGGATCTCGAAGCTTCCTCCGCGTTGCGGCGACGCGGCACGCACCTATATAAAGCGGCCGGCCGGCCAGCCGCGGCGCATTCGTAAACAAACCCTGGTTCAGTTCGGACGCTGCGAACACCCGAAGACCCCCTTCACCCTCCACCATCAGTGTAACACACTTCGGCTTCTTACTTCGTCGAGACCGCCGGCACGGGAAAATGTAGGCGAGCGGGCACCAGGTGCGGAGCGCGACAGTTTACCGTAGGTATTTCCCTAAATTTTGGGGGTTTTCCCCCCTCTTTTTTCCATTTTGCAAAATTCCATTGTTCGATCTATTCATCTAATTCAGATTTGGCGTGTAAAATCTTATCGCTTCAATTTTTACTGTCAAAGTGACGAGGATGGTCGAGGTCATAGTCGAGCTCTGATTTTAATGGGGATTTAAATGAGGAAAATAATTTATTTGTGCTGTAATTATTCATAGTCCAAATTAGAAAATAACAACACAAGGAAGGGGAGCGCGTAAACGTATGTTAACGTTTAATGTTGTGGTATTTCTTCTTTTTAATTGATAATCTTTAAATTATACACATTTGTAAATTGTGTTATTGCTTGCTATTAAATAACTATTCTCTCGGGGATCTTAAGTTTAATTGTTTGCGTCTCTCTCAGAAATTAATTATCTCTCTTCCAAAACTAGGATTAGAAAGAGACGAGGAGAGAAAGTTAATTAAACGGAGGCTAAAGTTAACACACTGATGGCAGATACTCCGATAACTCGGATAAAAATCGCAAACGAGCGAAAGAAATTTACGCAACTCAAGAACGTCATAATTTCTACGATGTAACAAAATATATTTATATGCGCTAGAAAATTATATTTTTGTGAAATCAAAATTGGAAAATTGTTAGGTACGGCACGATTCTGTCATTCTCCAAAATTGTTTCGCCACATCCAGAATCGAGAAAGTAACAGAACGAAGTGAATGTCGGAATGAGAGTATCGGATAATGAATTCTTCAGTCGGTGGTAGTGGTGGTGGTACTAGTGGTAGTAGCAGTTGTTTCGACGGGAACCGGCTTGGCAGCTGGTACTCCCGTTTGAACAACATTGATGCGTCTTTCCGTGCCAGCCGGCGTCACGTTCTGAAAAACGTGAACGGAAATATAGCATTGTAATAATATACGTGCGACAATACCCTTAGGCTGGTATTACATTTGTACGACAAAGTTTCCAAGCGTGTTGATTGGCCGCTAGATAGAAAAGTTCTCGAGTATTTAGAAATTTTCTAACTTGTAGCCACTCGACACGCTTAAAAAAAATTTGTCGTACGACAAATGTAATAGTACCCTTAGGGCAGAAAGATTGTCGTAGCCGTTTACGACTCCGTCGTAAGACTTAAGTCGATGCCGGAGGTCAACGCACAAAGAATTGCCGTAGACGTGTGTCGCCTTGCGATGCGATGAATGCGACGATTAAGTCTTACGACGGAATCTTAACGAGTTACGACAAACTTTCTGCTCGGGCCGTTAGCCAATTAACGAATTATGAGAGCTATGTGTTTGTGTCTTTTTTTAGTGCACCCTACGGGGTCGGTGCTTGAACAATCCGTACGCGACGATAACAGCCGTGATTAGAATTTGAAATTCCTTCACGCTTTGAACAAATATGAGGAGAGAACTGCGATATACAGGTAAGCGCATAGATCTAGACACGATATGTTATGCATTATGGTAGAATCATGTCTGTGGACAATGAATTAAAATAGTTAAAAATACGACGATTAAGTTCAATGTACGAGGCATGTACTATAAATAATAAATGCGGCTTTGAACTATTTTATGCTGACAGCGAAAAAAGGTCTTTGTTCGATAATATAAAATTAACTTTTATGCGTTGGAATCATCGCAAAAGAATGATAAATTTGCAGTCAAAATTTAAATACGCCTAAATTAAAATAATTCCATGTTCGAAAAAAATATATACATATACATTTTCAATCAAATTCATTTTAGTGGTCTAAAAATTAAGAAAAATTATGTAAATAAATAGAGAAATGATCAATAAAATTATTTTATCGATAGTGATAAATTGATCGATATCGATCAATATTGATAGATCGATAAATTACGTAACAAGTTAAAAATACGTGATATTTGATGAGGGGCACTCGACTGTCGGCAAGGTGTCATCGATTTTAACAGAAGTCGATTTTTGAAACTCACCGAAAATGCAATTGCTCTCAAGTCTAACGTTAAGGGATCGAGTATATCGAGATAAGAGATCGTCTTATCGCAATGGTTTGTCGCTCGCGCTTTTGCATATAGTATCGCCGAGTTTCAGGAACTTGCTTTAAAATCGACGCACGCTGATCTAACGATACCGCGAATGTGCCTCGTCCACGCGCAAGAACTGCGCCCTGAATTCCGTAACGTTAACGAGACATGTTCTGTTTTGTAGTTTAGAGCAGACTCGTAGTGTCTGATCCAAAACCGTCGGCACCATCTGCCTCCTCTAGTACTGCACACTGAGGCGCAGCATTGGGAACGTCGGGATCGAAAAGCAAAAATCAAATATGTAACGTAAGCCGCACCAGCTATAACGAAGACGAGAGAGTGGAGGAGGAGGAGCGAAAGAGCGCGAGAGAAGATAGAGGGTGAGGTAGAGAGAAGCTCCGTTCGTTCGCGGTTGAAGCCGCGAATGAGGGAGCGAGGCGGATGTTAATGCGGATTGTCTCGGCTCGATCGAGCGTACCTTTTTGGGCGCCGTGATAGTTAGCACACCATCCGAGGATAGGGTCGAGGTGATGTTGACGAGGTCGTGAGACGGGGGCAGGACGTATCTGCGTACGAAGTGTCTGCTGATGTAGCCGTGCTCGTCCTGCTTCTCCTCATGCTTCGCCTCGATAACGACGTGATTGTCGACCGTCTTCACCGTGATCTCCTCCGGTGAGAATTGTTGCACGTCCAGTATCACCTGCGGATCAGACGGCACAGCCCCGCGGGAAGGGGGCTCGTCATTATCTCGCTCAGGATCCTCTCTCGTCCGTCTTACTGAGAACAGAAGTCTCGCGTTCTTCCGTGAGCGATCGCAAACGTAGCCGCCATGCATCCGTAAAGCAAAAGTTAAGTACCGATCACTCTCCCGAACGAGCTTACTCCGAAAACGATGGTCGACTTTTGAGCAATAAGACCCCGCCACCCCGTTTCTTGTATCGCGCGGATTAGCGTTTCTTTTACCCTCTTGGCGTTTCGTTCTTACCCTGGCTAACTGAATTTTCGTCCGGAAGAGGATCTCGAGCGCCGCCGCGCACGTCCTAGCTCATATTCTAAATCCGATGCACCGTATTCCAAAATACCGTACGCGTTAGGCGAGCTGTCTCGCGCACCACAATTCCGGCTTATCATCTAGAGCAACGCTTCGTTCGGTCTCACACTCGTCCTTTCATATCAGCGTTCAGGGAGCCGCCGATCAGGCCCGGTTGTTGGAGTTTCCGCGGCGAGCGAGGAAAATGGCGATTCGACTAACGTTCTAGATCCAATCCCGACCGGCAGATAAGCGTGTCGTAAAAGTACCGATTCTTTTTTCTTGTCCCGATTCTCTCATATGTATTCCTCCGCGTTTCTTTAAATTATCGCGCGTTATGGTACAAAAGCAAACCGGGAAGATGTAGTTGCCGGGCGCACCTACTTGTGTGACATTGTTCCCCCTTTTTTTTTTTACGATCCAAAAGAACGAGCACACATACAAGTAGGTGGATTCTTCTTTATTTACTGCGAGTGCGCGGTCGTGCAGGGAGCGATCGGTCGCGATCGCGGTACCTAGTCCCTTTGCGGCCGGCGGCTCGCTTCAGTGAGGAAAACATAAGGGATAAAACGATAAAACAAAATTAAAAAAAAACAAAAAAAAACAAAGAGCGAGGAAGATAGAGAGAGAGATGAATGACACTTTGACGAGGAAGCTTTAACAACCGATGGTAGTGAGGCAAGCTTGCCCGAGTCTCTCCGGATGATCCTGCTTAATCCCGGAGCTCGGCAAACGCGAGCGCGAAGAGATTAGCGGAGGATAATAGGCTGTGCATTTCGAAAATAGTAAATACCAAAAAGGAAAGAAAGAGCAGAAGGCAGGAAGAGAGGGAGAGAGAAATTTTCGCGGAGCGACCGCGCTCCGCGAACGGTCGTCGACTCGAGTGCTGCGCGCAGAGCGACATATTTTGTACAAATAAAGAGATAAAGGAAAACGAGTTCCGTGTAGAAGAAGAGAAAAAAAAGCACAAAGATCATTTTGTACAATTCTATTGTTGTGGGTATTCAAAAAGCATTTATTTTTGTATAGAGATTATAAACAGGCGGGGGGCATCGGGGCCCGCGGGTCCCGTTCGCGTGAGCGGCGCACCCTGAGCTCTGAGGGGTGCGTCGGCGCTCGTCGGGACGACACGAGCCTCGGTTCTTCCATTCGAACAAGACTGATTAAGCACGACGCGATACATCTACTCTTTCGGTTGCATATTTTATTCCGTGGCTGCTGCGCGCGATTTCTCGCGTGCGACTCTGAACGAGAGAAAAAACAAAATCACAAGACGCTAACGAACGGAATAGTAGTCACCTCGGACCTACGACAGGCAAACCGTGCGCGCGATTGCGCGAGGAAAAAATATCGCAGAAAGAGGCGGAGAAGTGAAAAATAACGAAAAAGAAAAACACACATACACACACGCGCATACACGCACACGCACACAAATATATATATATGTACAATAAGATTAAAGAAGGGGGAGGTAAAACGAGAACTGTGGTAAAACTGTGATTTCATAGAGATTCCGAAACCGGCGTGACTAACCGGAGATCGTGCAGCGCGATCGTCCTTTTTTGATACGCGTACCTTTCGTAGAGCACTTCCGGCAAACGAGAAGGATAACTTGGTCCCTTTAGACGGGAAATCTGCTAACACCGTGACTATTGCTACACAACCGGATTATACCCAAATAGGGCGATTAGACTGCTACCGATGCTGTAGAAAAAGCTAAACTCTTTTCGGCACAAATGTAATCATTGTAAAAGGGGACAGATAAACGCCTTGGACATTCTCTCGACGTGTCAGATTATTCGAACCTACGCGGGGAAGAGAAAGAAAAACAAGCCAAAATTTACTTATTCACATTGGAAAGGAAAAGAAAGAAGGAAAAGTCGTCCCTCCGATTCACTCGCCCTCCCTCGCCCAGAGGGCAGGTGCAGGAAACAACGTCCCCTATCCCCCCTCAAAAATACTCCCGAATACTCGTTTCGCCATCCCGATCCGTCGAAAAAGAAATAAAGTATCGAGTTGCCGCCCTCCCGGTCGACTTCGCGTCGCGTGCGCGATCGCGCGGTTTATGAGAGCGTAATTGTAACGCGTAATTATAATGCACAACGTATGCAAGCACGACGATAGAGACAGCGGCAGCCGCAGCAGATGTAGTCATCAGTTTTTCGGGCCTTCTGGTGTTCCGGATCTTTTTCGTTCGTTGCTTTCAGCCGCTCTTACCGACCGTTAAGTTTCACCCGTCTCTCGCGTTTCGTTTCATCCCCTGCCGGGGTTTCTTTTCCCTTTTGACAGCCCCGCGGCTGATTGGTCCCCTTCGAAAATAACGTTCGAGTAGATAGAGTCTCTATTTCGATTCTTTTCCGTTAACGCTTCCCCCCTCCCCCCCCCTCTCCCGTTCCTTCCCTTCCCTTCCTTCTCCTTCCCCCTCCCGTTCCCTTTCCTCCCCGGTTCCCTCTCTTTTTATTTTTCTTCTTACGAATGCGCCCTTTCGTCCTTACCCCTCGCGTCACTCCCCATCATCTTCGATTATTTGTCTCCTGCGACTTTTCTATATTTCGAAATTTAAATTACGATACGCTATTCGTTTTTTTTTTCGCTAGAAGATAACGTAAAGGAAAGTATCTTCCCCTATAATACACTTATTAAATATTGTACTTTTTTTTCGTAGGTTATCATTCGAGGCTCTTTGTATCCGACACAAAATTCATTTTGCGTCCGATACAAATCGCGCTCGCGTTATCAATATATCAAAATAAGGAGTAAAGAACCGCTAAAGAGTTTAAGTCGTGTCTTAGCCTAAGTTATTATCACGCGTGATCGAACACATTCCGTTCGCTGTTGCATCATCGAACTTTCTCGTGGAAATCAATGTAATTGTAGCGCACTAAGGCAGAACGATCTCGAAGTCACGAATTTGGAACCTGTCAGGTGAATCGCGTTACATGCACGACGAGGTGCCCATGTAATTTGACGAACCGAACACGTTCAAATTCGTGAGTTTAGGAGCTTTTAGAGCGAGTTGCGTATTTGTATTCGACACAAACGATCAGTAAGAACGTAAAAAGAGGAAAGGACCGTGACTAAGTTGTCGCACACAGTGCACCGGTTATATTTCGTTTGCTGTTGCATCACCGAACTTCCAGAGAGACAAGATAAATAACGATCATAGAGCCATAACCGATCGCCTTTGCGAAAGCGATGAATTTTAGGCGTGCCGCGACACGCTCTCACGGCGAACAAATACGTATCTGCAGCTTGCGTACATAAAATTGGGCGACTGATCGTCACCGATATATATTAATCGATATTACTGTCGAGTTACTAAGTTACGATAGATCGGAGGCGTGATAACCGAACGATCTCCAGGAGGGATCGGGAGGTAGCGACCTCGCGGCCGTTTTATCCAGTGCGAAACCAAACCAAGTTTCAAGGATCCAACGACGTCTTATAATCAAAGGGATAACAGCGTCCTTTATTCGCATTTGAATCTTTCGGAGAAAGACAGAAAAGGGGGGGTTGCTTCGTGCAAATTGATTCAGGCGATCTAAATCCATACGTGACACCCTCGGACGCGACAGCTGGGCATTCGATTGATTCTTGATTCTCGACTTGTCTACTATATGTTTTAGGATAACTGCAGCGTAAGATAATCGGTATTTCCGCAGCGCGTGTTAATCCTAAGCGTTAATCGCGTGCATATCATCCCGAATCGCGAGCCTCATGTCGACTTTTCTGACCAGCTTTCGTGAAACCGTGTTTCTTCAATCGTTCCGCGCCGGAAACGCAACGGTTGTAATTTTCCCCGCGATCTGAGAAAGCCAGTAATATCCAGCTAGCCGTGGACAGTTCCGCGGCGTAAGAGCGACGACTAAAAATACGCGAAAAACCCACCTAAAATTAACACGTTACGTCACACTCGCGTTCGGGACATTTTGTGGTAATTTTAACGCGCGTTGCTTCTTGTTTACGCTCTCTTGCCGCGCCACGAAATCTAATCGAGCGAACAGACATTTAACAGGAAATTATTGCGAATAATTGTCACCATTTTCACGCCACTTTGAGATTACGCGATAGAAGAGAGCTTCCAGAAACTGCAAGAGTATATGCACAAGGCTTTCGAATATTATAAGCAATTTAGTATAACGATATTCTTCTGAGGCGAAATTAGCGGCGATATTTGAATTGCAGATCAATCGAGAAGAGCTAACAGTCTTATCGTCCACTTGCGTTATCGATTATTATTACCGAGTCCATTATTACGTATAGACAGGAACATCAAATCTTCTCCCTGAACTTCTATTAGTTCTAAATAATTTTCGGCCAATTCCCATCTTTCGCAGGATCCTGCTAGCTTTAGCCAGGATCCTGCAAAAGATGGAATTGGACCGTTACACAGCAGTACTTCCGCCCTATAATATATCTTAAGTAAGTTTTTAATACTTTCCCGACGAAAACGCCACCACTGGCAACTCTACGACGAAAGATTTGATCAATGTCTCACGAATTAACTGCACGAAATAGGACGCGCGAATTATATAGTTTGCAAAATAAAATTGATCTTGACAAAAGGATATGTTGCTTCGAGTTCAATAAGTCCGTCTGATCGCAAGACACGCGCGCAACTAGGCTAGACCGACGCGTATCGAACGTGTGTCTTAGGAAAGTTATTCATTAAACAACCTAAAGTAACGTTAAGAAGCACTCGAACAGGCAGAGCCACCATTGTAATGTAAGGTTCATAATTTGAGGCCATCTTTCGTGTTTCGCCACGAGAAGATGAATCGTTTGGTGACAAAATAACAAAGATCACTTGACAGTGTAACGTCACGTAACATGGACGAGCACGATCGCGGGAAAGGACGTATTTTCTGGCCAGAAAGATTCCGTACACATTTTACTGCTCACTCTGTCGTAGTGAATCGACTAAATTGCTAATGCTATCCCTCTAACGAACGGGCACAAATAACAAACACAGAGGCAAGTGTTCAAAAACACCGGAAAACATCAGAGGAAATAAAAATAGTTTAGCAATTTTCTTCGGGTATAGTGAAAATAGAAAAAATAAAATAATGTTTCCTTGATAAGATACTTGGATTTATGAAGCACTAACGAAGCCCCAGTTAAGTGAAATAATTTTAATAAAAGACACTTGAAAAAACTTTTGTCGAGACGACCGCGAATGAACTAAAATAACGATAGAAATATAAAGTCTTCCAATATTTCACGGTTTCATTGCAGGCGACGTATAATCACAGACCGCAAAATTCTATCCTGCTCGCAAAGATTCACATTTGGAACTTACTTCAAACTCACAGAGACCTGCAGAAGGCAAAAAGAAGAATTCGCAAATTCACTTTCGATCTGATTGCACCGTGCAGTGTCCCGTTTCGTTGTAGTTTGGTATTGCGCAAAATCGATCTACAAATACCAACCTGGAAATTCTCATTGTCCAACTGGATCGTGCTGGTCCCGCTCGAATTTTGACGCGTCACGTTCCCCCATGGTCGGTAGTACCTATTCCCGAGGATCGAGCGTGCTGGCCGATCGATGCCGAGACCGGAGAGACTTGAGATCAGATCGTCTCGGTAGAGGCCAGTGCCGAAGTGCTGATCCAAAAGCCGCGAGGGACGCTCGAATTCGTCCCACCAATTGCGGAAAATGAGCGGCACAATTGACATCTGCGAACATCAGCGCGACAATCGCTAATGATCGATCGGCGCTTTTCGCTTGATCTTTAAAGGGTCGTTAAAACTCCGAAGGAAAAACAAACGAAGGAAAAACAAACGAAGAAAAAAACAAACAAAAAAAAGAGAGGAGAATTTTTCAGGGAAAGTGAAAAAATAAAATCCAGACGGTCCGGGCGAGAAACAAGAATGAATGAAAAACGAGTGAGAGAAAAGATTCGTACCACTAATATATATAGTACGCATTTACTGTATCATAATTATGATACTACAGCGCACACACGACGGCGTCTATAATGAGTCTATTCTGTAAAGATGCTCTGTAACGCTGTATCTCTGTAAGTTATGTAGTAGTGTAGAGCTGGAGGGAAAGCGCAAACATCGGAAAGAAGAAAGAGCTAACGGGGGCTACAGAGCTTATAGAAAATCTTCTTATAAAATGCAAGGCCTAAAACGAGCTTACAGGGCAAAAATCTTACAGAATAGATCGATAAGTTTTAATTAGGCTGCACGAAGGCTGCAATAACTCATTAATATTACTGATTGTTAGTTCTCTCGTTAGCATTATCGCTTGCATTATCGACACTGAAGTATTTAAGGATTATCGTTAAGCGTATAATTAATCTCTCGGAATTAATCTCGGAATACTATCAATATACACGTGCTGGCACACATCCGATTCTAGCGTAAACAAATTTATCACGAGATCTCACCATGGCCGAAGCACATCGCAGTTACAAAAGACTTATCGAAATCCAAGTCATCCATTTCGGAGTGGATGAGTCAGCAGATGCCGCATATGACATGAGAGTTCCAGTCGAAAATAAGTCCCAATCGTATCGACTTGACACAGTCCTTACTAATTCTAAGTCCTAATTAATCTAGGCTACTCGTTGGTTAACCGATAGGTTTTAGGGGAACGTAAGAGCGCGTTAACTGAATCCATTAATTCACACGTGCTGTACGGACGTTAAGCACTTTCGCTTCGTTAAAATCTAGCACACATTTGCGAAAAATTTTTCCACCTTCACCTCAATTGCTCCCTTTGACAGACTGACCAAAGCTAAATCTCTCTATAAAAAAAAGGTAAATTTAAACCGTCTTGCAACCATCGCACGATATAAATCAGACACTACAATTTACGAATATAATTTCCCTCGTGCGATAGAGAGACTTCGCGTGAACAAATTCGAAGATAACGTCTCGGTAAACAACCCATACAGCAGAAAGTTAAAATAATGTTGCTGAAACGTTGCGATATTGAATGTTGAAGTATAAATATCTTTTCTACGTTGAATCTAGGCTAATGTTTGTACATTGATTCTTTATGTTGCTGCAACGTTCAAACAATCTTGAACAAATTATTATTTTTTGATCCTCAAATAGATACTTAAAAAATGTATAATTATAAAATGTATACAATAATTTTGCAACGGTCAGAAATTTGCTGAGCTAAGATTGGATTATGTTAGCGGTATAATCCAATTCCAGTACTTCCAACAGTTGTAAAAAATATTCCGCTAAACGCGACCAATGTAAACTCAGTATAATTTAACAGTGTTTTCTGAATGTTGAATTGTAACGTTGATAAGACATTACAATTCAGCGGACATTAGACGCTTTTGCAATATCTTTTCAACGTTGAATCTACATTTCGTAATATTGATGCAATATTGCAACGTTGTATTGGAACGTTTCTGAGATGTTGATTCAACATTTGTGTGCTGTATGGGCAATGACCGAATTAATTTCCGTAAGTTTGGTTAAGCAACGCGAAGTAGTACGAGCGCGAGGTAGATCGAGACAGCCAAAGCACAATTATTAGTAGATCGGAATCGCGATTGAGACACTCAAAGAGATGAACTTAATTAAAATAAAATAAAAGAAAAGAAATTAACTCAATAAAGTTTAGGCATAGTTGTAAGTCATAAGTTGCAGGGTGGAACCGCATAGAGCTAGTCCGTTCGCGTAAGATGACGCAAGGGAGTTTAAGCGAAAGCTCAATCTCGGGCCGACGGATTGTCGGAAATTGAGTATCGACCAACTTAAGCGATGGAACAACGATAACGAGCAATCAGATAGTGCAGGGACTAGTTTAGAGTCTCACACCCTCCGCAACCTTTAAATGAGTAAAAGGCTCGACACTATTCACTAAACGCGACGATTAACGATTCACATATTCCAAATCGTAAGCGGTAAAATTCCTCACTCTTCACTTCTTCCGTAATTAAGGGCATTCAACGACCGCTCTCGAACGGTAGTTGGGTGGGTGGGTGCGAGGACATAAGGACCGTTAGTATAAGATTATTTCGCACAAAACGTACCGATAAGCTTATTCTCGAAACACGAGTCTACAGCAAATAGCGTGTAAGGTTACTTTTAAGTAATCCTAAGATTATTAATATATTACAATCTCCGTCAAGCTGAACTTGTATTGTGTGTAACAGTCATTAGTAAGCTTGTAAGATTCACAACTGACAATGAAATTCCGGGGGTACGGTACACACAAAGAAACATAACATACACGGGAATATCGTACGTGCTACCGTACTTTGTATGGAACGTGAAGATCCGATCGATCACTCCAAGATTCACCAGACTATTCCGATATCGTCCGAAGTCGGCTTCTGATTCAGCGCGAGTCCGCGGGCCCATCTTAAATAGCCGCGATGCGGAGTAGGTGTTTTCCTACAATGTCACGTGACGTTTCACTGACTGTCCTGTCCAAGAATACACCGACTTCGAACACGGACGAGATTTTGGTGGAGATCGACTCCGCCGTTCTTTCTCGCGGCGGCATTTCGAACATTCTTGCTACTCCGTCAAGCTGCGATTTTTACAATTGGAATCCTCGCTGGTTCGTCATCCCGCGATTGTCGCGAGGCGTCGCGCCTTACGATCCGAATTTGGACCGCCCGGTAACGAGTCGACGTCGTGTCGTGTGTGCGAGGCAGTTGGGATCGAATTCATCTTCGAAACAGTCTGACCATTCCAGCAAACTTCGTCAATTCGTTATCGAGCTGTCCTTCGACATTTGAACGTCGCTTTGGTCAAAATCGCGGAATGGCGTAATAAGAGGCGATCTAATGCATTTTGCCTATCAGCATGCTACTCCAGTAATGCTTTAAAACAAACAAAAAGAACGGAGATTCTAAGGCCGGTATTCATAGTCGATTCTTATTTCAATATCGTCTTAAGTGTTGTCTTAAGAGGCTAATAGGGCTCTGCGATTGGTTAAAGATGATCTTAAATATAAGAACGGACCATGAATATCGGCCTAAGAGTGGATCGGAACACACAATCTCGTCATCGCGACGCGACGTTACGTACTTTTCTACGCTATAACGAGTGAAAGAACTGACCGTTCCGTCGTTTGCATCGCGTCAAGCGGGACTTGAACCAAACGTTTCTCTGAAACTTCTCTCGCTCCGACCGTACTTCGCTGAGCAAACCACCAGGAATAGAGAAATCGACTGAAATAGAAACAGCGCGTCTTCGATCAGTCGCGATGATCAGCTTAAAATGTTTGACCGATACAAGAAACCCCGGGCATAAGAGTAGATAAAACTTCGACCTCGTGGTGGGAGAATTTTAGATTAAGAATTAACTGAACGTTTCCGCACAACATTTAATGGAGAGTATTAAGAACGTATTCTTAATGCGGGCTACGCCCACACGTGTGTTATTTTAGGATATTGGATTATACGCATTTTTCTTAGAATACCTTTCCTTCGATTTGCTTCTTTCTCGTTCAGTGTATAAGGAAAGTTATGATTAACGCCGGTGTTAGCTTTGCGCGACAAGTAACGTCGTGGATTCTCGTCAGCACACTCGAGTTTTTCGGATTTACTCATTTTAGTCGCGATGATCCGCGCGAGCGCGATTTTGTTCGCACGAGAGATAGATCGTAGTCCGATCAATTTTTGCGTGCGCCGCTTTGCAGCGGGAATAATTTTTACAGCGAAAATTAATGAAGACACCGGATTACATAGCTTGATTTATAATAACTTTGTCTTACTGGGAAAAGGGGGAAAACGTCAGGGGAAAAGGAGGAAAACGTCAGGGCAAACGGCACATTATAAAAACAATAATGGAAAATGACGTGCACGTCACCAAAAAAAAGCTAAAGCTTAGGTATGTGTGTACTACAATACTACATTTAATGCTAAGAATAATACTTAAGAAAAGGCGTCGCTAGGCCTAGGCTACTTCGTTACTCTGCGAATTCCGTCTACTAGCGGCAAGTGCTAATGAAGCAATCTCGAAATAGCTCTCGATTCACGTTTCGCCTAAAAATAGCGCCGCTTGTCACCAACAATGAGCAATACATTGGGCAAATACTCGCATTTCTGCAGAATGAATAAATTTCGATCACGCAACCGAAAATAAAGATATATCAATTATATATCCGTGACGTTCGAGCTGGACGATAACCATTGTCGAAATATCTCGCCTACCAAAAGCGAAAAAGTAGTTTTAGGACTTGGAAACAAAACAGTTATCGTTGACAAATCTTAATTTTCACCGGAAGCCAAATTATTTATGCTTCAATTAAAAGACACGTCATACCTGAAAAGGGAAAACTGAGCAAATTCTTAGATCCGGCAACGCACTTGTTGCAGGTGTATCGAAGACGCGAGTAATTTAGCATTAAGCGTAATTCTTAGATCAGACGAATCATACTATGTGGCATTATAGTAGTAACGATAAGCTATATAAGGTAATTAAGTTATAAATTAATCTAGATCACGACGCCGTAACAAAGTTACTTTGTGTAATCACCAAGCGCGTGAGATTTGCTAAAACACACCTTCAGGACCATAATAATTAATCGATAACTCCGAGCAGGGGTTTTACCTTAAGAAGATTCCCGTCTTTATCTTCATCTTTACTCCGAGATATTATCGTGAGGTACTCCGTGTGTTTACGTGTCATACTTCGAATAAACTCTAAAAGTGACCCGATACTCTGATTGTCTGTAGGGATAAAACAAAGACTAAATGTCTCTTTGATAAAACTGGATAAAGCGACCATCCGTGCGTTCCGTAGAGAATATTATGATGTAACACATATGTGTACTGTAAGCATATGTCAGCATACGTAAAAATCTTTACGATGAATTTGAACTTACAATGAGCTTTTAGGCTAGTACTTGTAACTCGATGGGCTATTGATGTTATTATACTCATTCTCTTTGGTTTGTAACGTGCACAAGTGTAATTATCGTTCTTAGATGCAACAACGTTATGTCAGGGCAGTCCTAGATTGAGAGAGCGAGTGCGTAATTCCGGTATTGACAAAAGAAAACTGAAAAATTTGTAATTTGCATAACTGAAATTATATACGCTCTGTTGATAAAAATTGTGCAAAATTCCATCTCGATACGGCTTACACTTTATATATCTGGTTTTTTTTTTCAATTCTGTAATTTGTGCAGCGCATAGAAATAGGCCCTACGCCATTTCTTGGCTGAAGGAAACAATAAAGTGAAATCCGCCGACACATATAATGCGAGTATTTTATTTCAACAGTTACACCAGTCCTTCCAAATAATAGTCACTGCCGAAACTTAATGACAAAACTGGACGAGGAATTAAGTTCTGGCTGTAAAGAATCAGAAATTATTTAAATGCAACGTTCTTATTTATTTGTTGCTCTCATATACACAATTTAATGATCAGCATGCGCAGCAGCGAAGACTTCATTGAAGTAACACATTTAACGGAGCTGCATATACAAAGGTATTTCTTTCTTAATATTATAAATATCTTACCAATGTGTCACGCGTTTAAAATACAGGCGAGTGTCATCGAGGGGAGTGGAGTTATATATAAATAATGAAGATGCTGATGGCGTGCAAAACGGCAAATTACATGTATTTTCTTAGAAACGACTCGAGGAGGCACGAATCGTTACTCTATCCTTAAATACATAAATACTATACACGTCTTTGCGATAATCGCAGCGTAAATGTTACATAACGAGGCATAGAAACAAGACGCGCTTTTCAAGATAATCGCAGTATTTGCATCTCGGGATGTTGTTGCAGCTTCTCGACATCTTGTAAAGTGGATATACCCTGTTCCTGCAAGACACAATCCGAAACGAAACATGTCAGTGAACCTTGAATTGTAGACAGAGATATAAATATCTGACATTTCCCTTTTCAAATTATGATATTATGTTATTATACAGTACAGCGACCTCGAATTAATTATCTCGCACTAATTAAATTGTAAATGAAATTAAGAAGCTTTACATTATATTCTTTCCATTTCTCGTAGTTGTGCCGCATGTAGCCCACTATTTCCGGCATGTCAATGAATACTGCGAAACAAATGGCAAAAATCATCAAATTCCAATAGCAATATTTAATCAAAATCTTAAAATAATGAAGAGAACGAACCATCCCAAGCCTCGATCATGTCGTTAATGATATAATCGACGAAACCGATTTGCGATTTTGGTATCGAACACGTCATTCTATCGAACATCGGCATTACGACTGGCATTTTCAACTTTTTCTCCTCGTCAGTCTGAAAAGTGTCAATAAATGTTTGTACACGAGAGTAGTGAATTATCTTCCCTGTAATGAACGGTCTCGGTTGGTAATTATGATAATGTTCACCTGATTAAAGTACTCCTCTGCGATTCGTCTCGCCCATTCGACGCAACAGCTTAATGGCCGCGTTGGATTAGACACATCCGCGCATTTGATCATCATTCTTTTAATCAGAATTACATTATCTGGCTGTAGAACCACAGACATATCCAGAGAATCTGAATAAGTCTGCAAAAAATTTTCATTTGTTATTCCGTACGCGTCTTACTGTTAGAAAGGTTGAAAATATACGCTCTTTAAATGTAAATTAAATTTAGAAAAGTCACGTCTACATTACATATTTATATTAGAATTGAATTGTTTATTTTCTAAAATAATTTCTTAAATATTCAGAAATTAAATTTATTTAGAATGCATTTATATTTATGTGATAAGAATATTGAGAATTACACAATTAGTTTTTTTCAGATAAAAGATAATATCAATTAAAAAGATATATTATAAATTTTTATTTGTAATAGAAAATTGCGATAATAAAATAGGATTTTGATATAACAAAAATAATATGTGGTACCTCTTGACCATCACCAATTCTTGCGCTGCAAACGTTCATGAACTTCGCCAGGTGCTCGAAGTGCTTCGTCATTTCGGTCGCCAGAATCATGTCAATGACATTTTGTCGTAACAGTTTGTACGCATCTCGCTCCAGATTCTAAAGCAGGCAGTGCGGTATTACACCTTCGGATTATTCTGCACACTCGCCTTTAGATTAGCGATATACAAGAATGCGTGGGAAGAAACTTACTTTAAAGATGTTCACACTGTCATCGGAGAGCGATAGTTTAAACGTTAAGGCTGCATGATGCGATTCAAGAACCGACAGATCATTATAGAGTATCGCCAAACGACTGTTGGCATTGCAAAGGAATTGACTGGAAAAGAATTTAAAATTATATAGATTATGGATATTTAATCCCAAGTTTAGGTATTTTTGACAAATAATAAGTGCTTAAATTTTTATTAAGTATGTATATATTTTACATACTTTGTAGAAAAATAATTAGCTAAAATCAATTTTGTCAAGTTTTCTTTTTCTTTCGAATATTTTATTTAGATTAAAATAAAAATTAACTATGTATATAAATCTTTAGGCACTAAAAATTATATTTTTGCTGATATATCTCTTGATACTAAAAGTAAGTCTCACCTGGACCGCCCAGGATGATCAATATCGTGTGCAGCGGCAGCTATTAAAGCAGCAACCTCATCTACAGGCTCTAAAATTTCTTTGAGCCTTTTCGATTGCATAAATCTCGCAGTGGCTTGCATAACGTCGGCCGCGTGTGTTGAGTTGTGATAGCTATTTTCCGAGTTGTAATTGTGTTCAATAATGGCTAGCCAATTTTGCAACGTCTTCTCATCGCAATGTAATGTAGCGGGCACTTGATATAAGTTCATGATCGTCAGTCCTAGAAAAACGAGCGGTCTGCAATAAATCAAAACAATTAGTCATAATATATGCCGTGAAAGAAATGCAGGAATAACGATGTCCAATTAAAAAATTGTTACATGTCGTGCATGTTGACAGTTTGTGTGACCCACCTTTTCTCCGTCAGCACCTCAAGCTTGAATATCTCGAAACCCCAGTCAAGACTGTTGTCTAGCATATCAGTGAGCTCTTGCGGCCCCCGAAAATTTTTCACCTGCACACGTGAGTTGGCCGGGCAAGTGATAGCTTTGATAGTGGATAATCTCGCGGAATCTGACGATGATCTTCTAGATTCCCACGCAGTGCGCGGAGACTGTCAATCAAACAACAAAGGGATGGAAGGAGGGAAAAAAAAACTCGAGCGTGTAAATGCGCGTAATTTACGTTTCTTGCAAATTTATAATTTTTCTTCGTACGAAATGAATAGCGGTAAAATTCTTACGGCAAGTAACGCGCCCACGAGATCCGTAGCAACTGGATCACTGTACATTGCTCTATCTTCTTTAAGATGTGGCACGTAGAGCTCCGTCGTCTTTAGAATATCGATTGCCTGAAGAAGACGCAGAAGATGTTTCAGCGTTTATTTAATTGGACAGACGTGACTACTAGTCAATACAAGTATCCCGTTTAATCATCGTACCTTATCGATCTGCGCTGCTGTTTCCGGATTAGTCGTATCCGTGACCGCGTTCGAAAGTAACGTAATGACTTTAGTGATGGGAGCTTCCAATTGCAAAGTATGCAGTTTCTGCAAGCTGGACCGCCTGCGGCCTGTTACAGAAACACAATCTTTTTTCCTCATATCGGTACAAGGAATCGGTGCATTAAAAGATTGCAGCGTTAAGTAATAGATCTAGAATCTTTAAAAATAACTGTGCAATCATTACAGAAATATCAAAGTCGCATAACATGCTACACATAATTTGAAATTTTTTGAAATGTGTCAGTGACGCAGGTTAATGAGAGGGACGGATGCGTCAAACTTTCGCATTAACCAGATTATAGCAGGTGTGTCCCAGTTTTGTGCTATTAAATTTCTTGACGTGTTTACAACGGCGATATGTAGGGTTGATATCGGCGCGATAACTCTTTAACGTAAAAATACGTGCCGCGAAGTGTTCCATAAAATTGCCGGTGACCTAATTCGCGTTCTTCTCAACGCGTTCATTTTTATATCGAAGGACGCATCAGACGAAGCGGGAGAATGAAATTATTTGTATTAATAACTTTTCCTAATTTTTATTCATGTACTCCTGTTCATATTAGCAACATTATTCACTCGATATCTGTAGAACTACCTTACCTTCGCTTATACCAGATTTGACATCCGAGGATTTCCGTGCGTTCGATAATATAGTCGTTTTAAGAGGAGGATGCAACGGACTGCCAACTGGGCTTATCGGTGCTGAATTTTCCGACAGATACGTAGTGTCGTATACGTATATGTAGTGACTTGGTTTTCTAAAGATAGATATAATAATTAATGGAATAAAATAATAATAATACGGCTTATTTTAAAATAACAAATGGAAGCAAATTTGGATAATAAAACTCTATCAAAAGAGATATATTAAAAAATGACATACTTATTAATAATTGTTATAATAAAATGTGAAAAATTTTATTGAAATCAATACGAGGAAGTTAAATTTTACGAAAAAAGATATTAAACCTTTTTGCGATTACTATGTCAAGGGAACGTACTTTAACGTGATACAGAATGGAATTATCCTGCAATTGATCGTAATCATTTGATTGTTTTTCCTCTTGCAATTCATATTCCCTTCGAATTCCCGGCCTTTAGCCAATTGCTGCTCCATGAGAGTGAAATTTTCAAAGTATACTATTTCCGAGAGATTTCTTCCCATCATCTCCTCTGCCTTATATCCTAACAGTTTTTCGCTGACTTTATTTAGAAACTAGAAACAATGTGTGAAATTAGTCCACATACATAAATACTTGTGTTTAACAAGGCGAGAATGTCATTTTTAGTTGAAAATACACAGTGTAAGGGTGAGATACCATTAAGTTATTTGCGATACCTGAACAATGTTCTTATCATTGGTTACATGCACCATATCGCGACACCTGTCGAGTGCCAAATATAATGCATGCGCTGCTGCTAGTTGAGTTCTTGGCAATAATGAGCTAGTATATATCCCTACTAATTCGTTTATTAATATACCTTCGTGTGAACATTCTATCAGTGCCTGAAATACAAGCGAAACTAAATAAAGAAACCAATAGAAGAACCTGTCCACAAAACCTTTTTCACGTGTTCCTGCAGTATTCTTATATTTGAATAAGCACTCACTCTACTAAAGCCTGTTTCTAGCAAGTTCAGTGCCACAATATGATCTTTCTCATCGAGCATGAAGTATCTAGGGGACGCAAGAGTCAAACGTTAAAGGAAAAGTAAATTAAATCGTGTACGACAAAATATTGGCAGACTTACGATTTTTTTACGAGCGCTATAATGACAGAATTGTGGTAAACCGGACTTGATCTGATCGCTCTGGAATTTAATATTTTCAATATTATTTTAATTTAATATCAAGTAACGTTCAAGTAAAATTATGTAAGAGAAGACTGTGTACATAAGTAATTTATCATGTATTGCGGAGATTAATAAAACGTTTTTTAAATAAAGTGACTTTAAGCAGAAATTAAATATTTTTCATTGATACTACATTTATTAGATTTTATTTAAACTGCCTACCTACAAATAGCATCGCCTTCTGCCGCGTGATGTCCTCTATGATCGATAATTACTAATTCGTGAGCGCGATTTTGAAAAAGTTCTATTGCTTTCTCCGCATCTTTTGCCACCGATACACTCCATCCCAATCTTCTCGCGGTATTAGCAAGTATGTCCATTTGTGGATCATCTTTACTAAAGACTAACAATATCTGCGCAATGGAGAAGTTTGACAGAAGTATGAAAAATAAAAGTAACGTAAAATTAGTGGCACCAAGAGTCTGATACTTTACTGCCGATAGCTTTACCTTCAATCGGATGTTGCCATACTTACTTTTACGATACTAGGAACGTTGTTTGTCAATAAATAATTACTAAGATCTTGCGGCCCCTTCTGTAAACACGAGAGAAATAATTCGCAAAGCTGAATAAAACAAATTTACGATAAAACGGTTAAAGAGATTTATCAGTTCCTTTTTATTCACAATTTCTGCGTGTTTGCCATGAGTAACGGCCTTTATTTAACCAAATCTAATCAGAGACTTAATATTAACGCATCGATATCAGTGTCTTGGATACATACTGATTCCTCTTTATCTAGATACATCGATTCAAGTAGTTTGTAAATTTTCGCTCGACGACGCGCACGCGGAGATACTTCCACATTTTTTGCAGTTTTATAACTGGTGACTTGATCCTTCATTTGTGATAAATTAATAGATCGTATTATTTTGACTTGTGTACGTCAACGACGATGTGATGATAATAACGAAGTCAGCAATTTTACGTACATTTCAAATCGATAAAAATCGTTATTAAAACAAGTAGTCAACCACTGCAAGCTATCACAAATTCTTGTAAAGAATCTGTGCATTTACTGCGCATCAGAGATACGTCGCGGAATATTTTCACGACTTACGAGGGAGTAGAATTTACTATCTTGAATGCTCTTCAGGGAAGTAAAATTATGAATATACAATGATCGTGCCAGCAACGATGATTGATAATAAATTCGTACCCCAGTGCGTACTGCCAGATGCGGAATCAATTTAGCCACTTGCATCGTATTTTTAGTGCACCATGTCTTTGTCCGCACACGACACCGAAGACGCTACTAGACTACAACCATGATTCTTTCTTGCGAATGTTACTGTCGTCAGTCTCGTTACAGACACAAAGCACCGGCAGAGTCAATCGTCTATTCATCTTTCAATGTCTTATTAGCGCGAGGGCAAAAGCGCTAATAAGTAGAAGCAAATTAGCAACTGCATAGACGATGGCGTTACTACACAGCAAGATAGCAGCTGGATATACGTAGTAATTATTTTATGTCACTTTTTTGTGCTTCTCAAGATGAATATTTGTATTTAAAAGCATGTTTTCTACATGACATTTTTAAAGATCATTTTATAATAAGTATTTTAGATTTTAATATCATTGATTAACTTTATCAAATCTTTGGGAGAATCGTAGAAGACACGTTTAAAGAGAGGACCATGTGGACGCTGATCATCGATCAATAGACAGCAAAATCGATATATTCGTTCGATATATCAGATCAAAAATAAAAGTCGCCTATCTGCGATAAGACGTCTGCGTGCATACCAGTATTTCTATAACGACATTTAATGAAGAAGCCGGATAAAACTTTATCCTACGGAAAAAAGCGTTTTTAAATAACCGATATCGCAAGTTTTATCGTGGACTTCAAATAACACATATATAGCACGGTGATATTTTTAGTGTAACATTACATACAATTTTATTCCGAGTAAAAAATTACTAGCTATATTTTTACAAATTTTTTATGCATCTTTGGTAATATTAAATTTTTAATTCATTCTTAACAAAACTCGCTCTCTGTAGAACTTGCATTTATTTACGTTTGTAATAAAATTCACATGGATATATGTAACAAATTAAATTATGCCACGTTAACAAATAATTACTGGCGGCTTGTTACACAGATACCATTTGAGACATTATAGTTGATCGCTCCTGGACACTATCGTGATCAAATACGGAATTAGGGAGAGACATTTTATGGTCAGTTCAGAAAATATCGCATTCTCAATCTCTCTTTGCGCACCGAGAAGACGCTGCTAATTAAAAAAAAAGGAAAGCTGCACGCTAGAACGTAGAGTACGTAGGGTGTATATTCGTTTTTTTAATGGTTCGCCGAAGGTAAACCGAAGGTAAAATAGGAAGGGTAAAAAAGTTCGTCTGTATTCAGGTAGGGAAAGTTCTGCGGCCGAGAAAAAAGGCTCCTTGCGACTGAGCAACGATCGTCCTGCTATCGATTCGTACCGCGAGTTGTTTCGCGATAGTAATCAACGTCTCCTATAAACGCAAGCGTAACAGTGAGTGAATAAGCGCGAGTGACAACTGCAATTATTTTACATTTATTTTTATGTAAACTTAGGAGAAATCATAGAAGATTACCGTATACAGCCAAAAATTTCACACGAAAGCGGTGCGAGGACTGGAATCGTTCTATCAACAGGTTGTTAAACGCAAACGCGTTTGGCTTAATGCCGCGTGCTCGCTTTTGGTCTATAGTATCAAACTTCGACTAACTTTTCACGAAACACCGCTCCTGCCGATAATTCAATCAGAATAATTGCCGTGCGTGACAACTCCGACAATTGTGTTATCGCACGGGCTGTAGAGAGTACATAAGTACGAGCACGTTCGAGAGACAACGATTAACAGAGGGGAACGACAGCGAAGTGAATAAGACAGAAGAGTGACGTCGTTGCGTTCGAACACGTTTCAAACTTTTGCTTAACTAGACACTTCTTCTCGCACGGATCAACAATAACTCCCGCTCATCTAACGCCAAGGATCGGAGAACTGCTACCGCTCGTCAGAAAATAATAGAAAGTTTATTGCGGGGCAACTTTACACTCTTCGGGGGCTCCGAAGTGACGCGCCGAGTCGTGTGACCGGTTCTTCGGGGTCGGCTTCGATTTTTCCCAATCACGTGCGGTGCGTAACTGATCAGCGTCCTCCTTGAAATGACAATGGTCCAGATAGTCCGAAACGCGCACGATATTCGCATACTTTAATCGCGAGCAACTCGTCGCTCCCGACCGTCGTTCCTCATCTGGCCGCCCGCGCCTGTCTAGAGACCGTCTATAGACGGTCTATAGACCTGTCTATAGTCGTTCTCGAGCGGCGAGATCTTGACTCGTCGAGGAGAAGCGGCTAAATGAGAGAGTTCGTACTCACCGCGATTGCGCACCGCGAATCAATTATTCAGCCTGCGTTTATGCCAGCGACGTTGAAGCGCGTCCGAACAATTTTCATATTTAATCGGGCGATCGGGAGACAGATGACTATCGAGCCGATCGAGCATTACCCGTCATCACCCCCGCGCGAAACTTTGCGGTAAACGTCGCGCGAATTATTGAAAGGGTTGGTCTCGATGGAAAGCCGCGTCAGCGATACGCAGAAAAAAAACGCACGTATATTTAGAATCACTGCTCGCGAAGCTTTTATCGCGGGGAAGAGGGGCCTTGATTGCGGGTTTTCCGACGGAAACCCCTGTGAGAACGAAGAGGGCTGACGCCGAGGGCCACTCTTCGCTAGATTATTTCCCCCGCTTTTTCTTTATCTCTTTTTTTTTTTTCGTTCCCTTAACGATTGAATATTCCCTCCGAGCAGGAGTTGCGTTGTCTCTCCCTTTTCGAGCTATTTATGCGCGCACTTCCGCATGGCTTTTTTTTCGTGCACTTTCTTTTTATCAGACGATTTTAATTTTCCGTCTTCTACTTACAAATTTTCTTTTACACTCGATATTTTATAAACGAATAACATTATTGATCTTTTTTAAACAGATGTACTTTCATATAAGAGCCGAAGAAAGCGAATATAACAGAGTAAAGATAAAAGAGAGATGATAACAATATATTTTTGCATGAAAAATATGGTAAATTAAAAACATTTAGATTGAATATTTAGATAAATGTTTATAACGAAACTTTATAATAATATTGATTATTTATTTGTGAAAGTTAGAACTTTACTTCGTCATTTAATATAATTTAATTTTGGATTTTGAATTTTTTTCATAACAGTGTTAAAAATATATTACATATTTGCTGATATTTTATATTATTCAGTTTTTAAATATTTAATATTCTCTAACATACTCTATATTAAAATATTATCGACATTACTGAAACTTAAGAAGAAAACGGCGATGACCGATGCGGTACAATCGAAAACCAGCCTATCTCTTATCCGTACTCAAAAATATTAAGTAGAACAATATCTAGGCGATCCTTATCTCTGGTTACGAATGTGAAAGAGTCTAGATAGCAGACCCGATTAATAGAAATGTGATAACGCACGCCTACGTCACAAACCGCGTCAGCTATCGTCAAGTGCATCGTCTTTATGCGATGTATTAACCTACGCATTGTGTTTTCTCGAAAAATTTAATAAAATATTATCGTATCTTTTGTTATATCATGTAAGAAATTTTAAAAAATATTCAAAGTTTATCATATAATATATTCACATAATAAAAAAATTGACTTAATTCAATAATTTGTAAAATTTGTTTTAGGAAAAAAAATATTCTCTAATATTCTCTCCATTAAAATATTAACGATATCATTGAAAATCAAAAAGAAAACGGCGATAATTGATGCAGTACCAACGAAAACCAGGTCATTAAATAATAAGGAAGCAACTTACGATGGTCAAGTAGTCGCCGTTCTCATCAATTGCACTGTCCTCAAAGGGCGCTTTTTCATCCTTTTCAGCCACAATATCAAGCGCATCCGTTTTACCTGAAACAATATCATTGAATGTTAAATGTCCAATTATGATCAAACTCGAAACTCGGGTGACATTCTTTCAATTGAAAATTCTTAGCAACAGGTAGTTGCTAAGCGTGACCATAGCATTGTAATAGAAGGCCTGTAGATTCTAGAGCCGTGCTTGATTCTATCTAATAAAGCTGGTACTCTCTATTCACGTGTATTGGCGTATGTACCTACATCGGACATTTTCCTAGCCGTAGTCAATTTATCAATTAACGTGATCCAGTTGTCAATGCATTAGTAATTATGGTAACGAGGCTTGTTAGAAGTGCACTCACCAATTTTACACGCGTATCTTATGGGGTTTATGGGTCACAGTAGCATTTGTTGCGATTAAAAGTGAATTGGATTTAATTGACAAGGTGAACTGATCGTTGCTACAATTTTTTTCAGAGACTGTTCTATTTGCAGGAGACCATACTTTACTGCAAAATATTTGCGTAATGCAGGCGCATGTATTTAATGACGCCAAAGTGGAGCTTAAGAGATTGGATACGATCATTTACGCACCGAATAAATGATCTGGAAATAATTCATCCTCCAAGCTGTCTTCGTCCTCGCTCGGAAAAAAATACTCATTCGGCGATGCCATATGAATTATGCTTTCGGCCTTGCAATCATTGAGTTAAGCGGAGCTACGTGATCTCGCACAGTTTGAAACTATATTTCTTTGCGTCTGCTTTCATTACACTAACAGCGTTATGTTATTACATGTCACTGTTTATATTAAACATTTCTCAAAGAATTTTCTATTAAAAAAATCACTGAAATTTTCACTAAGTTTCACATTATTTAGAGCTGTTATTAACTTTAATTGTCTTTAAATCTTAGTATATTATTAATTAAGAACATTTTATACCACATATTATTGTTACAAGCACTTTATCAATTTCTCACATAATAATATATTAGAAATATAACATTAATACTACATACAGAAAATTATTTGCCGCGTACAAATTGATATTGTAATTATGACTGTTTTACATTTTTATTTATCAATAGCAACACACATGTTTCTCTCTGTTTATAAAAAATAGAAATCATTTAACTTGCATAACATGATAAAATATTGTATATTTGCCTTTTAATATATGAATATACAGACAAATGTTAATTTTATATAATTTATATATTTGTGCAAAGAATTAAATCTTTTAATTTCAAGATTATAAACGTATTTATCAAAGTAAAATGCTCAGAAATTATTTATTATATATCAAGTTATTATATATTCACGGTGTAATTTTAATTGATGCAAATAATCGTCGAAGTCTTATCAATTATTAATTTCGGAGATGCTGAGTCAGTCGTCTGGATTTAAATAAGTCGGTCACTAGATTATTCCCGTTCCAAAGATCAAGATTGTCCAAAAGTAACCGTACAATTTTAGTTATGAGTTATTGCGAAAATTTTTCGTTGACAAATAATATAAAATATAATATAATATAAATAATATAAACATTATATCTAACGTATATTAGTTTCTACTCTGGAACAAAGATAAAAACTATTTTTATTAGCTCTCAATCTCGTAAAAAATTGTCTAACTTTTTGCAGTTTATTGTCAAATAAGAAATTACCAAAAATTCTCACATTTTTAACGATTCGAACCATATTTATATCAAGTAAAAAAATTGAATGTACATTCTTCTAATGTTTGGTTTCTTTTGTCACACTTCATTATTTAACAAAGTTTGTGAATATTTGAAAATGTAAAACTTGGCTCGTAGATAACACATGCACTTGAAATGGTTAATTTCGCAAGGTTTCACAATTAATGACACTGATGTACAATTTGTTTCGACGTTGTTCGCGAGCATTAAAATCGGGAGTAGATTAAAGCGACGCGATAAATACGTCGGTAGGTGTACGTGTACGCCAAACGATGCGTCGTTTGCGACCCAAAGACAGCGACTGACCGAGAACACCGAATCGACCAAGTTAAAATTCTGCTCGAGAGTGACTGGCCCCAGAAGAGCAACGCGATAGCGTTGTTGGGGAGACCAGAGATACTGCAAGTCCATTTAACATACACGGACAGAAATGTGTATCGTGTCAAAATGGGTTTAAAAAGAGTAGGTCGTGATTTCTACGTGATAGGTAGATAAAAATTAGTAAAATAAAACCCGAAGAAATACTGGAAAAAAAACTGGAGCACATACAGAGGTAATAAATGATGAATGTTAAAGGTTCGATATTCTTTATAAAAGCACAAAGTATCAAAGTATCAAAGATTATTTTAAAAATATACATATAGATATTGTCACAGGTTAAATTTAAAAGAATAGCACTAAATAAATAAAGAAGAATCTACAGATATTTACTTTACTAAATGTTTAAGCAATAATTATGTGACAATTGGTTTGATCAGAACGAGTACACTGCTATAGGCATTTAAATAAATTCATTATTTTAACTATGTTAGATCCGAGAGATAAGATAAAAATTAAAGCCACCAGTTGCTTGCTTACGTATCCATAGGAGTGAAAAAACATCATAGATATCATCGTATTAGTTAAGTGATTTACACAGGAGTTGTATTCGACCATTTTATATGAAACTGGTAAAATTAATTTAATTAATTAAGTAAAAAAGAGGTATAGTCGTGTAAACATCAATTCTGATAACATAAAAATGGAGTTCACGATTTTAAATTATAGAAAATGTAAGTGGCACTCATATGATGCCTTTTGATGCTTTATGTAGATAATTTTATATTACTCTAATAAATAGTTTTAATAATCAACTAACGTTGCGCTACTTTGCGATCATCCTCTTCGGCAATAAAATGGTTTTTGCCGAACATGAGACACACACTGTCTTGGTCCCTGTCGTTCTCTGTTGCATCTGTAAATAATACCTACGTGTAAATTCTTGTTGCTAATGAACTAAGTCAACTATTAATATATTAATAAGGTTCTCTCTCTAAAGAATCAATAAGATTGGCATGGTATCTAATGTGCATTTACATGTTTAGATAATAGAAATATTGATAGTCGAATCAAATATATTTTGTGTGGGTATATGTGGCTACGGAATATTTATTAGTTAATCATTGCATTATAACAATAATGTCGGTAAAGAAAGGAATGTATAGAATGTCTCATTTACGTAATCTCCGCTGGTCATGTACGCTCACGACATTGACAATAGCGATTTAAATCTCAAGTCCTTCTTATAAGAACTACAAAAAGACAATAGTCCTTTTACTTATACAAGTAACTATGGCGCACTATAAATATCTAATAATAAAGATGATTCGAGATCAATCATATAGCTGTCACAATTACGAAGTTAGGAAAATATTAAAAATGAAATTCTAGTTGCGTACTGTCGTCACGAAGGTTTAAAAAACGAGCCGAGGTTTGTGCAAACAAAATTTTTTGAAGAATTTTAATTATTATTATTGAATAAATTATTGAAATTGACTTCAACTTAAAGCCATATAGAATTACAAGATAGATGTAGACTTGATAAAAGTATTAGAATTACAGTTGTTCCCTTGAAAACGTTGGAGAACGATTAATTTTTGTCCTAGAATTGATCCTTGAGAACGAAATATACACGGCACGACGTTGCGTCGCACAGACTCCTGAATCGAAAAGCTAGAAATATATTACTGGAAATTGCTCCCTGGATTTGTATGTTTGATTAATTCATGTCTCGAACGATGACTCCAGTCGGCATACGTATACGTCGGCGTGGTCAGTTGTAGACTAGGTCAAGGAGAATGACTGTTACCTGAATCTACCTGCCCCGCTCTTCCTTCCCCCCTTTTTCATGAAAGATATCCATCAGACGGACGTATAGTAATGTGATTTCAATTTGATTGTTCAACTTTTCTTAATGTCAAACGACATTAGGATTAGAAAGTCAGCGGAAGAAGTGAACAACTTTGCCTAAATAAAATCTCACTTGACCGTAAAAATGTCCAGATAACAGTTTCCTTCAATTATAATTAAAAAACTTCTTTTTATTATGTAACGTCTGATTATAATATGCCCAGTAGTTTGTAAAAATTTAAATAATAATTAATAATTTATTGGCCTTAATAAATTTTAAAGGATTACATACACATCTTTTAAGCAAGAAATAATTTTAATACAAGTTTTTTAATTTTAAAGCATGTTATATTAAAATATAAGTAGTATTGTGTTAAGAAGCAATAGATGAGAATTAAAACAGGCATAAATAAATAACTATTTTTATGAGTTATATAAGTTTATGTTTTAAATTATTTGCTGAAAAGAATAATACAAAAATCGTAAATAATTATATTTCATTTAAGTATGGTCTTCAAGATGATTCTGAAATTTCTTTTTGTCGTATACCACATGTGAGTATAATGCATATATACGTAACGATATTATGAAAATGTTAACAATAATGTAGATCTTAGGCGTAATGTTTTAAACTGTACTTGCATTGAAAATTCGAAAAGTATCTATTTTCGTGACTGAAGCGAAGACGTATTCGAGATAGACGTAGATTAAATTAATGCAATGGAGAAAGACAGAAATAGTCATCTGAAAAATAAATTCTCGAAGAGTGTATCGTTGCTTCTCACAGCCATAAACGAGTTCTACCGAGCAAACATGGAGCAAGAAACGTAATCACCCAGAATTCGACCTTCGAGAGAAGATTACTATGCTTCGACGTTTGACGTTCTCCAGTCGTATATTACATATATCCGAGAACCGAATGCGTGCAAACTTGATTACATTTTGCAATGAGAAGAAGGCATTTAGATTTCGCGTCAAAAGCGTTTAGTTTGAAACTGACGTACGTCGTTTATAGGTTTTTACAGGCAACTTCTTGAGAAATAACGCGGATCAATACAACTGCGATCGATACACTACTTACATTATATCTTTATGTTATTTAACAATCAAAATTATTAATTAATCGCATATCATAATAAAATACTTTTAATCGCTATGATTTTTTTAAGTAACACTGCAAAAAAATATTTTTTAAATTTATGTCTGTATGAAGTATGATATAAGTATGTATATTATTATATTAGTCGTGCCTATCTTCACAATAAAGTTCTGAAAATTATATATAGTTTTGCATTGTTACATAAACGTCTTTCCAACTGTCTACATCTTTTACTATCAATTCTGAATTCAAGCTTCACGAATTAACAATTTATCCGTTGGTAAAACTCAAAACGATTAAAACAAAAATATGTTAGACGGAAGAAAAAGAGTAACGTACCGCTTGTAACGAGAGAACTGCTAGTTCCCGACGATATACTCTTCTCTTGCTCGACTTTGCCTCTCATGCACTCCAGGATACTAATCTTGCATCCCATTCTTAAGACGAGCTCTCAGTTCGCGATGGGTCTCCTTGCTATTTCTCGCATCGTCGGAAACTTCGAAAAGCATCCGGCCAGATTCTGAATCGTCAATGACAGCCACGACAAGTATCGTTAGGTTACCTTTCATCGAAGGCGATTGGTAGAAACGAAATCTCCTCTTTTTTTCAATTAGAAAAAATAAGATTGCTGA